ACAGTTCGTTCACAGCATCACCCACACAACCGACATACCAGAAGAAATGGACGTCGTTGCATTCCAACTGCGAGGCTGCCTGACTCGATTCCTCACCATTCTCACAATTGCCCAGCGCCGAGAATCCGAGACTTCGATGCCATGTGCCAAAAACACCCTTCTGGCCATCACTTTCCTCCTCACAGCCGGTGGACATGTTCTTCCCCGCAAGATCCAGTCATCAACCGAGTCCTCAATGAGCTCCTCGACTGTCTCCAAGATGTCGGACTCGCAACCGTGGCCGCGAGCTGCCTACGCTCAATCATCCTCAAGCCCAATCCCCGCTACACAACCGACGACGTGATCTCCCGCTACCTCTTCCCCCGTCTCATCGCCTTCCTAGTCGGCTGCCCAGACAACGGCGATATCCCCAGCGACCCAGAAAATTCCCGCACAGTCGTTGCTCGCACGCTCGTGTCTTGTGTAGCAAACACGACATTCTCACCGACTGAATTGCCCTCGGCGATATCACTCATCATGTCTGCCCTACTTGCCCGTGCTAAACGCGAGGGCCAAGCCGTGCATAAGGAATCGGCCGTCCATTTGCTGGAACTTGCTAAGGCGGACCAACTCACTTTCAAGGTCCTTGTGGCCAATATGAATCCAGAGCAGAAGGCGCTTTTGGAAGAAGTTCTTCGTAGTGCGGGTATTGGTGCTGGGACTGTGAAGTCGGATGAGTCTACGGAGAATACTCAGCAGGTACAGCCTAGTATTGCTCTTCGGATGGACTTTTAGTGCGGTGGGATGTCAGGCTAGGGATGATTATTGTTTTCAATGCACAGATGAGATGAGATGAGATGATTTTAACTGATGTATAGAGATACACCTATGATGATGATTTTGTTCATGGAGCGGTATAAACATAAACATATTTCGAAATTAATTCTTTTTGCTTTTACCCTCATTACTACTTGCGTTAGTATTTCGTACGTAGGTATTTACTACTATACTAGTATCATTTACCTACTACTACACAACGTAGATAGCATTCTCCTGGAGACCTGGAGAAATTTATATAATGACCTCGGGAAGGAATACGAAATGCCAGCCTGAGTGCCCATGCCCAGGTGTGTGTTGATATAGTAGTAATGCCAGGCAATTGGTTGTCCAACTAGTAGTACTACCTAGGACTCAGGGTCCATCCTGCTTAATATTGTGTCAAGTGGATCTTTCAAATGCTCTAGACGGCTATCCCCTGAAGCGAGATGAAAACAAGTGCATTAGAGCCATAGGGAATTCCGAGTAACCAAGCGAAGCGAGAAAATAATCCTCTTCTATATTACTAGTAGTAGACACGTTGGAGCCTAGTAATGATTAAAAATCCACGCAGAATACACGGTGTGTTGTAATGTTTCGGCTGTACTATGATGTTATCCGAGAAATCACTTCCATCAGTACCTATTTTTGTACGGAGTCTGTAGTTTCTTTTCTTTTTTTTTCGCTTGTTCTTTTTCTCTCTTTATCTTGATAGGGCCCCTTTCTATAACCCTTTCAGGCAATATGCGTGTTATTGAATTTTTCGGGAAAGAAAACAAATAAATCCACCCTATTGCCTGTTCGGATAGAAAGGCATGACTACAAAAACTCATAATTTCATGATACTACGACCTATTCATCAATATAAACGGGAGTTTATGTGTCACTGGCACATGTTCCAGCATTTATTTTCACATCGAATTTATACTTTCAGACTCAGACTTTGAAGAGTCATCAGGATACCCTTCTTCAGGAGCACCAGAGCACCACCCATATCCGATGGGGCGGTCGGTGCCATCTCTGTCCTCTGCTTCCCAGTTCTCTCTGTCACCATCGGAGAGCGTATCAATGGTCGCACCATGAAGTTTCAGTAAATTAGCTATGTTCTTGTAACCTTTCATTTCAGCAGCATGTAGGCTAGCATTCCCATACTCTGAAGCATTCAAGCCATTGCACAGAAGAAATTCAACCATCAAGTAGTTCCCTCGTAATGTAGCAAGTTTTAATGCTGATTTCTGGGATCGCAAATTCCTTTTCAGTAGAACAGAAACGATATCCCGATGATCATCTTCAACCGCGCGGTACAAGGGCGAAGGGGTGTATCGCTGTGGATCAGCACCACACTCGAGTAACTTGCTCACCATTTCAGTGTGTCCATACTGCACAGCTATAAACAATGGTGGGTTGTCAATGTCAACTTCCTGGCTATGCCATCTTATGCTGGTATAGTCTGATGGAAGTGGGTTTGCAGTATGACTTCCACGATAGAAGTTGACTTCTGCACCAAAATCTAACAGAGCCTGAACAACCTCTTCATGTCCGGCCTTAATACCTATCGCTAGGGCATGCTGAATATTGATAATATTCGTAAAGCAGTATCCTCGCGAGAGAAGAGGATGAGTGTAGATATCTTCCCAGTAGGGATCTGATCTTCTTTCCTCTTCTTTCCGGCCCCGGTCCCTTTTCACAACACCCAGGTTTCCCTGACATCGGGTCAAATGGGGCACATGGGTCCCTGGCTGGGGAGGCGAGTGAGATTTAGTTCGGGCAAGATCTAATCCGACTAAGATATTTCTGAGTTGCGGCAGGAGATTGTACTCGGCAGCAACAGGGAACGCCGACCCATGATCGTACTGAGCATTCCAATAGTGCAGAGACTTTATCAGCTCTCGGTACAGACGACGATTTGTTCTAACCAATCCATAGATGTCGTTTTGGCGCAAAAGATAGGATGAAATGATCCACAGGATCTCAGTGGGTAGCTGAGAAAGGCTCATTTCGATGTGTGATAGGAGAGAAGAAAAAAAGAAAAAAAAGACGTAATTTCCAGATAATCACACATGTATGTTGCGTGTAGAAAGCAAACTGGAAATGAAACATTTGTCTATTTCTTGAAGCCCCTATGTCCATTTTTTGGTTCTCGGTGGGAGGTCCATGAATAACGCGTTAGGGTGGTTCCGGTATTTGGGTAAAATACCGGTACCCCGTTCCAATGCCCGACGCGTTAAAGTCGCATGTAGGGCAAGCGCCGATACTAGTTCCGTATTATGCAGTAGATACTGGTCAAGGCTTACCAAGTGAATAAAGAAGCTAGTGCGGAACACTAGCAGGATAATAAAACGATTTCATGGATGAAGGACATAAGCAAATCTCAAGCTTCAAAGGATTTTAGGACTGAACTAAGTGCCACGAAATCCAAATCTCCCTGGGCAAGCCCGTTGGAAGATAATGGCAGCCCAACTCAATTTATTTACTACTAGTATTACAAAACCAAAAGCATGAAAACAAAAGCTGATCTGGAGGATCTCTTTGAAATGGTATTTGGAAGGACCTGGGTTTGGAGATGCCTTTCTTCTTATAGCTGGCCAGAAGCCTTGTTGCAACTGCCAAACTAAAAAGTTCCTCTTCGCTAGTTGACAACAGCGTCAAGGAAATCGTAGGGATAATGAGTTATAGACAGAGCCGATCATTTGATAAACACATGATTTTCTTCAAGGGAAGGCTTCGGAGGTAGAGCCTATTATGATGTGAACGAGGAATGGATATCATCCATGGTCCAAGGAGCCCTTCTATTACGAGATTGTGTGGCTACGATCTCGCGTTTTTTGACAACTGGGCCTTAATTCTGGGTCAAACGATGACTGATTGCCATGGGGTTGATGGAGCCTATTCAAAGGCAGCTGAGAAACCCTTTCTCTAGTTTAACTGTTCCGTACCCACGCGAGGAAAATTTGTGGTTCTAGTGGTCAAGTATCCTGAAAATCAGGCGGTACTAGCGGTGGTTTGGTGGTTGCTAATTTAATATATTGATCGATTTAACGGTTTTTGGATGGTATAAAGACGCCTGAGCTGTCAGTTATTTCATTTGTTTTTTGTCACCAGGAACCCAGTTCTATTCTATAATAGACTAGGACTGCAGAATCATCCACGTTGATTGAAAATTGCGGGCATTCTAAGGATGCTTGCATTCAAGTTTTTGCACCTGGGCATAGATGAGATGAGATGAGATTGGATGATTTAAATCAGGTATATACTTTCTATCACCAGTATATGGTATACAAGGGAAGAATACCAGATGCTAATAGAGCGGTATTAGACATAAGCATGCAGTAGTATTTAGAGGTTAATTTATTTTGATTTTAGTACAAGTTCCCAAAGGGCTCGTGGTATTATTTAATAGTACTAGTTTCGAGATCTACCCAGGTTGCATGGCCACTATTTGAGAGTCTCGCGGCCTATATTAAAATCCACCCAGCCTACTGTTGGTAGCAGCACATGGATAATTCTGCGATAGTAGCTTTTACTAGTAAGTCAAGGCCCAAATGTAGTAGAGGTGAGCGTCTTGGTTTTGCATCGAGGTATCTGAAACCGAGGAGATATGCTGGAAACATTTTTTCACCCACCACATAGAACGACCTGCCTTCCATATTTCACCGGTCCTTCACTCTGCGATGAACCCATATGGTTGCTTCCGGTTATCTTGCCGGAAACCACATGTACCTAGTTTCTGCTTTCTTGTTCATCCTCATCCTCTTTACCTTCTCCTCCAAGCTTATTACCTTCGTCAAACCGCTACTACACGTTGCCTGGCATTCCATCGTATTTTGATCTATAAGTAATTAAGCATACTCACACCTTTCATATCATACCATTTACAAAATTATCGAACCGATCGGCTAAAGAATGCATCCCTTCATCAAATTATTCCTGCGACAACACACTCATCCACCGGCACCACATCGGTTCATCGTCCGGTGGGGAGAACCGGGGTAGCGTGTGGATCGTTCTTCAGCAGGTGCCATAAAACCCAGGGCAACCATTCGGCGTTCGTCCCAGAAATGAAACCCGAAACGTCAAAAAAAGGGACGAAAGCTATTCGGGAAAGTTTTCCCGGAGAAAGGCCATCCAAAAAGCAGCATCACCCCTAGTCCTAGAGCAGATATTTGTTTCAGAATTCCCTGAACCATGAATAGATCATCTGGTAATTACAACTCTTGCTCACTCAAAGAGATTAGCGATGGACGTGGTGTAGCCATTGCCGACGTCCCTATATCTGGCGATCCGTAGTTGAAAAGCCACTGAATAAAAGCCAGGCACATGCCTTCGACGAAGTAAGTAGGGTATCGGATTTGCTGCAATAAAGTGGTTTCTCTCTTAATTGCGTAGTCGATTTGCCAGAATTTTCCCAATGATAGAAACGAGTAGTTATTATTGATCATGTCGTTGAAGAACTTGGCAGTCCAGGGACTTGCAGAAACCCGAAGAGTACCATTATTGCCAGCGAATTTCAGTCTCCGGGCCAAATGGTATGCTAGCATCGCTCCCATCAACCGCTGTTGCTCATCCCAGGTTGGCGGTTCGATGTCGGCAAGTACGATCAGTGTTCCGGTCGGACATTTTCTCCAAAACATACTTGGGGTGAAAGAAAGACGTTGAGGAGCGGGCACCTTGGGTCTCGCTTCTAGACACCGAGAAATGCACTCATGAAAGCAGTCATACAATTATAACTGGAAGAGTAAGTAAAAGCCAGTAATCAAGGGAACAATCAAGCAGACTCGCTTCAAGATACGAAGACAACGCAAGCAGTCGACCCAGACATGTCGAAGGCGTGGAGGATGGAAGGCACTGATCGCAAAACGGGGTTTCCTCAGTGAGGCCTGTGCCTGCCCTCTCCAGTTGCCTCATTCCACGGGCCTCTATCTCAGTAACGAGGCAGAGGATGATGTTGGTTTTTGGATTTGAAAGTAGACCTCCTGAAAGGACTTGGGCAACGGGTTCTGCGTATTGTCCGGCTCTTCAGCTCGCCACCAGAGCTAAACACAGCGCCGGAGGCAGAATTGAACCAGGGGACTATGTCCCTCTTCTCGTCCTGTATGAGAAATAAGCGCTTCAACAACATTGACGAATAGGCGGCTGTCTTCATGGAGGTATTAAAAAACGACGGGGGAGGCCTGGTATAGCCTATGAAGCGTCGGGAGACCATCCAGTCGTAGGAAGATATCACGAAGTATATGCCACGGAAGCATCCCGAAGGGATCCCTCCTTGGCGAGTTGGTAGCCATGTGGACCGGGGCTCGAGCGTCGATCTGGTAAATTGGTTGTGGGGCACGAATGGCTTAGGAACAAATAAGAATGGGGACCGAGTTGCTCCGAGATGTAGGATAGGAGTCTAGCATGGCAGTGTTAGTGGATGTATGCAGAGGGAGAAGTTGAAAGGTGATTAAGGTGAGGTGAGGTTAAGCGCGCTATGAGTTGCCTAGAACAGTTTTGGGAAGGAAGGAGCGATGTGGATTTGATTCCGCGTTCAAGTTCCTTCCTTGGATATTCCATACAGAATATAATAATAGAATACGTCTATAAGCTATAGGAATATAAAGCTATAAAGCATACAATATAATAATACAATATAATATAGTCAATGCTAATACTAGTATAGTCAGTGGGCAGTACTGAGGCCAGATCCTTCAGACACAATGCTAAGGAAGCCACTGTGATGAGTTAATGAATGTTTAGTATAATACTTAATGCTATATTCAAAAAATTAGTTGAAATTAAATTAACATAGTATTACTAGTATACTGCTGGTTTACTGCTAGTTTCGGGTGGCAGCAATGTTGACGCCTGATATCTCAGGCCGCGAGACTGCGGAAGTGCCACTTCCTGCACTTCTTATCGAAAGTGAAAGTGGGGAATGAATGGACCCTTCCTCATTTTATACTCTGCCTTTTCCAACAATCGGGTCAATTCCATATGCATTACACCCAACCCTCTCTCTCCACCATGTCCACCATGTCCACCATGTCTTTCCTTTAATCCCCTCTTCCCCGGGGCTTTTGCTTTCTTGCTGGGTCCGCGATGCCGCCAGATCGAGGGCGCGCCTCTCGAGCGTGTGCCTCATGCAGAAAGCAGAAGACTCGTTGCTACGAACCTGGTATTCCAGGAAAAGCCTGCCTCAGATGTGAACGTCTTCGTCAAAACTGCTCGCTGATCGACATTGAGGACAATGAGTCTGATCCGATAGCTCCGACTTCTGGGACTGATGCGCGGTATGCCCCAGTTCAGTCAGTCATGTCTGCCAGCAATTCAAAACTAACACGATAATCAGACTCGAACGCCTGGAGAGAACAGTGGCAACCCTCCTGGATAGACTGGGCGAGGGTCCCCCCCAGCATTGGAAATGACTCAAACACGCCTGCCAGCGCACTGACAAGCTCGGAAGCGGGTGACCCAACCCCAGCGGCCTTCAAGGAGACGGAATCTTCCGCGGCTCCGATTATGGTCATCCGCGATCTGGCCACCGACTCAGGTCTAAAGCCGTCGCCTGACACAAAATCCCTGGGATCGGTGCTAGAAGACCTTATCACCCCCGATCTGGCCCTCACCCTGATTTCAATGTATGTATTGGTAGCATTCTTGGCGGCGCCCTTGGGAAATTAGCCCCAGAGTGTATGGTCGTTTTACAGAACTCTAACTCCTTCCTCGCAGTTTTCTCGAACACTATGGCGATTGGATTATGTGGGACCCAGAGTCCGACCCGGTGCCTCTTCTCCCGCGTGTGAGGAATGCGCCACTGCTTTTTTGCGCGTGCTGTCTCATAGCAGTCCGGTATACCTCGGAAGAACTCGCCGCCAGTCTCGCTCCGAAATTATACGAATGTGCTCGCTCGCTAGTCTCGAGCACCCTTCTAGTGGCGCCCCAATCACTGGAATTCTTCCAAGCCGCTCTTATTCTCTGCATGTGGTCGACCACCGTGGGACAGGTGCCGTTGAGTATCGATACCTGGCTCCTTAGTGGATTTGCCCTACAGCATTCTCAATCCAATCCGCTTTTTGCGGAGATCACGGCTCAATCACTGCCGTCTGCTCGGTTGGACAAAAGGACGGCCAGCCTTGGATGTCTGTGGAATCATCTGTGCTTGGCGCACTTGCATTATTGCATTGGTACAAGCCGTCGATCAATGCTGCAGTCCTGGCACATTGAACGCACACGCTTGATTCTGGACTCTGATCACGCGACGAATTTTGAAACTCGCATGGTCGCGGAAATTCATCTTTATTGGACTTTATACCGGCATCTTATTGAGGCCCCGACCGATCTATTGAAATCAGTTGCGGATTTACAAACTTGGAGAAGGGAGTGGGAATTTCTCCTCGGTACGTCCCACCACCTCACCTACCTACTCCCCATCAAGCTGACACTTTCATTTCACAGAACAACCAAGATCCCAATTCCTTTCAATGGGCTTCCACTTCTCAAACCTAATCCTCTACGAACACGCCCTTAAATCCAAATCCGCCCGGGGCCGAGACTCGCTCGTATCGGAAATGATTCGCCACTCAACCGCTATCCTCCACCTACCCATGGACACCGTCGATCAACACACCCGCCACTTGAGCGACCACATCTACCACATGATCACATTCGCGGCAATTGTGATCTGCCGCTTACTCAATAACTACGAAACACAACTGGCAGCTACATATAATATCGCCGAGCTAGACACTTTGATCTGCAATCTTGTCCAATGGTTGCATGGCATTGGCCTTCCTTGTCACGCGGCGTATACACTGGCCAATATAATTGCGAAGGTACATCAGAAACTTCGACCGCGAGTTGTGGAGGCGTTGCCTATTGCTGTGCCTGTGGATGATTTTCCCGAGGACAGTTTTACGAATTATTATTTTCCGGAGTTTTTGGGGCTCGGAGCTTCGGCGGGTGGAAATTGGGATTTATTGCCTGATTTGAATTTCTTTCCGAGGAGTCCGGATACTTCTTGATTTTGAATCTATTCGGTGCAGCATTTTTTGACAGACTGGCAATGGCAATGCCGCCCTCTAGCTCTGAGACTAGGTTCATCACGGCGACGACACTCAAACATTCTCTGGTATCAGTTATCAGGTTGCTGACCCCATGGATTCGTTATCCTAGCGGTATCTACATGCCGCACTTTATGTGGAATTTTGGGATGCTGCCTGATCAATAACTTCGGCGATCAAGAAGTGAATCTGCATGTTCAACGCTGTCGAACTACATATTTGTCGAATTGCAGCAAGTCGCAGATCATTGCGGCCAACCTCAAGCTCTTCCTTTGAAAACTTCCCAGAAGAATTCGTGGAAATTCTCGACCACAGCACCCTGGACGCGCACCCGTTTGGCGACGCGGACTACCCCAGGAAGACGACCAAGATTCTGTTCAGTCAACCCGTACTCACCTACTCAAGGATGGTAATTATCCAATTCTTGATTTTGAGTTTCATTCCTTTCGATTATCTTTTTTTCGAGAAGAAGGGTCATGTTCGCAGATAATATTTTCATTTCGAAGCCAGTTCAAAAGACCGCATTCCAGTTATAAGTCAAAGGCACGGGCTACTAGGTTTTGGAACTGGCCCGATTCGAGAGATATTGGTATTCCTTGACTGGTCGTACTCGATGGATCCCACCAAGTGTAAATGGAATTCGTGTTATGTTATGTTCAAATTATGTGTCTTATGCAATCTATCATTAAATAATATACAAGTCCATTCGAATGAAAGCCAACGCCGAAGGGCAATCATCAACCAATACATGCCCATGTGGTATAAATGCAGATTCCTCAAACCAGAGAGATTCTAGGAACTTCCCCAACAAGACAGCCACCACTGGCAGGATTTATACACTCTCATCCTTAGTATCCTTCAGACCTTTCCTCGACTCAACCTCTTGCACCTCCCCCTCCTCAACCCTTCTCCCTCCAACTCCATCCTCACTTTCACCTGCCAATGAATCAGCATCTAGTACCTCCCCATCATCCCCACCCCCCTCTTCACCCTCAAGCTCCGCACTCTCCCCCTCCAACCCCCAATACTTCCGCCTAGCCTTCTTAACCTTACTAGCCTTCTTCTTCCTAGCCGCCTCAGCCTTAATAGAAACCCGACTCGGACTCTGATCCCCCTTAAGATGAGCCTCAACCCGATCCGCCAACAACGACCGCGCAATCTTATGATTCTGAGACTGCGAGCGCGTCGCTTGGCATTTTATTACAATTCCAGTTGGTTTGTGGCTGATTTGGACGGCGGAATTGGTTTTGTTCTGTTGTGTGTTAGTTACAGAAAATCCAACACAGTCCAGTCCGTTTATGTATCTTCCAACAGCTGGATGACTGCAATTAGTTTCCAGCTGGTTTAGGAGTACTTACGATCTTCTGCCCGCCTGGTCCGGTACCCTTTAGGTAGGCTACTGATAAGTCTGAGTCGTCGAGTTTGAGGCGTGGGGGTAGTGGTTTTTTGCCGTGGGTTGAATGGGTTTGGGTGAATGGTCGGTGTTGGAGGGGGGTTTGTAATTTTGTGAGGGGGAGCTTTAGGGCTCGTGGTATTGAACGTAATTGTGACATTATTGGTAGATTGGGGGGTGGTTTCAACGTAGGCGTGGAGTGGTGGTTGTTACTTTTACTTTCTGGGGATGCCGATAAGATTGGTCGGCAGAATGGGATTCGGTAGGCGGTGACCTTGTGTACTATAGTGGAAGGGCAGGAGGCCATGATATGATTGATATTGCTTAATTATTGAGCATACGCGATGGAATAAATATTGGAATCAGAAATTGTTTAGAAAATTGTATATTGGGTATCAAAGTCTATAGATGGTATAGGTACAAGGCTTTATCTATCGGAAGCAGGCATTGACAAAAAGAAATATGTTGTAAAAATGAATGGTGGAAACATAGCTCTATGCTGTACATCAGCCCAGAGATTCGCCAAGATGCGCTTCGGCAATGGATGGGGAGTTTTTCTGAGCTCCAGAGTCGTGGACGACATGGGTTTCTTTGGTGACCTCTTTGGCGACAGGCTGCTCTACCTCCTTGACGACCTTCGGTTCCTGCACCTTGCGGGTGGAAACGTACTTGAGGAACACGATCGCCATGACTAGAAAAAAAGTTAGAATCCTAGTAGACTAGAGGGGTAGGTTATTATGGAAGGATACTCACAGGCACAGGTGGCAACAGTCAACGCGGCACGTCTTGTCAGAACCCACCGAAGTCCTTCGGCTTCACTCTTGCCGTCACTATTGAGAGACACGGTGATCTTGTAGTTCAATTCTTGAACCGATGTATCAATCATCCGCTGTTGTTCGCGCGTAGACATTTTGTGGTCATTGAACATGCCCTTGATATCATCCTTCATGCCGGAAAGTTCCTGGGTAAGGCGCTGGGACAAGATGTCGATTTCATGCTCTAGCTGGCCCCTCGATGCGCGTTGGTGTTGGATCTCGGAATTCCGGGCGGTCTGGAGAGACTGCTGAAGTTCCGAGCAAGCTGCCTTGAAAAGGTAGGACTCGTTCTCTTCGTCGGACTTGGAGGTCAGGCTTTGCTTTGCGAAATCGAGGTTATTTTGTAAGCTGCTTCGGATGGCCTTCATAATGGTGATGGATTGCTCATTGGTGTAGCCGCCTCTGTGAAGGTCGAGGACTAAAGAGTATGTATCGAAATGATGGACGTAGGGCGCGGGGCTCAGATGTGGGGGTTTCTCGCCGGAGGCAATCGGCTCTCCGGATGGGGTGAGGTATGTTGATGGGGAGGGCATATGGTACACTTCTTCGAAGGCGCTTTGATTGGCGTAGGGGGCTCTTTGCGACATTTCTTCGCCGACATCTTTCGAAGACTTAGAGGAAGAAGATGGGGTTTCCGGACCGTCATCTTCAACTTGTTCCTCCTCCATTTCTGGCTCAATAGAGGCCTCTGTCGTGGTCGGTTCGGCGGCAGCTTGCTCCGTGGTATTTGCGGCGGAGGATTCCGTGGCCTCAGTGGCTGAAACAGCGTCAATGGCATCGGGTGTTTCTGTGGAGGAGTCCGGGGGTGGAGACTGGGGTTGTGGTTCGGATTCGGATTCGGGCTGCGGCGGCGACTGCGACTGCGATGACTCTGGCGGGGAAGTATTCGGCTCAGCTGCGCCTATCTCCACCTGAGCTTCTCCTGCGCCATCCGCGACCTGGTCTGATATGTTTTCGGCAGGCTTGGAGGAATTGGGGGGCGTCTTCGGAGCAACGGCCGGGCCATATCGTCGCTGGTAGCTCTGCTGGTGACGCCCCCGACTGGCGTGAAAGGTGCGGGGGAGTGCAATTTGAAGGGATTGGTATGTTCTTGGTTGGCATGACCGTACAGCCCGCATCAGACTCGGGTAGAGGAAGGGGAGTCGAGGAGTCGCCATGGTTGGAGGTGTCGAAAGGACAAAAGTTTCCCGACGGCCAACTTCCAGTGACGTTTTGGTTCCCCACGGCGGCGCTGAGTCATCACATACAAAAGAGAGACGCCACCCGATGCCTTGTTTTTGTAGCTTACTAGTATGACTAGTATGATGAAGAGCATGTAATTAGTAGTTTCTGTTTATACTAGGTGTAGGAATTCAGCTATTTAAATAGCTGTATGGCCTAGTAAATACTAGTAGCTGCCTCACGTGCGAGTTGTATACTCTTGTCCGCTGTAATCGCCTATTTAGAGTGCCGTGATTGGCCAGCGAGGAGTATACAATACTTGAGCACAGAAGAAGATGAAAACAGAGAAACATTTGGAATTCATGATAAATTCTGCGTCAATGATAAGAATAATATGTTTACTAAATTAAAGACAAGAGATTCAACACTATCCAGCGGAAATTGCATTCAGCCTGCCCTGGAGTTCCAACACCACCTGATGCATCTCCGTCATCCTGCCCAGGGCATCCTCGAGTGTGGTCTCTGCAGCAGACAAAATGTCAGAGCCGAGGGGCAGTATCTTTAACTCTAGGGTGGAAAACAAATGATGCCCGGAGTTCGTTCGGAAGGACTTTTCGGCTTCCCATGCCTCCCCACGAAGAACATCCAGTTCCTCCAGATCGGCTGCTCGCAGTTCTTTATTTTCGAATAAGAACCTGAGCTTTTCTCTCATTTTTGTAAGAATGCTTTTCACAAGATCCTCTTTGACAACGAAGCGATACCCCTGTGTGAATACCAGATAGCGCATCCCAACGTGGAGATATTTGGGAATTAAAGGCTCTCCTGCTTTTTTTGCACGCAGAAGCGACTGGCAATGATTGAAAAGAATCATGTTGAAATGTCCTTCAACGCTCTGTGCAGCTTTTTGCCTTTCTTCCCGGACTTTTCTCCTGCGTCTCCAATGCCTTTGAAGGAAGATGATGCTGTTGGTTTCGACCGGCGAATATTCGTCAGAATGTGAAGATTCAACGGAATGGAACGCGGCAGCATTAGAATCTTGGACATCTTGTTCGAATTGGTCATCCCACCGATTCTTAATGCATTCACTGACTTTGAGGATTGGTGCTGAAGCATCGACAAATCCTTTCAAGTATGCTGGAGCGGTAGTTTTGTCGTTCAGTGTGACAACCCGGAGCGTGTTTTTCCCGGCATAGCATGAAAATGTTGCTTTCACGCCTTCACGCAGCTTGGCTGGGGATTCCATCGTATGGGAGGCCCAGTTGGGTGGGGATACCAGTGCTAGGGTCTAGAACTTGCTGTTAGCATTCGAACATCTCACGGTGAAGAAGATCTTGAATTTTAATCAGAGAGAGATACCTTTGAGATCCGCGCTGACAAACTATCAATCCCACGTGGCCGAGAAGGATAGTGAGATAAATTCAGCATCACCGTAAGCAGCAAGTCGAAAATTCGTCGTTTGTGGACAGCCGGAGACTTATGTCGGCCCTTGAATTGTAATGGCAATTGCGCCTCATTATCGAGCTTCTCGAAAATAATACAGAATGAAATAATAGCATCCCGGAGAGGTATAATACATTCCCTTCTGTCCTTATCTTGTGGCTCCGCAGCGTCCAACTCGAGTGGGGATCTGATGATATCAGGCAAGTGTAGAAAGGCCCAGGAGGATGGTAAGACGACCGCATTTCCAGGGTTCATTGCACACAGAAAAGCCGTAACTCCGAATTCGACAACGGAAAGTATCGGGTGGAGATTCGACAAAATCAACTTATCAACGATTTTCGTCGCATTGAGAAACCCATGAAGGCCACGCGCCTGTTCAAAGGTTAGTCAGTAAAGTAGAAAGGAGTAAATAGCTTGGTTGGAAAAAGAATACCAATTCCGTACGTCCCGAATCCTGGCGTGCAGTTGAAGCTGCTCGACGCACTCTCTCCAGTGCTTGGAGGGCCTCTTTAGTTGATATCAATGGATGATCCGACGACGGATGACGGGAAAGGATGGAAGTTATCTTTCTCATCAGCGTCCGCGCGAAGATTGTCGTTGTCCTTGGGCCAAGGAAATACGCAATTTGACACTGTTCCAGGATGCCGGTGAAAGTATGCATCTCGTACCAGCTCTTCTTCATTCGAAAAAGAAGCAAGTCTTCCCAACAACCTGCAACGTTACCTGCGACGTTACCTGCGACGTTACGGCCTTTCCCTTTTGCAAGTAAATGTCGGACATTCATTATTGCCTGGCCAGATTGATCTAGAGGCGTCACAAATATGATCTTCTCTTCAAGCTGCTGCAACCAATACCCCCTGCGACCTAGAAACTTTCGCTGAAAGGACTCTGACATGACTCGGCGCATATATGTTTGTGTGAGATGAGCGTACATGCCCGAAATCATAGCGAGCGATACCATAGCTTCTTGGCAAGTTTCAGTAGTCGGTCGGTCGTGAAGCTGACTGCATTGCCCCGTCCGTCTTTTCATGCACAATCCACGTAGCAGAAAGGGTGTGCAGCGTTTAGGAAATTCCTGTGCAATCAAGGCTTTCGCACGCACATCGAAGAGGTCCATGGCATCAGCAAATAAGTTCTGAGCCCATGTCATAGCCTGGAAATTAAGTGCCCCTAATGTGCCATCGGAATTGCTTTCGGGGACCGGTGAGCAGTACTTCGACCAGTATTGCTTGAGAGGCGCTTTTTCATGCCTGCCGAGCGTATATATTCCACAAGCAAGGTAGAGAGAATCGAGGGATGAATGTGCAAGTTCTGGGTCTGGGGTTGGATGTTGGGCTCGGAAGTTCTGGACTGGACTCCCTGTTTGATTTCGAGAAGTGCTCCGGCTTGGGCTCTGGGTTAAATTCGGAGCTTCGTCCCTGGTTTCGCTCATAGTTTCGCTCCAAGTGAGGCTCTCGGTTGAACCCTGGTTTAGTTGCGAGACTAAAATTTCGAATAGCTTTGCAAATAGCAGAACCATATTGTATGGTAAGTATACAGTCGTTGACACTTCCAGGTGCTTCTGAAAACGAAACAAAACCGGGGCGATGTTACCAAACGCGCACAAGAGGTCGTCAGTAGGCCTTTCCATCTCCCACCAGCCTTGAGGATGACCGGGATCTTCATTGGTGACATCTAAAATGTCAAAGACAAGTTTCCACTCAGAGAGATGATTCTTGATCCAGATCACATCATGAAAGTCCTCAGCAATTTCTTTCGCCGTGCCGAAAAATCCAACTTCGAGAACGCCTTTCTTGGTCCACATGTTTGAGACTATGACATAGTTCAAGACTTGTTTGAAGGTTTCTTGTTCGACTTGGTTGATCAAATTGTGCTCGTTGACTGTTTTCACTGCTTCTAGCACGTTTCCGTTTTCGACATGTGTCTTGTATAGTTCCATCCATTTCTCGTTTGTGGCGTAGTACGAACAAAGATCATCCACCAGGTCGAACTCAATGAAGAAGTCGACTTTTTCGGCTTCGGAACCAAGGAGGTTGATAGTCGCGACTCTCAGGTCGGAAGAAACTCGGCCCTGTTTCAGTAGGATGTTGCAAAGACGTGAGTACCGTTGTCGAATATTGGCGTCCAGCTTGTCGGGATTCCTATGGAAAAGGTAAATAAATCAGCGTTCATTTTGATCAAGTCAAAAATTTGATCGAGACATACCGGCTCAGGTAAACGATAAGATCGTCGAATTTATCCCCTCTTTGAAGGACTTCGACAGCTTTCTCGAAATCCCCATCGACATCATAGCATTCTGATGCGGCTTGGAAGGATGACCCTAGCTCGTAAAGCTTAGCTGCCCTTTGAAGCTGGCCCTTGTTCTTCCAAATGTCTGGAGTGGAGTTAGCATTGATTGCAACGATTCCTTTCTGTTTCAAAGAAACTAACCGGCAGCCTTGTCATGTTTGCCAATTTGCTCGTAGCATTCCGCGGCATCTTCCAGCATGTCGATTCCACGGAACAATTCGATTGCCTTTTCGAAATATCTCGTGGATCCATCGATGTCCGTGAACTTGCGGCCTCTTCCCTCGCGACGGCAATCGTATGCCTCTGCCCGTTCGGCACCTTCGGTATCGCCGGCCTTGTTGTAGCAGAAGATTGCCTTGGAGCATTCATTAACTCGTGCTCAAATGATCCTGTCAAAAATTTGGAAAGAGTAGAGTTTACTAACCGCTTGGTAGTTCATTTGGTGGAAAAGTTGTGTAGCGCGCTTCTTCCATTGCGCGGGATCGACAGAACCGCCTGCTCGGAGAGCCTTCAACTTCTCCGCAGACTGGAGAATGAGTTAGCCAAGTCCCGTGAGGATATGGAAGGACAATCATACTTGTTCATCCTTCTTTCTTGCAATGTCAACAAGCCCTAGGCTGTTGTTTTCAGTGAGTGCTTTGACTATGGAGTCGAGGGCGCTTTCGCTGGTCTCCATGAACCACAATTGTTTTCTTGCTCGGGTCACTGCCACATATAGTTGCTAGAAGAGATGTTAAACCGTCACTTTCACAAAAGAATACCTTCCATGGGCTACTCACTTTCAACTCCACGCACAAGGCCTGTTAAAATTTGGTCAGTATAGGAAAGCGCAAAGTGAAAAGATCCGAGTGATGAACCCACCGCATGCTTCCTGGAATCAAATTCGCCCCGCGGCTCTTGTGCCAGTAAGTGTAGACATCGATAGCTACTTCCAAGGTCACTGCCCCCGAAGAAATCGTAGATGAGCACATCGTCGAATTCCATTCCTTTGCTCTGAAGAATTGTGAGAACCAAAGCCACCTCGCCGATGTCAGTTTGTAATTTGACTTTCGAATCATCGTCCCGCACAAGGATTACTTGCTCGGCTCCAAAGTTCGCGACTTTGTCGTTCATTTTCGTCAAGCCGATCATTCTTGATGAGAGAACAGAGCAGTCGAATCCGGCTAAGAAGGATTAATTTTGAATAATTTGCTGTTCAATTTTGGGATCTCACTTACCAAAAATGATGGGTACTGGGCCATCGATTTGGCTAACCTCGGGATTTAGCTTGTCGATGGTTTCCGGGAAGCCTGATAGCTGTAGTTAGCCCTTGGGGTGAAATAGACCATTCGGGACTTCTCATGACTTACCGCTCCAAAGCACCTGCATGACCCACGACGCAAAGCTCAGAATACCCTGGTGAGAACGGTAGTTTCTTGCCAGCATAAATTGACTAGGCTTGGCAACATTCTGTTTCAAAAAGGTGGCAGTAGACTCATGTTCGTCAAAAAAGGCAGCTCTGACCTCAGGGAAACGGAAGACTGAATCCTTGGAAATACATTGCGCCGTATCGCCCGCTATCGATCATTGTCAGCACAGCCATGTCTAAGTTCACGGACGAGGTATTACCTAGATGAATTCCACGAGCGTTGAACACAGCCTTGAAAAGCAAAACAATGTCGACGCATCTCAGGTCTTGGATCTCTAGACGCAATATGTCAGTCAACACCAATTAACAAGGGAAAGGTTGGACCTACTGTCGACGTAGATTTCTTCGAAGCAACGACGTAATTGGGATGCGAAATTCTGGTTCTCCGCGACGTATTTCAGCACATCCATGACACGGTCCAAATCATCAATTTGACCTCGTTGCTTTTTGAGTCTCTCATACCGCTCATAGACATCAAAGGCCTTTTCGCGATCTGCCACGCCTGGAAAAGCAGGCGATACCTTCGATCCCTTGGGCACATATTCTTCGCGGGAAAGCGCCCGCAGACTTTGTGCACAAATTCTTGAACCCCGGATAACTCCCATTATTTCTGCAAAAATGAGCTCCGATGGGCAGCCATGGGGTGCAAATGCGGAAAGGCAGCCCCAGTACTCGTACTTGAAAATATCAAAATCAATGACGGGTGTTGCTTTCAAGTTGCTTTTTTGGTCAGGTTTGCCTTTCGATTTTGCATAGTTTCCTTCGTTGAACTTTTGTCGGTCGGCGTTCCTACCGATGGTCAGCAGAATGCAATGCGTGGAATATGTGAATATCAGAATTAATGACTCCGAATGAGGGCACATACTGCATGCTCTTCTCTAACATCCCAAAGAAACTTGTCATACGTGCAGACAAAGGGGAAATTCACGTCTTGTAACTTCAGGATTTCATCAGGCTCCTCGTCTGGTGGTATCCAGGTACTCGAGATTCCTGACGCAGTATGGATAAGATTCCTTGCGTACAGCTGAAGCTTGGCCGCCAAATGAGGAGATCTAGTAAGGAGGAGCTATGACATGTTAATAAAGAAAGCCCTTTGGGTCGAATGACTGACCTGTTTCATTCGGTCCGAATTTGGAATTCCCTCTCGGGCTTGATGTTTACCAAGTAGCTGGAAAAGAAGACATGTTGTCTTTCCAGTGCCACTTCGCCCCAAAATCAAACTTGAAGTTTTTGAATGATTTACTATTGCAATTTCCTCCTGCGACAAGTCAAAGGGAAACTCTTCGTAGCCCTTCGCATTTGAAAGAGCTTTCAAAAACGGGTCCGTGACATTGGTAAACTTTCCTAGTACGAGAAATATGAATTAGTCCGGACCTTGTAAATGAGAACGGTTCCACTCACCAAGTAGGTCGACCAAGACTTGGCTTTTTTTATTTGCTCTTTCGGGTTGACCTGCGGAGTTATAAACCGGCAGCACTTCCCACCGCTGAGGCACGCAGCTCCCGTCGGGGAGCTTCGTTGGGTCCTTCTTGCAGATATCCACAATGTCTTCCTTGTAATGCTGCTGTAGGTTGATTATTCGATCGACTGCCGGGAGAAGCTAAGATTCGCGATGAGCATGTATGAAGTCCGAATTTGTGAGAATGAGCCATACCTGTTCGCGGCTAACCATGTCCCAAACTTTGATGGTTTGGCCAAACTGTTTCCTTGCTGTCAACTCATCGTAATAGCCGACATCGACCTGCCAGAGGATGAAGATCTCTCCGGGAAGAGGACTATATCGAATGGGGACCACGGGCACCGAATCTGTCTTTGACCCATGGGGTACTTGTCGCGATCGCTTTTTCCAGCCTCGCCCTTGAGCAAGCTCCCGAAGATTGTATTCCACACGAGGAAACATCCCCTCGTCAATGAGCTTTTTGACCTTTTCCATCGCCAAGTCGGAAAGCAGAACTTTCCACGCTCCGACACGCTCGCCGTAGAGGTTGACTTGTTCCGCGGTAGTGGCCATTGGGTAAACATTCTGTTGATCTTCCGGTAGACTAAGGGTGGCTAAATTGCTTGTCAGTCTCTCCGAGCATAGTCGGCAAGGGAAACTATCCACCGCTTTGCTGATGAGTTGGGGTATCTGTCGTTGAATTTGCTCCCTGGTATAGGCCAAACCATATATCCCCTGGGGTAGTGGGATATGCAGCTTGTCAAGACCTTCCTTGATAAACGAAGGTATCCCAAACTGCTCTTTCTTTTTGTCTCGAGTTTGATTTGTCTTTTTCTCGTCGCGGTCTAGGACCCTCATTTTTTCCCAGGGCACGGTGTTCTCTTGCTTTTGAGGTGGGTGTTCGTTTGCGGCCTGAGTAGGCCTGGTGAAGTCGTCAAGTTGATGCATCAATTCCTGAATATCGCTCCATTCGGTACATGAGTCGCCAATTGAATGGTCACCAGGGCAGGCGCCGCAAAGGTGAAGGGTCCTTTCAGCCAGGTTCTCCACCACCGTCTGCCCAAGAAGCTGCTGGTGCTGCTTTGAGGTGATCCAGCGTTTGATGACTTCGGCGTATCTCTCACTGGCCAAAAGCTGTTCAAACATGTTATCCTTTTCCAGGAGCAACGTTAGTACCTCGCGGAGGTAGAGGGTGAGGTGAGGAGTAACAATCGGTAAGGCGGAGCCTGCAAGTTCGACGTATTGAGTAAGTGAAAACGGGCCGTTTTGCATTTGCATGAGAGGAGCCACGACATTTCGGAAGATCTCAACTGAGACTTGATCCGAGAGGCTTTTTTTTCCCCAGCTTCTCAAACATCTTGCAGAGGCGCGAGATTATCTGTGCTGGCCTGAGTATCATGCAATCATGCAGGGACTGGTCCTGCGCGAAAAGTGAGAGGTCAACCTTGCGTTTTTCGAGTCTAGCGATGGCATGGTTGAGAAACTTTTGTTCTGGATCGCTTTCCTGGATGAGGATGTTGTAGAAAGGACAGTTTTGAACAGACATGATGCGAAGTTGAAAGTTACGTCGCGGACTGGCGAGCGTTGACGTGAAGGGGTACTGTATTGCGCAGGTTGAACAGGGAAGAGGTGAGTTGAGGGAACTTTGAGTCAGTTGAAGATTGAAAAGGCGTTGTCTGATGTGGTATGAGAATTGAGGTGTTGGTGGCAAGTTGGTGACTGGAGGAGAATGGAAGCAGGCGAAGAGGAAGGCAGAAGAGGAAGGTAGCAACACAACAACACCGGGTAAAAAAACCGATATTGAACAGACTAGCGTAGAGAGAAAATCAATTGCTGGGACTTGTAGAAAATATTAATCGATTTTATTTAGTAATTGGATTTGTTTTTGCAGTTCCCTAGGAATCTCCACATTGCACTAGGACTCTTACCAGTCTATAGTGCCGGCTAAGTGGTAGGTTCGAAATTTACCTGGGAAATATCCAGAGCGTTAATCATGCGAATTTAATAGATGCCTTGGTGTCAACATAGAGTTGAGTAGATTGGATGGCAAATTCTGAGGTGGTGAGCTAGACAATAGGTAGTATATCAATGTGGAGTTATACTAGAGGTAGGTATTACCGCCAAAGAACAAGGGAGGTGAGAAGGGAGCGAGAGAACAAAGAGAATTATGCTTTAGTAACACGCTAGTCTAACAGAAGAATAATGTAAGTATATGCAGGCCTATCGCTCTGCCAACAATCCAAACAACAACTCAGTCCGCTTCCAATACTCCTGCCCCATCTTCTGCATCGACTTCAACATTTCCGGGTTGGCGTCAGCACTCTTCTGGACACGACCTGCGACATCAGCCAGCTGAGCCGGGTCGCCCAGCATGTGAGCAAGGTAGACGGCGTCGAAGAAGAGTTGAATTTTCCAGTCGCGGATGGTATCAGAGCGAGAGGAGTCATCGGAGGCTTTTGGTTTGTTATTTTGTTCCTTTGAACCGGAGTCGGGTTCACCCTCCTTGCCGTCCCCCCTTGCCGTCCTTCTTGTTGTCTTCCTTCTCATCCTTCTGGGGATCCTCATCCTTGGTCTCCGATGACTCGCTGGGTTTAATTGGAGATTTCCAGTTGTCCAGCTCATCCAGCGTGGAACCGATCAGGGTCTCGAGCTGTGTTTGCAGTGCTTCCTTCAAGACTCTCAAAGTCGACGGGTCCCACAGATCAGATCCGTTTTCGTCCATGATAGCTGCCAGGCGACGTAAATATTTGAATGCACCTGGAGACGGTTGGACCGGAACTGGAGGTTCGCCTTCCCAGAGGGATCGACCGGGAACAATCTTGAGCTTCTTGGTCTCTGGGTGGGTATTGGACGATGGCACAAAGGATAGGGAGCCAGTTTGGGCCACAATTTCTGCAGCAAGAAGTTTCTGCAGACCCGGCACAACATCACTAGAGAAGAGGAAGTCGTCGGCAACAAAGCCAGTAGGAATATCGCGACGGACGAGTCGAATGAGTCGCAGCAAAAACGTAGCCTTTTCGCTCTGGTGCGATGACCCGAATGCGTTAAAGGCCTCGCTGAACGAAACCTGGAGAGTGTTAAATGCTTCACGCATGGCAGCTTGTAAAGAATCGGACAACAGGCGTGGATCTTCCTCGTTGAGTTGAGGCGTTATGTTGATATCGTCATCTTCAACTTCACTACCCACGAGAACATCGGTCCATCTAAGCCGGCGAAGTGTATCAATAGATTGATTCACGTCCCGAATAGAAGCGAGCCAGGATTGATATTTGACCAGAACCGCGGATACATCAGCATCACGACCAAGGAGCCTGTCAGTGACAGACTGCTTGAAAGTTGCAGCGCCGTTGGAGTAGTCGGCAGAGATCATATCCGAGTCCCACAGTGACCCATTTGAGTTGTGGTGTTGTGAATTTTGCCAAGATGAGATTGTCGTAGAGATATGTCCAGACAGTTCGTCGATTGTTTCCACTTTCGTCGTCAGCACGCGCTTGAGATTGTCATTAAAAACACCACGAAGGCGCTCAAGTACGTTCACTGAGCGGTGCATAATAGTAGATCCCCATGATTCCAGCCAAAGCTCAAATGTTTCGGTACGCAAAGACAAAAGTTCCTGAAAGTCATTGCTATGAGCAAGACTCTTTAGACAACCTTCGGCGAATTTCTCAAACGCGGTTAAAGACCACTCTTTGATTGAATCCACACCTTCGCTGCGGCTTAAATCGCTCAATTTGATATATGGCGTGAAGTTGATGACGCCGGGGGCTGCGAAACGGCCAAGAATCTCGATCTCCAGGCCATCCAAGTTGCGAATCTCTGGGTCGGATAAGACCGGTCTAGACTTGAGTTTTGATAGTACATCGGTGAATTGGCGAGATCGGAGCACTTTGGAAGTTTGCAAGGTGGCAACAAGAATGCGAAGTGTCTTGGGAATGTTCTCGCGCGACTTCTCTAGCTGACTGGTGATAACGCCAAGGCGCACTTGATGGAATTTGTGTATAGCCTCGTCGGATGAAGTGCTTGAAACAAGACAATAAGCGGCCAGGGATTCGATAATCGTTTCTTCGGTGGCATTTGAAGATGCCAGACGTTTATCAATTCGATTCAAGAGGGTAAGACGCAAAGACGCCAGTTGCTTGCGGAGGTCATCGAGGAATGGCGGGATCGATTCCTGCTGAGAGAGGGTCTTGTGCAGAAGACGCGAGACGACCAAGATCTTCGCGATTAATAAAAGAGAGGCACGTCGTCGCAACAGTCGCGCAATTGATGTTGTACACCGATGGAGGAGAGCCAGCTGGGCCCCAAACGTATGCTTATCGGCATCTAACCGACGAAGGGAAGTTAGTAATCGTATAGATATAAAATACCACCCACTATTACATACCTTTTTCTACCATATCCCGCTTCATCTGTCGAGCATGCAGGTGTTTCTTTTCGACCAAGCGCGGATTGCATCGTCGTCCAACGTCAGACAATATTGAATCCACGTTCTGAATCTCCTTATTCATCACAACAATGGTTTCGGCCGTCCCAACAAGCTCTCGGTATCGAGTACTATCACATAAACCACCACAGTCAGTAAAATAAAGCATACCATATCATTCGACAAGAACAACTTACCCCACGAGAGCTCGGAGCTTCTCCTTATTGCTTGCGATGTCGCGGCGCAATTCCTGTTCCACCCGACGGACGGTAGGGATCGGGTATTGGAATGCATCCTGCCATGATTTCAGGCTCTGGGGATCTGGGGCCTCCGGGGCCATTTTGGCGACGATGTTGAGGTGATGTTGGAGGCCGCGTTGAGACCAAATCAGCCCGTTGCGGGCTTCCGAAGGGTTATGTCAGCTATCTTATCGGCAGGTGACTCAAAGAAAAAAGATCCCCGCGTTCGCAAGAGTTCCCCTCGTCATCTTCAACACTTGAATTCTTTTCATCTTTCAATTATTATTGACTTTCAGAATGCCCTTGATGGAGTCTGAAGGTGCACCAGTCGAGTCGACCTCAAATGGCCTCCCCGATCGACTGCCATTCCCACCCATCACATACTCCCATATTCTGCACTGCTCATATCACGATTGGCATCCGCGGTATGCCGATTCAATCGATCCCCTTTGATGGATATTTGAGTGTTTTTACTAACAATCTCCCAGGTACCGGACCCTTGCCCCTAAATCCAAAACCATTCCTTTGCCCGAACAATTCGTCACATACCTCCGCGCCGACGGTATCCTCCTCCCACCCGAAAACCGTCCCCGAACCGAAGACGATGACTACGATACCTTCTCAGACGACGGCGAAGAAGAGGTTGACCCCTCACTAGAATGGCCAGAGGTCCACAGCCAAGTGAAGAGCATAATCTCCGAATTTCGCCAAGTCACCCCAAAACTGAACTGGAGTGCTCCCAAAGACGCAACCTTCATGTCCGCCACAAATGACACAAAATGCCAAACACCAAACGACATCTACCTCCTTCTCAAAAGCAGCGACTTTATCACACATGACCTTGACCATCCCTTCGATGACTGCGTTCCGGACCAGGAAAGCGAAAATGGTGGTGGTGCCGCTCCCGCCGATGGACCCCTCCCGGAGGTCCCTTACCACCTAGTCTTGCGCAAATACGCCAACTTCAACCCCTCGCTTGAGTTCCGCTGCTTCGTCCGCAATCGTAAACTTCTTTGCATGTGCCAGCGGGACCAGAATCACTTCGATTTTCTATTCCCGATGCGCGACATGTTACGCTCCCGCATCCAATCCTTCTTCGACGATAAGCTGCGTGATACATTCCCCGACCCGAATTTCACTTTCGATGTGTATATACCCGCGCCGCACCAGCGAGTCTGGTTGATCGACATTAATCCCTGGGCGCAGCGGACGGACCCGCTTCTTTTCAGCTGGCTCGAGATCTTGACGATGAAGGACCCTGTTGGTTTTGAAGAGGAGGAAGATGATATGGCTGGAGGCGTTGTGCGGATTTCTCTTCATGATGGCAGTGTTACGGAATTGGATGCGAATGGTCAGCCTGTGGATGACTCTGGCTCGTCTTCGGAGGAGGAAGAAGAGGATCTTGACAACGTTACTCCCAAGGGACTGGATGGCGGAGAGGACGATGAGTTCGCTCCCTTCCTACCGGAGTTCCGTCTCATCAAAAAGAATGACCCCGAGGCATACTCTTTTGCGACACCGCAGTACTCGGCTCATAAGGTGCCGAGGGAGTTGGTTGATGCTTCACTCGCTGGTCCGGGTGGGATGAGTGAGTTTATGGGTAAATGGCAGGATATTTTGCAGAACCAGATGCGTCAGCAACAAGCAGACAGCAGTGATTCGGAGTAAATCAAAGGTTCACTTCGTTTGGGTGATGAATCTCCAGTCATATATTTGCTTAGACATGTTTATTAGATTATTTATGATTGCATCTAACGGCGAAAATACATTCAATTTTTGATCCATTTCTATTTCCTCCACTTCAAGTTGATCATTAGGCCATTTCAGCTCGAAGCCATACTGTAATGGATCCTTGAAAATAAGGATAACCACCAAACCTTGCAATGAAATCGATCGAGTTCGAACTACTTGTGCCATTCAATCCTCCGAAATTGCCCTTGTTATTACATACTACGGAGCAGTAATTACTAGTTTACTCTCTATTCAGGAGCAATGGGACATATTTTAATACTTGGGAGCCTGCCCAGGTGATTGGTTGAGTGGGCCTGGCTCCATCGGGCCGAAGCAATGATCTGCATCCACGCCTCGTGGGCGTAACAACGTTTTTTCCTTGAGGAAAAATTCCGAGAACTATTGAACTTTGTAATGAACTTACGATCCCATTGGGCAATTGCCCTACGCACTAGAATTAGTAGAATCAATAAATTACTAAATTACTAGAAACAGATGAAAATCAATGCTATATGGAAAATCTTGGAAGAAGAGCCAAATAGTAGGGCTGACTTTCAATTCATTATGTACTGTACTAGCATATCCGAACGCCCTCCTTAGTCCGAAATCCATAGAGATAATTTATTTGCACTTTCCATTAGGCGCGTTGCGGAGTTGCTAAGTTTTCAACCATTGATTAGCTAGCTGATTTCATGGGTCTCCTGCATGTGTACGAGTAGTTATTGTCAGGGACATACCACGCAAACTCCCGATTTGCAGTTTCCGAGGCTACCATCCTTCTTGCAAGTAGCACCGGGGGCAAGCTAAAAGAAAAATTAGATTATTGATCCAGTTAGAGAACTTTATGGAATATTCATACCTCGGGCTTCGCAGCCATGGACAGGCCGGCAAGGGCAAGAATGACGAATGTGAGACGCATAGTTTCGTAAGGAAGATCGCGCGGAAATGGTATATTGAAAGGAGGGATATGAATTTTGGAAGAAAGTGTTTCGAGATGAATGCGCGAATTGGGCGAGTATTCAGGGTCTTATATGTATTATGCTTCGACCCCGGGTTTATTTGCTTCGGGAACCCAGATCGACGGCAATAGTATGGGGCAGGTTACCCACAATATGAGGCACTTGATGAGCGGATCAAATGATGCGATGTAGATCCAATGAGATAATTCTTATACCCTGAAGATCATTCGATAGACATTCTGACCTACCCTAGACATTTAGTTTGGGGTCAATCGTTATTAAACGTTGAACGGCTCCGTTCTTCTGTTGGACGGTCCTCGGATATGGAGTCGCCAAGAGCCATTGTGGTTCAGGGGCTAGAGACCCTTGCACTGGGAGGCAATGCCACGAATCAGATGTACAAGTCTTTTCAAAGTTTCGGCTTGCCCTGAGTTGGGCTAGGCTGGGCATTATAAAGACCTCGCTGGGGAATGCTGGCCGTTAGAAAGATTCAAGAATACTTATGGAAGTGAAAGCAAATGTGCTTTATAACAACCAGAAATAAAAATTCAAACGGACAGATCATTCACTCTAATCATGAGTCTAGCTCAATCATATCTTTATTTACAAATCTAGAGAGGAACCGAGCCGAACCTCCCCCTACGGCTATCCTTAAGAGACCTCAGAACAGGACAGACCACCTCGCAAAGACTCCGACTCAAAGCTAAAGCTTATGCTTCTTCTCACCCGAAGCCAACTTCCGAAACTCCTCCTGAGGAACCCCACTAAGAAACCTCTCAAGACCCATAAACGCCTCAATCCCATTCTGACGATCAAGCAGCTCCCGTTCGGGCCTACGAACCAACTCCTTGATCTTCAAAAGACTAGATTGATTCAAATGCGACCCCAACCTCTCCTCAACCTCATGAAGAACCGCCTTCAAAAAGCCCTCCGAATCATCCTTCTTTCCCGAAGGTGCCTGAATAACCTTATTCACGAATCCAGTTGATACAAGATCCTCGCACGGAATCCGCTTGCTCATCAGCAGTGCCTCGTTCGCCTTGGCGATGCCGAGACGCTCGACAAAGGCGCGGCTTGCGCCGCCTTCGGCTACAAGGCCCAGGGAGGAGAAGGGTGTTAGGATGAATGTGTGTGGTGTTGCGTAGATGAAGTCTGCGTGGGCGACTAGGGCTGCTGAGAGGCCGACGGCGGGTCCGTTTCAGGGCTACGACGAGGATCTTGGTGTGGTTGTAGAATGTTCGAGTTACGTCTGTGTTGTTTGCGACGAAGGATTTGACTAGTTCGCGGCGGACGTTGGAGTTTAGGTCGCCGTTGGGTCGGCTGCTGGTTACGTCTGCGCCGCTGGATTTAGTGTTAGCTGGGAATGGAATGGAATGGGAAAATAACATTGGGACTGGGATTGGGTGTGCTTCATACGCGGAGAAGAATCGGCCAGTTCCGGTTAGGACGGTGATGTAGATGTCATCGCGTTTTTCGACCTCTCGTAGACGTTCGGCCAGGAGGTAGTACAGGTCCTGGTTCAGGGCATTGAGCTTGTCGGGTCGGTTGAGAGTGATGATCGCAACGCGGTCTTGGTAAGTAACGGTAATGATTTGTTCGTTGGACATGTTTGCTGATGATCAATAAATTGGAGTTGATTTTTGGGGAGGGGAAAGGTGGAGGTTAGTCTTAGAAAGAATGATATGAGGGCAGCTTCAAATAGAAATACACAAAGACCAACACCAACCCCAGCTGTGCCGAAGCGTCGGCAAGGCCATTCGAGGCTTCGCCAAAACGCCTGCCTTTTTTGCGGGGAGCCGAGGCCCGCGGCGGGTCAGGTGATATGCATGAGTAATCATATTTGCATTAATCGATGCATCTCACACCGCCTGGCTTTTCTGCCGGGTGGGAACATCAGACAATTCGAGATCATCCGAGTCGGGCCTGGACATAGGAACATTTGATATCCCCGATTTTACACAGAGGCCTCCGCGTTAAAGGTCTATCGCGATCTTGATACCTGTTATATCAGAACAAGCAATCAGGAATCAAAGCGTCAGGTCCACAATTCAAACTTACCCACCATGTCGTCCTTCATCCGCAAACTCCAGGGCGGAAACCTGGAAGTCTTCAAGGTAAGCCAAACCCTTGGACAACTCACTCTACCAAACACAAAATTGCATCTGAATACAATCCATTCATTCACTTCCAATGCTATCCGCATCCGTATTTACCTAACTTTCCACCTCCTTCCCCGCTAACATAATCCCAGTTCGGCATGTACGTTCTCTTCCCAATCGGTTGGATGTACTACTTCGGCACAAACCTCGACGACCGCTTCAAGACAAAGGACTTCTGGCCAACAGCCGAACAATCACACAAGATCCCAATTGACAAGGAGGAAATTGATAAGGAGTTGTCTCGTATGCGCATGATCGATGGTATTAAGCGGGAGCGCGCGGAGAAGGAGCGTGAAGCGCTGGCTGCTGTTCAGGCCCAGGCTCAGGCTCAGGCCCAATCAGAGCAATAAGCTGATTTTGCGAAACTTTTGCCTCTCTACTCGGCGCATCGAGTGTATGATATCATGGCCTCTTGATTTATCAAGAGAGCTCGCGGGGTAGCGCGCGGGGAGGGGGAAGGAGTCTTGAAGTGAAGTGGAAGGGATTATCTGCTCGATCACATGTGCGGCGTGAAACGATATGCGATTATTCTCCGTTTCAGTCGTCCTTTTGCACGAGCAGGAGCAGGGGCTCGAGGTGTCCCGCTTACGGGGGGTTACTTTTTGTTGCGTTGGAAGTTACACTTGTGGTGTTGCGAATTATGTACTTGTACAACACTCTCCTCTGGGCATACTATTCGGCGTTTTTGGGGGCTTTGGGAAATTTCGTTTGTTTATATTCATTCTGTCTGTGAACTGTGTCAATATCAATTTGCCTACAATGGCTTGCATCGTTGGAACATTATGAGTACTACCTGGCGGTATTCCTACTAATTACTGAAGTCTACAATTCTTCTTGTAACACAGAAGGGTATCCATTAAAGATAAAGCTGTGCGCTCATAAAAATATGCACATGATAATCATACAGTATAAGCTTGCCCAAAAGGCCATGTGGAAAAAAAGACACAGGATAAAGATAGAAGAGGCATGACCATGAAATCCCCGCAACGCGGAGACAAATTAGTATCGATAAGTCCCAGTCCCAGCTACCGCCTCTGGAATGACAGAAGAGTCGAGAATGGTTCGGAAAGAGAAGAAATAACGCCTAGGATGCGCCGGCCGGCCGGAATGGCATAAAAGCATCATTATGGCAAAGGAATCGAACTCCTCGGCTCAAACAATATTAACGGAGCGCGATTTTTTTTCCGCATGTGATTTCCTTTTTGTTGATAAGGTTGGTTTGGTTTGACCCGTTTTCCCCCTTTGCCAGCAACGAAAATGTGGCTCCCCTTACAATTCGGCAAGACGGTGCTGAGTTGTTGTGGCGGCCGCGGCGTTCTTGGCTGTCTCGTAGACGACTTCGAGTCCGGCTGTGGCACTCTCGCCGAAGACGGAACTTATGGAGCCCAGGCGGCTGGAGATGAAGGGTCGCTCGCCGGCCCAGTAGTAGTAGAGGTGGCCGTAGATCGAACGGAGGTGGTCGGGGAGGTAGATGTAGATTCCAGCGGCGATCATTGTGATGAGGGTGAGGAGGAGGGAGTCTGTTGGGATTGGTTATTAGCAATTGCACATTGACAAAGGGGGTTCTGGAGGAGGGGTCTGGTGCCCTCTCCTCTCCCCGGTTATCCTGGAGGCTGGCGGGCCTGACGATGATACGTACTGAAGATGAATTTTTCGGTCGGCGTCAACATGTAGATGGCAAAGGTCACCTCATACTGATAGATCTTCAACCGAATCCAGCGCACGAAGCTGGTCAGGATCCAGAGCAGGAATGTCATCATGGGCGTCGTCGGCGGGTGAGTTGTTCGGTCTTGTCTTTGCTGGTCCGGCCCCTGATCGGTAGTCGGCGGAGAATTGACGGTCTTGGCGCGGTGACTTTCGTTCAGGCTGAGATCTCAAGTGGAGGTCTCAGGAAGGATCCAAGAGGAGAGCAGGCAGGTGTCAAGATACTAGGGCCGAGACAATCTGTTAAATTGAGAACGGCTTTGACGCGCGCAGGCTGTCGGAGTCGGCGGGAGTTGGCGGGAGGTGAATCGATGGGTGTTGGAGGATTCCCGAGGTCGTGAAGAGAAAGAATAAGGGGGATTAAAAATGTAGTTTGGCGTCCAAAGATTATAAGAATGGAGAAACAGAATAAGAATAGCAGTGGTTGAAGGAGAGTCGAGGATAGGGATCTTGAAGAAGAAAACGCAGAGAGTCTAGACGAGGTCGGAGGGTCGGAAGGTCGCACTGACAGGGCAGAAAATCGGCGGATGCTCAGGCACCGGTGATACCGCTTACAGTTTAGTACCCGTGGACTGGGAGGACCAGGGCACCTTCCGATTTAATGTACCCCCACTATTACACTATGACTGCCATGCTGTCGATAATTAGATTACCTGGATGTACTAGGTATACTAATGGGGTAATACTAGCGAAGTCTATAGCATTTTGGCTTATGCTGGAGGATGTATTGTTAGTAGTAGCAGAACGCTACTAGTAACGTGTTTCATGGGTAATCCGGCCACCCGAGCTGGCCGGCCACCCAAAACACCATATTAAAAGCGATAAATTACAATTCGATAGCTCAACAACCATAGTAATTCAAAGCTAAATATTGAAGTTCTATAACCTCTATCATACCCTTGTCATAAAAACCGAAGGAAAAAATAGTCTGGTTATATATATCTCGCGAAATATCTCCTTTTTGACAAAATACACAAATTACAGTGTATTTAATGGTAATCTGATAAATAAATCAATAATATTAATTGAAACTGAGATATATTGCTCTATATCTTGCAATAGAAATATCTGATAAAATGGATATAGACCGAAAAAAGGTATGGTTGTTGAGATATCGAATTATAATTTATCGCTTTTAATATGGTGTTTTGGGTGGCCGGCCAGCTCGGGTGGCCGGATTACCCATGAAGCACGTTATAATACCACATGGCGGTATACTGAGGAAGGGATCTTTTCAACGCCTGGGCATATATGGCGATTTAAGGGATGCCTGAGCCCTTTTAAGAAAAATTCAAGAAACCTTTGTTTAAATATACCTTCCAAGGTTGTCGATGAAATTTCTTAACTGATTAAGTTTGGGATGGATCGATGAGAATGGTATAAATCAAGTAGAACCAGCCCTGGGGTGCTTTATATTGATTGGGAATTAAGTTAGGTTCCAAGGTTGACATGTTCAAGTTGTTTTCAGGAAATAACTTGATGTTCTTAGTATTTTAAGTTACCTAATAATGAGACGCTTTGATATTATACAGATAAATGTCGTCGGAGATAAGTGTTAAATTTAGCGTAATCACTCCATTCCAAGCTTTCTTCCAAGGTTATGTTTATCTTTGGCTAGCGTTCTCAGTTATCGGTATACGTACTCGTAGGCTTGGCCCGTTCAAGTTGCTTCTTGGCTCCTTTGACTGTGATCGGTACAGTGGTTAAGCCAAAGTTCAACTACGAGTACACGAGAGATTCATTTAATGGTGATATTTCAGCAGGCTCATGTAACATGGATTGTAGTACCCAATGCATTAATTGGGGATCTTGCTCACTTACATACCTTGGGACGAAAAAAAGAGGGTAGTGAAAGAGAGAATAGTTAATAAAAAGAGAGAATAGTAGTTAACGAAAAGAGAGGGTAGTAGGTAAATTCTTAAGGTTAACCCCAAAGTGCTTAATCGGCTTGTCCACTTTTTTATTTACACCATACTTTTACCTCTCGCAGATCTACTAATTATATCAGTACCCTGCCCTTTAGAGCAGAAGAGTAATATACCTCGAGTTTATGTTAAACTGTAACGAAATGGGGTTGTTACCATTCGCGGATGCCTGACGTAGATGGCATCTACTTAGGTATCTACGCCTCCATGTACTTAGTTCTATCTCAGCTTCCTCCTTCTTCTCCTCAAGCTATTACTTTCGTCGAACCGCTACTGTTTCCTTTGCTTCGTATGCTACGCCGTACGTTGATCTCTGTGAGCATCTGAGCATCCTCACATAAACCAAGGGATAGAAGATAAACTGGCCACAGAAAGCGCTTTGAAATCTGATCAGTCTTCCAAGTTAAGAACTAGCTATATTCTTCGATGAAAGCCCGTCACAGTTTAGTCTACATTTATTAAACCAATAACCAGGACTGCAAAGTGACCGATCACGATAGAGTGTATGCAAAAAGGAATGCTTTATTACCATCACCTGATCGCTTCTTTACATGCAAAAGGTTGTCCTTTGCGGTTAATAAAATAAGGGGTCTTTTTTTCTGGAGGTCAAAAATAATTATTAAAACATGGCGGTTATCAGCTGGCGTAGTCAAGTCGCCGCCGCCTCTTTTACCGATGTCGGCGCCCCCGCCCCCGCCTTCATCTGGGCCTCTGTTAAAACTACACTAGTCCCCTCCCCACACGCAGTACTTCGACACCACCGGACAACCAGCCCATTAGCCAACATGGCGGAGACTAGGCTAGCAAAGAAACCATCAGGCTCACGACGTGAAAGGGTACTGCCCCGATCTCATGGAGCCTGTGCGAACTGTAAAGAAAGAAAGCTGAAGGAAAGATCATCGTTTCTACTCCTTGACTCTTAACTGACAATTTATGCAGTGTGATGATAATATCCCTGCATGCGCCAATTGCTAGCGATTCGGTCAAAGTAAGGTTTGCTCCGATGTCCCATCATGAGCCAGTTTTGACCTAGACTCAATTGAAGCTTGCGTTGTGGAGGACCGAATAACAAAACGACTCCAACCGCGAGATTATACTGGCACCTTAGAAAAGCGTGTGGCCTATCTTGAAAGTGTTTTACAACCAAAATATCAAAATTCACCAGATAATGTCTCTTTCAACTTCGAGGGATTTGTCGAACAACCAGAAATCCAACCGAATGCATCTGTTGAAATGCTAGCATTGAGCTCTGAATGGGGGACTCAAGCTTCTGAATTTAAACCTAACAGCAAGAATGATGAATTTAACGACTTAGCTTCTAAAGTTGGTACACTGAGTATCAATGAGGGAGGGGCGGAACCTCGTTATTTAGGTACCTCATCTATTTTTGCCTTTTCGAGGGTGATAAATTCCTCTCTTCGTCAGGTGGTTTCTAGAGCCCCCGGTATTGTGCCCGAGCAATATGACGGCGACTGGCCAAATCCGACACCTTGCATGTTGCCTGATTATCAATCTGCAACACAGCTTAGCGATGCCTATTTCGAGAACATTCATCCTGAGTACCCTTTTTTACATGAGCCAACATTCAGATCTTGGGAGATGATGCTGGCGACTTCTTCCCAGGTTTTGGTATGGATAAGTTGGGTGGGTAAGAACTTTTGGAACGGGATGTACTTTACTAAATATAATATCTTAACAATATCTTAGTATTCTCTAAAACTATAGAAGATTACGTTTAATATGACAAGAAAGTACTATAAAAGCTTAGAGAGACTATGGTTATACTTAAACTTAAGAAGTATAAATTTTATATTAAGGAAACAGATTTCCTAGAATATATAATCAGTAATAAAGGATTCAGTATATAAGAAGATAAAATCAGAAGTATTCTAGATTAGCTAATATCTAAAAATATAAAAGAAGTTTAATAGTTTCTAGAATTATATAACTACTACTAGACATCGCCAGAACCTATGTCAACCATAACCTAACCTAACCCAACCCAGCCCAAAATAGGTTTTAGGTTGAGATCCTTAACCTAAAACCTATATAGGAACCCACTGGGTCCCTATTTTAGTGTAAATAGTACAAATATGCCAAGCTTACATAACTTCTAGAATTATAAAATTCCTGCTCGTAATTTAAGGTATAAGTTTACTATCCTAAGGTGTTGAATGCTTTATATTTATTAGATATTATATTATAAACTTATTATCCTAATAAATAAATTATAACTTAAGATCTAGCAGATTATAATAATTTAATTATAAGATAGTAAATTTGATTACTAGTAAACCTTAAAGATATTATCAGTCTGAGCCTTTTGCTTTCGTCCTAAGTAACAAGGTTATAATAGCAGTAGAGACTGTATTAGCTATAGCTCCTTATAATTATAACTGTATAAGCTAGGTATTTCCTCTCTCTCCTTAGGATCTACTATATTTTCCTCCTTATGATTACTAATACTATCTACCTAGCTAGAGTTATATGATTAGCTATAGCTCTAAGAATAAGCTTACTGCTATTATTTCTACAACCTACCCTAATAATAAAGAAGCTTATTGTCACAGGATTCTGAGTATACAATACCTCAGGTACTCAACGCCGATCTGAAGCCGAATCTCCTTTGAGTTACCTGTATATCGAGACCCACCCGAACCCTAATGTATTTAAGATCCTACAAGTATTCAGAATTTTTGAGCTCTTTAAGAATCAGTCTGTGTATTAACTGTCCAATCTGATCTCTACTGTCCGATAATCTTGCCTAGTCATAGGTCTCTAGCCTGACAACTTAGTAACCATTATACTTGTACTAATATAGCTGTATCAGGATCAAACCTTCTCTAACATAATATATAGTGACTAGTATATTTGCCTAGGTCCAAAAGTCACAGAAACAGAGAACCTTTATAGTATAATAAAGCTTCTTAATCTAGATTTCTTCTTGATACTAGGCTTAATCATAGAAATTTGCTCGAACGTTAGCCAAGCTAACTATACTACTGCAAATTCCTTCCTAGCTACTTTTACTAGTCATATTTACAGCAAGAGCTTTCTAGCCAGTATTATTTAACTTAGTACTGTTAAGGATATTGAGTATATCAGCAAAAGTAAGGAATTAAAGAAATATATGTTAGAATATACTAAACCTTTAAGAGAAATTAATATTGTACGGGCTGTAAAGACTATAATCAAGCAGACAAGACTGGTTAAGAAAGGAAGGGATATTTATTATATATGCTCTGTAACAGTTGGATTATAGCAGCTTGTCAAGAACATTCCCAGGGATATATATCATACTAATCGTCGCTTTACTACTTACTATCGTTCAACTACAGAATCTAGAGAACTTATATTTTCCTCAGAGAGGCATAGAATTAACTAATCTTTGGCTAAGGTAAAAGAAGATCCTTTAATCTTAGATTTGCTGACAATCTTAGATTTCCTTATTATAAAAACTGTGCAGGGATTACAGGAGCACTCCGGTCAAAAGGAATCATCTCAAGAACCGGGAGAGATTAAATCGATTCACTAATGATAATTGAAATCCGAAGTTAGCTGCAGAAGAAACTCAATATTGATGTTCCAACTCTTCAAATCGCCAAAGCGAAGAATGTCGGGGGACTAGCCCAGCTCGCTATCGAAAAAATAAGGGAGTAGTATCGGTCAAATGGGAAGAACGAGGAGCAGTACAAGGAAGAAAGTGGAAATGAGATGATGGAATGTAGTTTTCTTTTGTGATCCTATTTCGGAATTCAAGAATGTAGAGTTATTCATCTGATACGTAATGAATTTCGGCTTTCAAGAATGTCAGATAGGGGCGAATCGTGTATGAAGTAGTTTTATATGAACCCATTACAAAATTTTCTCTCTATCTAAGTACTATATTCCCATTGATCCCTGCAGCCATGACTGAACAACTCCAGTGTTTCTGCCGTTGTATCTCCCGCCCCCACTCGACATAGCCGTCGTTCTGCGGCCCTGGTCACTGCTTAGCCAGTCGACATCTCAGGGTGGAACGGTGAAAAGCACATTCTCTCGCCTAATGTCTTTATACTCTTGCTGACCATCCAGTCTTTACGGGCTTGGGCGACTGAACCCTGCGATTACATTATGCCTCACATCGGAAGCAAAGGCCTCGGTGATCCGGTTTTGGAAGCCGTTTGACTCGACTCGACTCATCCCACAGCGAACGACCGCATACCAGGTGATTTGTGGTTCAAAGTTCGATTGAGCGTAAACGTGTCTCAACCTTTTAGCTAAAAGCACTCTCCTTGATATTCGCTAGAATAGCCTTTCGATCCTTGTCAGCAGATTCCCACTCTTTTTTCAACGACGTTTTTGCGGTCTAAGCTTCAGATTTCGAAGGAGGTGTTGATCTTTGAAGGAACGTAGACAGCACCTAAGCGACCCGAATGATCTGCCAATTGCTTTTTCAGGTCTTTGTCTGGGGATGTGATGTTGAACGCCCACAATAGCCGCGAGATCGCGATGAATAGTGTAGAATGAGCAATCTGCTGGCCTGGACAGGCCCTTCGGCCAAAGCCAAAGACAGAGAGAGGGAGTTCGGGGTTCTCAATCCATCTATCAGGGTTGAAAGAATCGGGATCATCGAATATCTCGGTATCCATATTCATTTGCCACTGGTTTGGGATGACGATTGAACCCGCAGGAATCCCATAGCCCATATATTCGTCGTCCTTTGCGGCGGCATGAGGCACCGCAAGTGGTGTTGTTTGGCGCCACCTCAGAATCTCCAAGATGAAGGCATTCATATATGGGAGGCTTTCCATATCCTCGAATAATGGTAGGCGTTCAGAGCCGATAACACGATCAAGTTCCTGTTGAACTTTCTTCACAGCAGCTGGCTGAAGGATGCTCGTCAAGACGAATACGTCCATAACCATACGGGCTGAGTGGCTTCCTGCGACGTACAACTCTCCTTGATTATAGGCAAGCTGATCAGGGGTCAGCCTCTGGGCTTCTTTTCTCTGGCTAACTTCTTGGCTCCAGTTCCAGCCATCCTCATAGAAGCCTATGTTGATGCATCTGGTAAAAGCAGATTTGGTGTTACAGTGAGCTCGCTCTGCAGCTATCTTCCATCCAGAGAAAAACCTTGGCAGGCGATCGAGAATTGGGAATGCGTCTACCAAGAAGCTTCCAATGGAGATAGCCTGGACACCGAGCTCAACCATCTCATCCATATCTCGTATCTCGTTCATGCCCAAGTCGTCAGTTGACAGGCCCTTTCCATACACAAGCGTAAACATAGCACTTGCAGCAAAGCGATGAAAGGTTCTTTTGTAGTCGTGAGATGACAGCATCTCAAACAGCAGCTGTTTACTTTCAAGTTCTTGGATGTCACGGTATGTTTCCGATGCCTTCGTAGTCAACAGCGCTGTATGTAATCGCCGGTGAAGTCGCCAATAATCGTTAGCCGGAGCTAGGACTGGAAAGAATCCTCGGTCGAAATATTTATCGACAAATATAGATTTTGGACGGTCGCTGTAGATACTGCCACGTTTATCCAGTAGAGCATGGGCTGTTTGGCGATCTCCCAGAATGATGACTGTGAGAGCCCCGACTTTCAGGCTGATTATTGGGCCATACCTGGCGTGCCATTGTTGAAAGGTTCGCCAGATATCTCGATCAGGAATTGAGCTTGGAAGTAGGGAAGGGCCAGGCGGCAGGGGAAGTTTAGTTCCACGGGTTCCAAATAAGCATCTCTGACCGGAGTAAAGCACGAGAAGAGAGAAGGCTAGGCCGAGGAATGTGACAACTTCCCTGCTGGTCCTCGACTCGGAAGAAGGATCCATGAACGAAGGAATCCCGAAATCCATTGTATTAGCCGAAAATTCAATAAGCAATTTGCCTCAGTTATGACAGGAGACTAGTAGCGGTAAGACCTTAGCGAAATCCAGCAGGGATTTAAAGAATGGATAGATATATAGGAATGATGCTATATTGAATACTTTCAAAGCGTAAGATGCGTACGATGGTGATGTGTGTGAGAGAGAAGGACAGAGAGAAGGAGAGAGAAAGAGAGAGAAAGCCCCAGTTGCATACTATATAGCACTAAACTTGGGGGAGGGGGACGTCGGAAACATCGTAGTAAAGAGTTGCGGGAGGAGAACGAAGGAGGCCCACAACTGTTACACAAGGATCCATTACGCCTGACCTAACTCATCCAAGCAGCATGTATGCGTTGTCATTCATGCATTATCTTTCCGAATGCTTACATCAAACTCCTCACACTGGCCCGCTTATATTTTTTACCCCATGCGTCACTGACTGAACTTCTGATATTGTGGGATGAAGTATGAACCTTCGTACCCACTCTACCCCTCCATGCCAGCGAAGAAGTACGTCACTGAATGATCGGAGGTGTTTCTTTCGGGCTCTATAGAGAAGAAGCATTTTGGATGGGGATCTATATAAGGACAGTTCTGTGCGTGCCAGTAACCTGCTGTCATTAATTATCAAGTCATCTTTACCTTCGAAACCATCGTCATCCACCATCACGTCTATAACAAGACAAGGCAACATACCATGTCCGAAACATACATGGTGCCTCTTCCTCGCGATATTTATGATTGCGAGGGATTTACCTCGCTCTTTCAGCCACGCATTCACCGGCAGACTAGTATTGCGGACCATGCCTCTGTCCAGTGCCAACTTGATCTGTATGGAGAGGAGGGTATAGGCTCCAAGTTTGGAAATATGAATACTCATGCAGGAAATTTTGTTTCATTATGTGCTCCAAATTGCCGACCCGAGAGGCTAGCTCTAGCTGCCTATACTATTGAAAATGGATTTTTGCACGATGGTACGTTTCTGCATCCCTGACCTGCTTTGTCCAGCGAATAAACTCAAACAGATGATCTTGACAGCGGAACGGATGAACAGGTATATGAAATATTCTGTAACTTCCTATGAAATCTAAACACTAATGCTTTCTTTACTTAAGGTACTGCAAGAAAACGAAATGCTTCGCCAGTTTCTTCGCCAAAGCGGCGCAACCTCGATCACAGCCAAACTCACGGAGGCGAAGCAACGTAAATCGGAAGTCCAAGCAAAGATTGTTGCAGAGTTCATGCGACAGGACCCAGTCTTTGGAAATTATCTCCTATCATGCTGGGAGGCTTTCCTGAAGAAGACCGAAGATGGAAGGAACCTCGATTTCGGGACTCTGGACAATTATCTCTCGTTCAGACTGGATGATGTTGGTGCAGTGTATGTATACCCTAATCGAACAAATGTCATTATAACAGTTTTAACGTATTCAAAGCTGGACGTTAGCAATCCTACGTTGGGGGACAGGAATCAAACTCACCGCCGAGGAGGAGCATATTGCAGATCCAATCGCCTATGTTGCCTATGCTGCCTTGGCTTTAACCAATGACTTGCTGTCCTGGAACAAGGAGTACAAGGCTCACATTGAAAACCAGGAAAGCACACCCTGGGTGAATGCAGTCAACCTCGTCATGGCGTGGCATGGACTAGAGCAAGATGCTGCTAAGACAATGATTCGAGATGAGATACGGGCCCATGAAAAGCGCTTTTGTCAACTACGAGATGAGTATATGTCTAGCCTCACACCATCAAGCTCTATCACCAGCTGGTTAAGGCTTTTGGAAGACTCAATGGCTGGTAACTTCATTTGGAGTATTCGATGTCCTCGTTACTACCAAACTGATGGAAATCCATACCGCGATCATCTGGATGCGTTTGGAAAAGATAAAATCAAGATTATTACGGCCTCAGTAGAGGTTCCGGGTCCCGTTTCAAATATGAGCACATCGGAGCTTTTCAAGCACGAAAATCCAAAACAGAACAGTATGCATTTCCGGTGAAAGTTTGAGTTCGTGTGATTAACCCTCGGCAGGATTGAAGGGAGTTTCTTTGACACAAAGCTTTTCCATCAAAAAACTAAAACTCGAAGTAAAGTCTTGAAAAACAAGTTTGAACTTGACATATCCCTTTACTAATGATCATTTTATAGACTGTCCTGAACCCCTATACGTATATCGCCTCCATGCCATCCAAAAATGTTCGACAGACAATGATAATGGCGTTAAACTTGTGGTACAAGGTCCCAGAGAAGTCATTGCTTATCATCGAGGGCATCGTTAACTTTCTGCATAACTCATCCTTATTGTAAGCTGAGATCGTATAAAGTACAATTGCTATGGCTGACAATCTGTGTCGCAGACTTGATGATATACAAGATAGAAGTTCATTAAGAAGAGGAAAGCCGGCGGCACACTGCATCTTTGGCATCGGTCAGACTATCAACACCGCGACCTATCTCCTGAATGAGGCCTTGTGCTTAGTGCAAGTGCTTTCGCAGAGTGCCCAAACAGCGTACTCAGGTACTTTTTGTGCAACCCTGTCCTGAGAGCTAATGGGAAAGCCTGACATCAACAGAGGAAATGCGCAATCTACATATCGGGCAGGGACACGATCTGCATTGGAGCTATCATACGCATGTGCCAAGCCAAGAGGAGTACATTAGCATGGTTGACGGCAGTTGGTACTTTCATTTCAAATCTTGTTCTAGCACCCGCTGACTAGAATGTAGAAACTGGTGGCCTCTTTCGGCTCATTTGTTGTCTGATGAAATCAGAAGCCTCTATCAATAGGTGAATTGGAAGATGATGACAACCCTGCAGGTTCGTACTAACGTAATATAGGGACCTTGATCTGACTCAATTTGCAACCCTTCTTGGACGGTACTTCCAAATCCGCGATGACTACCAGAATCTCGTGAGCGCGGATGTGTGTCCCCATTCTTCCCCTAGCAGCCTTAGCGCAACTAGATGCCACTCTACTGACTTTAGTTTGGACACTACAGTACAAACAGAACAAGGGATTTTGTGACGATCTTGACGAAGGAAAGCTTTCTTTCCCGGTGATTCTTGCAATGGATTCCCCTGAATTCCCCAAAGCGGTCATGTTGAGCATTTTTCAGAGCCGCCACGAGCGACGTGGTCAATCACCCGAACTAAAGCAATACATCTTAGACCAAATATCTAGTCGAGGGGTATTTTCACGGACTCGGAATGTGCTGAAAGATCTTCATTCTGAACTACTCCGATGCCTTTCAGAGATTGAAAGTGGAGCCGGAGCAATAGAGAACTGGACTTTGCGTTTGCTGTTTACAAAATTGGATATTGGCAATGAAGTAAAAACAGAATCTGGGAAGCAGGAATCGGCTTGGGAAATCAATCAGCAAAAGGTGTGGAAGGGTCATCAAAGCAAACGCCCCACGCAAAATGCTGCTACTGGTCCTTCGAAAAAGAAGAAGCGAGTTTGAGGGGCGTTTCCATATGACGGGCAATCAGAATTAGAAGAGATAGCGAGATGTCGAGAGCAGAGAGAATCAATGAAGGTAATTAGAAATGTTCATAGAATAGTAGACTGATAACCTACTAGTAGGACTATTCTTTACTTTAGAGCTGCACTCTTAATGCCATCGACCACGCTAAGACATACGTCATGGACATGTTCATAGGCTGGGAGGACAAAGCTCAGACAATCATAGGCCAGGAGGCCGCCAATCTCGGGTTTTTGGCTGGGAGGGATGATCCAAGCTCTCCTTTTCCAAACTAGAAACGAGAAACAGGCTCCCAAAAGCACTCGCTCATCTGAGTGCCTTGTGTAATCGTGTTACTCCAACTACTATATTTACGTAATGGGGGAGAGAAGGGGGCTACTAAAAGGCACAGCGGTGCTCCGCATAGCTAAGCACGAACAACGTTCTCGATTATATTGAATAAAGCATACTCATGAACAAGGGCTTCTATCCCATTTGTTTGAAAGAAATATAGCTTTTTATCCGACGAGAAGCAATTATTGGGTTCTATGCTAGAGGCGATTTAAGAGTTCCTCACTCGTACTTCGCACTCTGAGGTTGTGTTCCTCAACTCCGGTTACTTCAGAGCGCAAATGTACTGGATTTATTTGACTCTACAGTACCAAGCTTATCAGTACCAGCAAAATATGTGCCTCAATATTATGAACTATACACTCGGTGAGATACTTCTGTCAGTGAAATTGTCGACGTAGTTAATCTTGCGAGATTGAATGAAGGCAAGTCTATGTTTATTAATCCCTGAACAGGCAAATCCGTTCTCATGAAGTTCGCTGTCTGGTTGATGGTCGATAGGAACACTTGACAACTTGTATTCTTTTTTATCTATGGTCAAGGGACGAAGCTACAGAAAACAGTGTTGGGGATCTTCAGAGCACTATACTCGATTTATTTCTAGAATACTTTTCTCCGCTTATGGAAGTGTTTGTAGATCGGCAGAAGTGATTTGGTTCCTACGGAGTAGATAGGCCTGGTCAGAAGACGAACTTTAGCAGCTCCTATCGTAAATCCTAACCTAGGGGATAAAGGACTGCCTTGTAATCCTAACCGCTTTGTACCGCCTCTGTAACAATAACGTACAGACCTATTTGATAAATATTGAAATGTACGGTCAATGATTTTCTGTAGTATGGCTATAAGTATTAAAATAATACTAACAGTAAGGAAAAGCTTATTATTATATACTTAATCATCAAGAAATATGGGCTTGGAGGTTATGAAATATAAGAGAGAAGTATTAAGGATTCTAAGAGTTTCTTTTGTATTTATCAGGGATATATATATATAAGGTATATATACTTTGCAGAGAATACTGACCTATATAGTTTATTTGAATTTCCTTGAACGTAAGGAAGCTATCTCTCATTTGCTTTCTTGCTATACCTTATAGCTAAAGTTGACTATAGCTTTTCTAAATACTGATTATTTACCTAAATAATCCTATCTATGAATTTATAAGACCCTTACACTATATAGCCTAACTTCTGGTAATCCCTAGTAGATCTTCAGTATAAAGAGTATATACTTTGTATAGTCTTTAAAGTAAGTTGAGATAGTAATAATTATAAAGGTTATAATTAGACATCGCCATAACCCATTTTGAGTTGAACATACCTAGACCTTGCCAAAGCCCGTGGGCTTTTGGGCCCGGGCCTATCCGGGCCGCTAATTTGGCGGGCCAGATAGCCCAGCCCACGGGCTCGTGCATGATGCGGTGGAGGTCGCGAATCCCGGACATGGAAATATACAGTGGCATCGACATCTTGTTGACAAGTTTGATTGGTGATATGCCATCTGAAACGCAGGCTGCTGCCAACGAAGGATCTTGGTAAAGCATATATGCAGAACTTACTCCTCACAAGAAGCTAGTCTATTGGAATGGAATCAACTGAGAGGTCCTTGCGTATATCCCATCTCGAGCCAACTGTATATGTCTTTCTTTGGCTACAGCAGCCACGTTCTATAACACCAAAGGCCATTGGGTCTACATCTCTACATAGAACCTGGTTGAGAGCTTTGCCGTGTCCTCTGCACCTGCAGCGACAAGCTCCTGTTTCGACACTATCTCTGGCCCTTTGTGATCTTCCATGATCAAATTATATAGGTCTTTCTTATTGATTGAATTCTCCACAACCATTTTTTGAAGTGGATGGGGGGTCGCATTCGTCAAGTTTGAATATGAGGAGATAGCAGAAGCAAAAATTCAAACACCACGATTCTGGCAGCTGGGGCTAGCTTAGATTAGCTCCAAGGGAGAATATCGAACTGGCTACAAAAAGAGCCACAAGAATTAATGCCTTCGCCACTCGGAAATTTCCGACTAGTACCATTTACAGCGTCGGAGGCTTACGTGAAATATCACGCTGATTGGCTGCTCGGACTGGCCCGACTAGTGCGCGCCCAATGGACAAACTCGAATTGTCGTTGCGATAAGTACCCAAGCCAAAGAAACCTAGTTTCAAGGGATGTGGATCCCTTACTCCAGTTTGACTGATTATATATCCATCCGTTTTTCTATGCTGTTCGAACATTCACACTTGTTGCTCTCACTTTCCCAACAAGAAAATGTCTCACGTTTCAGGCACAGGCGGAGATGAATCCACCGGCCATACCCAAATGTGGCAACCAGGCACTGTGCACCTCGAAGATATGCGTGGCCCTGCTGGTGGCCGAATTATTTTACAGCCCCAGCCCACTCAAGACCCGAATGACCCACTCAATTGGCCCAAGAAGCGCAAATACCTTAGCTTTGGTTTAGCGTGTTTGTACGTCATTATGGTCAATGAATCTATCAACGCTCCAACTCCAACACGGGGCCCTATGCACGAAGAGCTCCGCTTCAGCTATGAGATTCTTAACGACAGTTATGCTATTGGCTGCGCGTGTCTAGGAATCGGCGCTGTGATCCTCGTGCCACTCTCCCTGAAGCTCGGTAGAAGGCCACTCTATCTTTTCAGCACAATTATCCAGTTTGGTGTGAGCATTTGGTCTGCCAAGATGCAGACTGTTGCGGATTTAATGCTTATTAATACGGTTCAATGTTTCTTTGGAGCATTAGAAGAGGTAATCGTTCAAATGACGGTCTCTGACATTTTTTTTGTGCACGAGCGTGGCATGATGAATTCAATATATATTTGGTCCTTCAAACTGACTACGTCACTTGGACCGCTTATTGCTGGATATATCACAAAAGGACAGGGGTGGAGATGGGTCTGGTGGTGGAACACTATCTTTTTTGGCATATGTATCTTCATTGTTGGCTTCGGCTACGAGGAGACCAAATATGCGCCACCCCCATCTGTTTCAGCACTATCCGGGAGTGGAGAACTCTATGAAAACCCTACTCATTTCGATGATGATCCGGATATCAAAGTCAAAAATTTGGCCAGAAAATCAGGAGTAAAGTATCACACTCAATTCGATCAAGAGGTTACTCCACAACCACTCCACACACTTTCTGAGGGAAATTTGTCACATTCCAGGGCTACCATGGACCCAGAGATCCCAATGAAGACCTACTGGCAAAGACTGGCAATTACAACAACATCATCTTCACGGAAGGGAAGAAATTCTTTCTTTCGTCATTTATACCAACCCTTTGTCCTTCTCCTAACCATCTCAGCTATTGCATATACGGCTTTAGTTTATGGAATTTTGGTCGGACTTGGAGATGTTATGTCAACCACCCTATCGACCTTCATGACCCAACCGCCATATAATTTCACTTCAGACAAAATTGGACTTATGAATCTACCAATCATTATTGATATCACTATTGGGACCCTCGTCGGTGGCCCTATAAGCGACTGGATTATTCTCTATTTCTCTCGTCGCAATAACGGTATCTTCGAACCAGAATACCGTCTGTGGGCTATGATCCCGTTTGTGCCATTCATTCCCGCCGGTGCAGTTATGTTTTCTATCGGTCTAAGCAATGGACTCTCATGGCCAGTGATTGCAGTTGGCTTTGCGTTGTATTTTGTGGGGATTGCTCCGATCAACAGCATTACGATCACTTACCTAACAGATTCATACAGAGATGTGAGTATATTTATACCATTTCATGGTAAACCTAGTCTATACTGATCCTGAAACATTATAGATAATTGGCGATGCTTTTGTGGCTGTTACAGTCGTTCGTAATAGCTTTAGCACGGCCTTTATATTCGCACTCACACCTTGGGTGGCAGCGGTGGGAATAAAAAACGTAATTGTCACCATCATGCTGATAGCTACGGTAATTCTACTTTGTGTTATTGTGTTTATACGATGGGGAAGGTCCTTCCGAGCCTTTTCTGCCGCAAGATATCAATTTTATGCAGCGCGACAGTATACAGAGAGAATTTCGTGACCCGTGTTGCTGCTGCTACTGCTGCTGCAGCATTGGATTATTACCGTCAATGTTATTTGTCAAATTATGTTCAATGTCAAGTCTGCTCTCATACGTTTTTCGTCCGATACAATCAAAACTGTTTGTATTCAATTACGCACACCGATCAGCAATGGTACTTCCATGCATTAATTCTCAAAAAATCCCTAAGAAAATTCATTTCCTCCTTTCCAAATTGAAGGTTTAGATATTTTGCCTTCTCGCAATCAGATCTTAAGACATCTATTCATGATACTTCTCCTTTCAACAAGCCTTAAAAGACGCCGTTTCAGGCCCCTCATACCAGAGGTATTATAAGGATACGGAATGTTGACACTGTGCGTTTTTATGAATTTTTGAAAGATGGCAAGATTTTTTGATTTTTGTTCTGAGACACTTGGATGTTAGGATCTAAACTTCGACTTGACGTAGGCGGGTCACTTAATGGACCCCTAGCCAGTGGTTTCTTTCCGACGTATTCTTCCGAGCCACCATTCCCAACCGAAAAAACTGGAAGAATACGAGAGCCAAAAACGATCACCAAGACCTTTTTTAATCGCAATATGTATTTATAAGAAAAAACAGGTCGAAATAATTTGAACCTAGAATGTAGGATCAAATCCAAGAAAACCGGGCGAGACTTCCTACTCCTCAATGAGCCCCACGACGCCCAGCAACAACCAAGGAGATAACATGAGCGTTCCATCTGCCCCAGTCATTGTCATAGGCGGCGGGATTGTTGGTGCCTCAATCGCCTGGCATTTGGCCAAGGAGAGGGATGTCATTATCATCGCAGAAGCAGTTGGCGGCGTGGCGACTCCCAAGTCATTTTGCTGGCTCAACGCGACTAGCACAACTCAGAAATATTATTATGATTTCCGACGCCGCTCTATGGCACGTTGGGCTGAAATTGGCAGAGAGCTGCCAGACCTCCCGATCTACTGGGGCGGCAACTTGACCTGTGATACAACCCCCGACGAGCGTGCAAAATTCCAGGACCTTCATCATGCCTGGGGTACAGACATCAGGCGCATGAACCAAACCGACCTTGTTACACTCGAGCCTGAAATCGACGACGCCGAATTTTCCTCAGTGGAATGGGGCCTTCATGTTCCCGAAGAGGGTACTCTGGAAGCACACGTCGCTGCAGCCCAACTAATCGCTAAAGCCAAATCCATGGGAGCTAGAGTGCTCACTACGAGTGTCACTGGATTCTTAAAGGATGGAAATCGTCGAATTTCAGGTGTGGTGACGGGCTGTGGGGAGATTCGGGGTAGCCACGTCATTCTGGCCGCAGGTCTTGGAAGCGTTCCACTGTTGGCAACAGAGAACATCAAGCTCCCACTGAAGAGTAGCGAGGGTCTCCTTGTGAATACTGCACCGACTAAGCGGCGATATCTTAACGCTTCGGTCCACTTGCAAGGCCTTCACATGCGCCAGAGGCTCGATGGGCGCATTTGTTTCGGTGCTAGCTTTGCAGGTGGAAAACCCGGTGATGAACCGAAGGCGACAGCGGAGGAGCTTTTCAAACAATTGCAAAAAACATTCAAGAAGGGAAGTGAGCTCGAGTTTGGTAATTACACTGTAGGTGTACGGCCTGATCCGGAGGATGGATATCCCATCCTTGGTTCAACTGGCTTGGATGGGCTTGACGTGGCTGTGATGCACTCTGGGGTAACAAATGCTGCGCTTGTTGGCGAGCTTCTTTCCAAGAAGATTCTACATGGAGTCGAAGATCCGATGCTCGATCGCTTTCGGCTTGATCGGTTTAAAAAGAGTTACGCAAGGCTCTAGGCTGCAAGTATGACATGTTCTGATGAGCTAAAAGACTTTGCGGGTGGGAATTCATCGGGGTTGCTGCCATGTATGATTTATACAGCATTGAATGCATACAGTAATATTCAAAATCAGATTTACCTCCACACTCTTCGACTTTAACTCCCGAACCGTAATTTACTTTACTTAAAATACGGTGCCTCGTCTCGTAACTGTATCTAAGCCCTTGTATTGTAATAACTCAAACACTTAAATCCTCGTAGGGTGGTACTAGAATGAGCCGCACTAGTATAATAGGTCGTGGTTGACAACTGAATTAGGTTAGACTAAGAGCCCCGTGGGTCTATAAGCTTAAGGGCTGAAGGGCTGAAGGGGTGCGATGCCTGGCTTCCAGCGCTAATAGGGAGTACTCGCTGAATTGATTTTCTTCGGGAGCCTCACCGAGGCGAGAGTCAAGCCTTGGAAATTGGCTATTAGCTTCCTTTGAGTCGGTCCGTTTCGATTCACTACCAAGCCTGAAGCCATACCCAGTAATACACTATAGACAGAAAGTCCGGCCCACGGCCCATCCACGAATCGAGCCCCAGTTAGTGCATAGCCTCCTCTCACGGACAGCTGCCCAACGAGGCTACGCCACGAGTTAGAGAAATAAGCGATAATCCTTAAACGAGAATATGTCTCAGGGTTGAAGATGAGCTGTACCATTAAAGGTTTAGGTAGAACAGCACATCGAAATCCACACGAGATCCGTACGGAATACGATATAGGACAGTGCACTACTTCTCAGACGCCCTATAGCTGTAGCTAGATTTGAAGGGGCATCAGTCTTGACGATCGAATTGGGGCGCCTTAATTATAACCCGCTCGTGATAAAAGTGTAGACCCCCAATCTCACGATCGAATTAAAATCTCGCCCACTCGCTTTGCCTAGTGTTTTCGCGATCTGCTCTCTGTTACAACCTTGAGACCCCCAGGATTGCGAGAACAAACGCTCATTATGGCCGAGCATAACCAGATCAATAACCAGAACAGCGAAGGTCAGTCCCCACAATTCTCCGAGTCTTCGAATGACTATCTCTAAGTCAAAGCTAGGTCTCACTCCTCTCGCAGCACCTCCGTACTCGGGCAGCATCCAGCCAGCTCCCTCCGAAGCCACAGGTGCTCACTCCGAGAAGCCTCCGTTGCACGGAGACTATAATGCACCCACTCCCGCCCACACCAACGAATCTGCCAGGGCATACCAGGGCCAGCCGACTGGCTATGCCACGGTTACACCTTTGCATGCGCTTTTATCAGTACCGTGTCCGGTGGATTGTCCATGCTGCGGAAAACGCGAAATGACGCGAATTGAGGCGGTTAGTGGAACGAAGACACAGTGAGTTGAAGCCCTGATTTTAATACAAAACCGATCGACTGGTTGATTGCGCCGGTTGATCAAATGTGATGTACGATACTAACATCTTAATAGTGGTTGGGCTGCTGTTCTCTGTTGCTGCTTCTGTCTCGGATGCATTCCTTACTTGATGTCCTCGCTCAAGGATGTCAACCACTACTGCAGCCAGTGTAGTGCTAAACTAGCGACTTGGCACAACAGCGGGCGTGTCGAGGTGCTGCAGACCGGACAAAGGGAATAATTGCGTTGTTAGGTGTTGGGGTTGGGGTTGTTTGTTTCGCCTGTCTTTGCCTTTCTACCACGGTGTTTTGAAGTGATACCACTTGGTTTTATGATCACGGGGTAATCTTTCTGCGTGGGGTGGGCTGTGCCTATGCCTTATTCCAATGTTTTTTACATAGTCATACTTGCACTATGAAGTGTCCGTGAAGCAAAGCATCGTCCCTTTTTCCAGACTTTCTCATCCCTGCCCTTCATTTTCATCATTTCAGGGCCGCAGTGTGCGCAGCGCGTGTCACCAGTGTCATTGCTGTAGCCTGCATATCGCTTTGGGAGTTGGACCTCAGGTTACGCGGTTTATATATACCCGTATCTGCTAGGCAACAGGAAGATCAGCTGCTGCACCTACAACAGCTGGATCTTGCCATGCAGATCAAATCACACTTGTACCTCAATCCAGGGTTCAACGCTGTGAGGGGTCGCGGGTAAAAGAAATCTACTACTACTACTACTGCCTGTAATACCGTTATGTCCTATGGAACCATGTGGGATCGCTTGGTAGTTCTGATGATTTAGCAAAGATCGCACGCCAGCTTTCCCCCTTTCCCTTCACTGCCACATCTTGCTCTTTCGTCTTACACCCACTAGTCATACTACAGAAGGCTGTGCCTATGCGGTAGAGAGTAAAACTCGGTATCCCAAGATAATATTGTTTTTCTATGGCTTCTGCTAATTGTGATTACTTTACAGGGAAAACTTAGAGCCCTTATTGTCAATGATGTCTACAGAACACATCACAACTCGAAATGCTCCAACCAGCCCCCTGGCTCCTGTGGCGGGCGGCCATCCAATAGTATCTTGCCAACTTAACCCCTTCCTAATCAGAGCACAAAAAGACCGGCAATGACTGCGGCACCGCCTAGCACTATTTCTTGAGCTGTGGCAATCGGCATGGCGGCATTGGCGGTGGCAGCTGCAGAACCCGAGCTTGTCGAGCTTGTAGAAGTCGCCACGTTGGTAGCAGGAGTTGCGGTAGCACCTGCTTGATACTTCGATGATGCCGAAGAGACCTGTTGCGAATAATCGCTGGCGGTCATTGGAATCTTTGTGAAGCATGAAGCACTACTGCTGCTTGCCGTAGAAAATATGTCACCCATTTTGCCGCCAACACAGCAATAATTGCCGTCGGCCGAATCTTGCTCAAAGCCGAAGCAGCATTGGTTGTCCTCACCCTCCCAGCCCTGTGGGCAGGCCGTTGTAGTGGCCGCGAGGGAGAGGGCTATGAGCAGCAGACTCTTGAAGGATGGCATTGTGGGTTTCAAGTGGACCAGGTGAGAGTAATTATGAATGGTTGATTGAGCGCGTTCAGAGACTCTGAATATGGATTGTGCTTACTTTTTATAGATGATATGGATGCTAAGGAGCTTGCTGGGGCTGAAAAGCCCTGCGCACGGAGCTGCGATAACTTTGATAAATTCCTTCTTGATTGGTGTAGACTCCAAATGCTTAGCGAGGCTTGTCTATACGACCCATTCGGGGCTGAGGCTCGGGCTCGGGCCTGGGGGGCCTGAAAGGAGAATTGTGTTTATCAGACATTATTAGCTATTGATCTCCATCCGTCTTAATGTCCGTGCACTTAAGAATACTCCGCAACCCCCAATTCCAGCGGCAATGTTTCTCTTTACCCTGCTTAAGCAAAGACATTCTAGGCTGAATTCTAGTGACGTCTTTATTAGAACTTTCTACTATATTTCCTGCTTAGTGTGCCTAGGCCGCTACCGTTTGGGGCCGCTTCCCCTGTTTGAAACCCTGTACGAGTAGCGCCCTACGAGGATTTAAGTGTTTGAGTTATTACAATACGAGGGCTTAGATACAGTTACGAGACAATGCACCGTATTTCAAGTAAAGTAAATCACGGTATCGAGACTGGTACAGGAATATTGATATTCCGATTCTATTATAATGTGGTCTATTTTATCTTGGCGGTGGGATCAAAAATTGGAATGGTCCAAAATCACGCCTAAATTCCTGTGACTAGAGAGAAACCTACGCGGATACGTAAGATTATGCTACAGCATACCGAGCGGACTTGATAGAGAGCGTGGCCTATTGCAACAAACATTCATTACGGTATTTTGAGCTCAAAATTTCTAAAATGAATCTATATATGACCAACAAAAGCGTGCAGCGCGGTCAAATAGTACGTGCCATGCGAAAAAAAGGAGAGCAATACCAGATAATTCCTTGAGCAACGACGCCAGGTATTCTATATACAACTATTTCTGATGATAGCTCGAGAATATCGAAGCTACCTTGGGGAAAAAAGGCAGGATACCACGCGTTTTAGGTATGTAACACCATCTTTCAATACCTCCAATATTGCAGCGCATGAGGGCTTTGTTCATGAAAGCCCCAGGTAGTCATAATAATGTTTACTGGCTTTCCGACTGGAAATGGCTTATCAAGAATTCTGTTTACCATGCCGACTGTGTCAGACGATGCGTGCTGAAATCTCTGGAGCACTGGCCATCCTCTCTTCGCATCTTTGTTTTCGCTCCCCTTAAACACTCAAAAGCAGGCATTAATTCCTGACAATCAATCATTATCATTCAAGCTTTTTCCAGTAACTACTTTGTGCTTACTGCGGTACAATGGTTGATTCACGCTGACTGTTCGAAATTAGTTGGGAAACATTCCCATGAAGAAGAGTAAGTCAACTTAATACGACCGTGAGATCGTTCCTCGCGACTCTGCCCTCCAGAATTGTCAACCAATTCCATGGTCAAAATGCCCTAGTCTGGTGACAGTGGACCGAATCAAAGGTTTAGCAAAAATTCGGGAATTTTCGACCTCTTCTCAAACGTGGACACGAAGAGCAAACTCTTGATTGGCCGGTCGTATTGTTCATACGCCCCCGACGATGGGATTTAAACGGGTACATGATGGTTATATACATTTTCTTTACGGAGTACTCAGAACCACTGGGCAGATTCAAGCTGACTAGCCATTCTCCTACTTTCTACCTAGGTAGCATGTTTTATAGATTTCTTTAGCTCAAAAGCATGCCAACGTTCACGATTTTGTAACCAAAATCCCAACAACGAAGAGGTGGTTGAGCCTTAGCTAATCAGCTTCCAGTCTTTTGTTAGCCATATCTCTATGACCATGACTCGTTTTGTCACTGAAACTTATGGAAAGCGAATGCCAAAAGCAGACCTTTCAGCTAGGAACGTCCTAAAGTAATAAAGATGGCGAGGTTCCTTATAACCAAACGCCGCAATCCGTCAACTGTGTGGATTCGGTTGGGACAGGGCCTTATCTTTAAGCGACCACTAGTTATCTTTACGCGATGATTAGGTAGATTAGTAACCTCCTGCCGACCACGAAGCTTCCCAAGGTTATTCTCTATGACGATGCTGCCCTTCTTGCCAAACGCCACAGAGCTGCCTTCCAACTTGTTGCATTTTATGATCGTGGACAAGCAAAAATCCCCAAAGAGCCGTAATGAGGTAACGCAACGCTATTGTACAGAGTACGGCCACTGGCTTTTTCGTAAAAAACCATGGAGAATACGACTCAAATCGCGCAACACGCAATGAAAAAACTGCGATAATACTTCGGTCGGTAATGATCACACAATGCCGGCATTTTCCAATTCTTCTAACCACAACCATGGTTATGTAACTGCTTTTCTTACTACAAGAGAAAGAATAAGTACATACCTGAATATGGTTTCGGTGTTATATTTTTTTTTAGCTTTGTGGTTTCTACTTTGGACATATCTCGTAGCGAATTACAGTGGTGCACCTTAGCCATACGAGGATTTTTAGGACCCTTCGAGTTGTAGTTGACGAATCCTTGGATATAGTGACCCTAATTCCTCATGAAAATCGCGTATATAAGATAGGGACCTCAGGAGATAGTCCCATCGGAAAATGTTTAGATAAAGGATAACCTTCATGGAAGAAGCTCATTTTCTCCCTTTATATACAAATTACAAGAGAAAGCCACCTCGGACATTAATCACGATGGTCAGTCCGCCTCGAAAACAGAGCATTGACAACAACTGACTGCCGCAGTCTCTTACCCTACAGCTAAAGCCCCGGGAAGCTGCACAGGCCGCCTTGAAATGTCTACAAGCTTGGTGGCTAGGGTCATTGGAATTTGAGGGCAAATTGGCCAGAAAAGGTCTCCACCCGGATCTCAGAGTGCTTATGTGCACGTGCCAATCGCTCCGAACAAATAGGTTCTGCCTCAGAGCCATAGACGACCTAGCCAGCAATCGTTCATTGGAAGAACATGTGAAACGTGTCGCAGACGAACTATCCCCAGATGCCCTTTTCAAGCTTTCACTTATTACGTGTCACTTCATCAAGAGGGGATATTCTTGCCCAATTACCCAAGGACTGCTCCAATTCTTTGCCGAGCCTGAGGATAAGTTTCAAGTTGTTTGTCAGGATATTTATCATGGATATACTGCGGGAGATAGTCAGCCATCATTGACAGAGTTTGAGCATGCGCTGGAAGAACTTCTGGGCTTTATTGAATTCCAGCTGATTAGAGGAGGATGGAGATTAGTTTACCCAGCCTAGTTGCAACGTTAAAGTGTGTGAAAAGGGTAGAGAACAAGGTGAGTTTCAATGATTTTGTTTTATTCAAGCACAAAATTGATTCGCGTTTTACCGGAGGGCTTCGTCATTGCAAGCGTAATATCCTTATCCTACGGGCCTAAAGTTTTACCTGAGACATAGACCCCCGGCCGGGGACTGCACGTTCCACAATCGGCAGGTAACTTCACGGCCGTAGCTCACATATATCGAGGCCGTTTTAGGCAATGCACTGCACCTAATGAAATACTGTGACCAAGACCTGAGGGGAGCAATCCAAGCAGGTACTGAGAAGGAAATCCTCCGGGAAAATATTATCATACACAATGGAAAGCAAGGAACAAACTAGGGCTTAGCATCAAGGGTAAATCTCGGTTGAAGAGAAGTTCAACTCTGCAAGAGGTATCATTGGGCACCGTGTTCTACTTCGACTCTCCTGAGGGCCGAGGCAGCAAGATGGGCCTTGGTAAAATGGCCAGAATTGCACTCTCAGTTCTATAGCAGTATCTCCAAATTTCAAAACAACAGTCTCATGCTTACTCTTTTTTAATTAGCCAAGGTCAATTCCCAGTGTGCCAACCTGAGTAAGCCTTGGCTGAAAATAACGCATGAAAGATAGACGAAAAACATTTCGTATTTAGATAAGATAGCACTCACTTTGGCCGAGATCACCTGAGTACATTAAACTTTCTTCCCTCGCAATAGCTCGCAGATTCCAGGAAATATGCAGCTGATTGTCAGAGAGTGCGGCCATCAGCACCGACTGAAGGTGAAGTTCGTCCATGATGGACAAACATTGTTCCTCACTTTCTGTTCTAGTCTCGCGTTCAAAGTCTGTATCACATGGATACTTCTGCACTTGCAGAATCTCCGCCTGGGCGAGCGTGAAACAATCAGGGAGGGAGCCTGGAAAACCCAGAGTGTGGGCAAAAAGTGTTTTCCTTCGATTCAGATGAAGGATTTTAGGAAGCGACAGAAAATACCGAGCTAACTCACTGGTAACAGGCACAGGGTGTATACGAAGAATGTAGGGTGAGTGATATTGGCCATCATATGCTTACTGCACTTACTTGTTACTCAACTCGCTTGTGCCATTAGAAAGTATAAGTATGAAACACAATGGAATACCACGTTTCACAGCTGCTCCCGAAAAGCACAACTTTAAACTGGCCCGAGTATCTCAAGTTCATAGTAACCTCTTCAGATCCATACCACGATTATGCTAAATAGACTCAAGCCATCGCCACAAACTCAATGCAGCCCTGTAGCCACTTCTGATGCATCGACCTTGGTCCTTGCGAATTTTCTTGCCGATATCTTCTTTTGGAACAAAAGGTCAATATCTGTGACTGTTCTGTCCTTGGTCTCTGGCAGAATGAAATATGTAATCAGAATCCCGCATACAGAAGAGACTCCCCAGAAAAATCCCGACTTGGCACCCCATCCCCACGCAGTAGGGTTGATTTGATATGATGTCAGAACGCTAGCAGCGATGTTGATCACCGTATAGACAGCGCGGCCGATTGGAACTGACTTGCTTCGGAGTAAAGTTGACGGAATCTCTGGAACAAGCGCAAAGATAATGGGTATCATGCAAACGTAACAAACGAAGCCATTGATCACGAGGAGAGAAGCAATTCCCCACGAGAAATCACTGTTGCTGTTGTGAACACCCAGCCCGCCAATAACGAAGTAAATAGCAGTATTCACGTAAAGGCCCCAGAGAAAGAGCGTTCGCCGCCCAATGTAAGGCATTAGAAACCACTTCAGAAGAACCTGTCGTCAGCGTGGAAGCTTGTGAGAATAAGCATGACCAAAAAGAACGTACCGAAAGTACCGTCCCCACAAAACTTAGTACATAAGTTATGATGGACATGTTGAACGCCTGCTCTGTAGGTAGACCAGCTTGCTCAAAAAAGTAGGTCGCATATGCCCGAAGGGTTGTACCGCCAATGATCTGCATGCAGAACAGGAAAACAACGAGCATTGTGCGCCGAAAATCAGTGCCCTTGAAGCAAGCAATATAACTGGTGCTAGAATTTATTCGGCGTTCATGCTCTGTTGTTGCCACCATTAGAGCCACAGTCTTATCGATATGCGAATCGCTGGCGTATTCTCCAGATGTCAAGCGCCTGAGGGCCTTCTTTGCATCCTCAATGCGATTCTGTCGGATAAGCCACCAAGGGGACTCTGGAGCAAGCAGCACAGCAACCAAGATGGGAATCGGCCAGAACCACCTATCGGAATGTGAGAAAGGGAAACCTTTGGAAGTATGGCCAAGTACTTACTGAATGGCGAAGGGAATACGGTATGCCCAGGGGGCCTTCATATGAAGAACACCCCGAATTACGCAAGTAACAAGGATCTGCCCAATAACCTAAGGTGCGTTAGTCAGTCCAAAAACAGACGAATGTATCAATAACTTACCCACATCTGGCTGACGTAGCTTGTCAAGAAGGCTCGAAGAGATGTCGGTGCGACCTCTGCGGCGTAGACGCAAGTAATGGTTTGAAAAACCGCAAGTGGTATACCTGTGTGATGAATAAGAAACCATGGTAATATCATGAACAGTTATAACCAATAGACCAACCTAGCAAGATTTGTCCGACCTGAAGCAAGACTAGACTGTTTGCGAAAAACTGGATGAAAATAAAGCAAAATGTGAGGAACAAGGTAAACATGATGGTTTTACGAAAACCGAACTTATCTGTCAGATGCCCGGCCAAGTAAAGGCCTAACAAGCATCCGACAGATGAACCGTTGTTCAGTCCTGATTGCCAAGGGGCAGTAATCTGGTAGCTGCCGTTCTGTTGCAGTTCGCCATAGGCTTTTTGAAAGGCTGGCTGTGCGAAGAGGGAGCTGATGACGTGATAATCATACCCATCCATGATTGAGGCAGCTGATACAATCATACTCCACGCGACGGCCTTGGGATAGAGCTTCATGGCTTGAAGAATGCTTAGCTCACGATCCGTCGTGTTCGCCTCCTGGGCATCTGCTGCGAGCTCTCTTTTTGAGAAATGAGGGCCCGCATCTTCCTTTGACATGGCTGGCGAATCCATTATGCCCATTCCGAGTAGAACTTCGCGAAGATAGCGTGAGATGAGTGGCGAAGAGTTTGGATATGATTGAATAAATAACAATCACTACCAGCCTCGAGCAATGATTTTATAGAACTTGTCCTCATAGTTTTTCCGATGTACGTGCCCACAACATTTGCGGGGTGACCCAATCACAGACAGTATACTCCCCACGAGATCTAGCTGACTTGTCCGAAAGCGGCAGAGTGCGAATTTATGGGGTTGATCATGCGAAAAGAAAAGCAAAGGAAGAGAAAAGTCTAGCTGTAACGCCTCACTCACACTTTTCCCCCCCCTTCGAGGCAACTCAACTTGAACCTTATCTCTAGCCGAAATAATCCATTATGTATCTAGACTTTCTTATCTAGAAGCGACGCCCTCGCACGGACCTTTTCCATGGCAGCGCTTCGATAACTTCATGGCGAATACAGTGATATTCGAAATCAGCTTTACCTCTGCTCTCTCTCACTCTGTTTCCCAGAGCTCCACCTGAAGCACATTATTCCAGTTTAGGCTAGACTCGGATCCGCATCGCATCTACCAATGTATTCTTGATGGGTCATAGTAAATTACGGTAATCACCAGTGGACAGCAGCTGCAATAGTTTTTTGAAGAGAAAAGGGTAATAGGAATTTAAGTAGCATGTTCGTCACAGATGTTCTATGCTGTGCCCCCTTATCCGTATCGGCAAAAACCTATCGTCCGGTTTGTAAGTAGGATATAGTCCGCCACTTAGAAATCCTTAACACACAAATTATCATCCAACCGTCCAATTATGCTATATATCGTAAAGTCCTTTTAGCCTTCCAAAAATAAAAAACTATTACTTTGATATAATGTTCATTCCCTCCACAGGCTCACAAACCGTCAGAGATGCAGATGCTTTGGGTCTAATCTAATATCATCTTTATCATGCTCCGTTGCTGAGCAGACAGACTCTGGTTTATGTTCGCATTACACCTTGCTCCTAATGTGCACACCTGTATAAAGCTTCGGGAATCCGGTGTTACCACCTATATTCTTTGATTATTCCTCGAACCCTAATATCAAGAAGGGATAATATTCTTAGTCAGTGTACAAAAGCACCACTGTTTTAAGGATATAGATATCATAAGATCAAAAAGTATTCCGTAGCCTTACAAACAGAAAAGATATTATATTATGCCTCTTTGACTATTATGCTGCTCGTGCTATCCTGTTGAATGATATACAATTCAATTTCCATTTACATACAATAATTTGGTCTTAACGCTTGTGATACATATGATCGTCCTGTCCCTCCTTGTTTGTTGGTTCATCGTGAATATCTGTTTGGTGAAGGAGAGGACTCTTTTTAATACTCGGACTTTTTCTATATATATCTTCGTTGGCATTTTCGTCAACGTTACTGGAGGCAGGGATAGAGGCATAAGGATGCGAAATGCTTTCCCGATAAGGATGGGCTCTACCCGTTTGAATAGCGCCGTTGTCAGTCTCGCGATTAGCGGTAGAAAGAGCGAAATCGCCAGAGTCAAAGTATGTCCGTTCCTGCCGATTGTTGGTTAGCGCGCGCTATAAGAAACTGTATTATTAAGTACCTTGGACTTTTGAGCCAGTAAGCCTCCACGTGGTAGCTTTCCGTACTTTTCGAGGAGACGGCTCTCGGATTTAGACAATGGCTGAGAGGAATATTAGCGTCGTTGGTTATAGGAAGGGTGGGACCTACTTCGGGATCCGGTCCTCCTGACTGCATTCTGCGAGATTTAGTCTTGTATTTTCAGATGATTTTCCAAGCCTGGGATGGGGACTGTATCTGAGTAGAGATACTCAGAATTCTCGAACGGAATATTCATGACGTTATCTGTCCTGTCGCGTGATCCAACGGTGATTAGTCAGCGATATGGGCGGGGCAATTGGAAAGCTGTACATATCCAGTCATCATTACGAGACAGGAATTTTGCTCTTCCGGAGATAAACGAAGGATGAAGATCTCTTGTCAGAGTGCTTTTCATTTGGAAATGAGTATTACAGTAATTAATGACGACATTTTGAAGGTACATTGATAGAACTCAAGTGGGTCATCCTTGACCCAATCTGGTATGGCTGGATTTTGGTGGGGCTCCGGGAAACAGTGCGAGAGAGTGTGGAGGTAAAGCTGATTTCGAATATTACTGTACATCTTGGACTCACTACCTTTCGATGAATCTTGGTGAGATTCGAGGCTGGCAATAGGGCTTGAAAACCGTTCTGGCCTCCATCTTGTGGCGATGGATTGGGGGGCTATACGGATGGGCGGCAAAACATAACCCGGAGATCTACTCTGTACGAGCCTTATTTAATTGAAATTGAATTGATACTCCGAGTCCGTACGAGCGTAAGATTAATTGGGAATCTCGGTAAAGCGGATACAGTGTAGAATCGACTCCATTTACTTCGTACTCCGCCAACGGATCGTCCTATTCATACTAACCATTCATAGCCGTTTGCGAATGAATGCGTTATACATATAATTATTGACTCTTGAGAGATGGGGAACTCTCGCTAGCTGGCTGGCTGCGCAGTGTTGACGGGTCGATCCCATTGCAACGACGGAAAGCGACACCACAAGTCACGTATACTTAGTATGTGAGGTAGGTTGGCGCATTCCACCTTCCATTGTCGGTATCAAGGCTTAGCCAGACAAGAAAACTGACCCACCGAAATATTCCCACAGGTCAAACACTGTCCAAGTATATTGTAAATTAGTGTAGCGAATAGTCTATAATTCCATGTGACTTCATCTCCGCGTATAAAGGTCAGTTGACCTTTCCAGTGATTCTCAGTTTAAAATTACACTTGATCTCAGTAATCCGGTACCGCAATCCACCATTGAACATGTCGTGTCTTCCAGCCGGTGTTGCAAAGTCCTTAGATGAGACCAAGGCAGACTATCGACTTCTCGGAAACAGTGGTCTTCGGGTGTCGGTTCCAATCATCGGGTGTTTAAGCATTGGAAACCCAGAATAGGCAGGCTGGGTATTAGGACCTGAAAAGGCCCTTCCCCTACTTAAGGGAGCTTATGATCGTGGAGTCACTACCATTCGTTTCATCAAGGAACCCTAGTTAACTATATACCCGGACTCACCTCAAGATTGATCTACCTAGTGGGATACGGCAAACATTTACTCCAACAGCAATTCAGAGAGAGAGTTATTGCGGAAGCTATAAGGAAATATAGCCTTCCGCGGCATAGGCTAGTGTTGATGGCAAAGACCTGGAGCCGTATGGGAGAGCAACAGTTCCATACATACCCTATCCTAGACGAGCTTAGACAAACAAAAGACTATATCAACCAGTTCGGTAAGCCTAACGAACCACCCTTTTTTTCTAACAATTTATTCAATGTGTGCTGATCCCACTACAAGGACTCTCGAGATCGGCACTATTCACCGCAGTGAACGATTCTCTGGCACGTCTGGAGACAGATTATATTGACGTCTTCTGGATTCATCGCTTTGACCCGTACACGCCAATTGAAGAGACTATGCGTGCTCTTCGCGACCTAGTTACCTACGGCGGGAAATTCGGATACATTGGAGCCTCATCAATGTGGACATACCAGTTTGCGCTGATGCATTTCTGCGCCGAGAAAAACGGGTGGACCAAGTTCGTTGCAATGCAGGTAATCAAGATGTCCAAATTTGTATGGGAAACACTAATAATTTTGGACTCAGGAGCCGAGAGTTACAGGCCTTCAGGGCGGTCAGGTAAAACACCCCTATATAGTTACCTATATGCCTGCTGACCATCCTGCTCTTATCGAGCACCGTAGGCAAGAGGCCAATGAAATGTGGCCTTCGTATTTCCCCGAAGGGGCCCACGGACCGCACCGGCATTTATGTACTACAGTTTTCCCAACACAAGCCCCACATCCCCGCAAATCACAAGGCGGAATACTATAAACCTTTGTTATTGGAGATTAATAAAACGTACAAATCGTCGTGGATCTCTCGCACCTTGCAAGCATCGCCCGTTTCGATATTCGCGGTAAATCTTGAAGTCTTGAGGAATCATCACCCAAGCACTCTCTACTTTGTTGGATCAGAATGCCGTTAGCCACGCTATGGACCAAATCTACCTTGGCGGTATACGTCGAGACATTGCGCGAAATGCCGAAGGAGCTGGTATGGAATAAGCATTTGCTCCTATCAACCCTCTGCTACGCCACGGCCTCTATCCCTTTGAGTAAGTTCATTTAAGCAAGGTCTTTAACTAATTGCGGGGGATCGCGGTTGATTTCTTTCCTCAATACAGCCTGGGATCAAGGCTCATCCTCCGTGATTCCAATTTTGCCTGGCTTCCAGGACCAATTCGGTTTCAGCAACCATGATGCCGGCGAATTGCGTTACTTTGTATCAATCGTCTTCGCTGGCGCTGGAGTAGGTGCATTGCTGTCCGTTTTCATCAATGATCGTCTCGGGCGGCTCTGGGCATGGCGCTTGTATGCTACGATTTGGATTGTTGGACAGCTAATCATGTGTTTGACCCCCACGGTTAGTGGCCTATGGGCAGCGCGAATTATCTGTGGGCTGGGCATCGGGCCGCTGACTGTCATTGGAACCATGTCTATTGTGGAGATCGCCCCGACGGAGATTCGTGGACTCCTCGCTGTCTGGTTCAGTGTTCTGATGAATATATCATCCATATGCGCCATCTTCGCTGTTTTAGGTTCGTACATTCACATACCCACCAGCCGGATGCAATACCAGGTTGTATGGTTCTCGCCGTGCATTTTCTTTGCACTCATAATTGGCGCGAGCTTCTTTCTTTGTGAGTCTCCTCGCTGGCTTTGGATGGTTGGGCGTCGCGATGAAGCTGTACACACATTGGTCAAGTTGCGAGGTCTGCCAGCTAGCCATCCTCGGGTCGAATTTGAACTCAATGAGATCCAAAAGGCCATCGAAAAGGACATGGGACACTATGAAGCGACTTCTTCAAGGCTTTATGGCAACTTCAAGGAGACTTTCACCGTTCGATCCAACCTGCGCCGTCTTCAGCAGGTCTTGTTGTGCTACGCCCTTGCTCAGCTGTCAGGCGCGAACTCGATTACATCTTACTTTATTCCCATCCTCAATCTGCTAGGAGAGGCAGGGGATACGACCCATAGCCTATTCTTATCTGGAATGTACAGCACGTCGAAATTGTTTTTTACATTGATCGCTTCTTTCCTCCTGATTGATATCCTGGGGAGAAGACGTTCGCTCCTGCTGGGTTCTGCTTTGCAGATGGTGTCGGATATATACCTGGGTGTGTATATCAAATATGAACAGGCTGGCAAGGCAAATGGAAGTTCGTCCCGGGCAGCCATTGCCATCCTCTTCGTCCATGCATTTGGGTATGCAATTGGTAAGACCATCACTTAGCTTTGAATGACCAACCACGCTCTCCCATATCTTGCCGCTAACTACCACCCGTAGGCCTTTTTGTTTTACCGTATGTCTTTGGCGGAGAGGTATGGCCGAATCACATTCGATCTTTTGGTGGAGCTATCACTCAATGTTTCCACTGTACGAGCATATATGTTGATTAGATATTCCTCTCTTGACGTTTTGACTGATTGATCTTTGCAGGGTTGTTCTTTTTTGCCATGAATTTCGCGCTTCCGTCGCTTCTAGCGACAACAAATAATTGGGGCGCGTTTCTATTTTTCGCTGCTTGTTGCCTCATCGCCCAGGCTTATGTATTCTTTATGGTCCCAGAGACGGCTGGACTGAGTGTCGAAGAACTTGACGCCATATTTGACAGGCCCTGGTTCCAAGCATACAAGTCTACAGGCAAAATTACCCGCATCTTGGAAGGCACCGATATGGAGAATCAAAAAGAGTGGGTCCCAGATCTAGGGTTTAGCATACGAAAGCAAAAGCTGACTGACCAGTACTTCCCAGGACAAGAAGCATCAGCCAAGACAGAGTACGGGGGACTGAAATTGACAAGCCAAGCGTGCTCCAAGCAGAACACTACAATCAGGAGATACTTAAATTCGACGAAAACTAAGATTGTAGTGTGGAGGATTGGTAGGAGATGACATATTGGTTACAATTTATACAAGTCATGTTATCACCCGAGACTTTCGTACCCTACATGAGCCGTTATGCAATCCTGGGATTTGCTTGAATGTACCATCATATTATGTTTGTGGAGACAAACACCCCGGGCTGTGTATATCATTAGCGGGACGCGGCCTACGAGCTTAATCTGCTCCGTAGCTGGATTTAGCTTCAGACAAGTATTTGCGGTGGGAAAAATGGAGAACAAACCCTTAATTCCATATACCGCAGAAGGCGCTTCTTTGGGAAATATCATTTACTACACGAACAGGTTGCCTTCAATATACACATCCCGATACCGTGAAAAGAAGTGGTTGGCAGGTAGAATCTTATAGAAACGAAATTCATTTGAGCGGTCCCTCTTGAAATCACTAGATAGCTACCAGTATCAAGTATTTTGCCTGCTTTCTTTTTCACTAATTATATACTGCTACGAAGGAAAAAGATCGTCCATAAACCCACTCATTAGCTGATCAATTCCGGAGGAATTTCCACTTTCCGCAACATTTTCCACCCATTGTGACAGGTCTTTTGGGCAATATTCTTCCCATGAAAGATGAGAGGGTTGCGCAGTGATATCGCCCTGCTGACTATTTGCGATCATAGTCATAGTGCTGCTTGCAAGCGCCTCGAAAATGTCACGGTAAGGAGCAGCATCAGCCCATCTCTCTGCTAAAACCACTAGGACCATTGTACAATCAATACAGGTACTACTGATCTGGTCGTGTCGTGATAATCTGCGTGCCTCTGGTGACATCCAAAGACAATAAAGGTAGGTCAAGCCGGCTAGAAACAAATTGTGCAGTGCACCCCAGGTACAAGTAGTAGGCTTCCCAATAAACTGGCGGCGATAGCTGTGGCAAATGTCCTTAGCGGCAAATAAACACCGACTGAAGACGGCCTCGACTGCTTTCCCTCTTTCATTTTGGTTCGTTATTTGAACACGAAATAGATGCAAAATTACCAGGTTATAGTTGGCCTGGTACCAATCCGGGGTCGTAAAGAAAGAAAGCGTGCCGCTTTCGGGAGGGGGCATAGGAGGTGGAATAGACGCCTTCCAGTTTTCAAGACGGTCTAAAAGTTCTTGGACACGAGCACCGCAAATTTCAGGATCACTGAGAGTAGTGTCGGCATAGATTTGGGTCTGAATGCAGCCTAGAAGTGATCGGTTGCGAAAAGCATGAATTCCATAGGTCATTATCGTAGGTGTATCGGTCAAAGATCTTCGTGTTGAACCGTTGACTTCGGTCTCTGTAAGATAAGCATCCGAGATATCTAGAGGAAACTATCGACTTTTAGATATCACACCAAAATTGTTACCAACAATAGTTTTACCTACCTCTGCGTCAATTTCCTGAAAACGGAGACTCAGCGGTCGCCCTAACATGACGGCAGCTGAGCATTCCATCGCATATGCACTCCAAAAGGTGCGCTTTTGCAATTCTTTTTGGAGTGAAGAAGCTGACAATCCCAGTTGCTTGGAATTGCGGTGATACCCGAGATTCACGCACTGGCATACGGCCTGAGTAGCGAGCTTCCTGTGCCATGTGAGTCGCCGCCTATGTTTATGCTCGAAGTTATTCTTACCAATGGGAAGTCCCTCGAGATGATCTAAGAGAGTAGGCAGCGCAGCAAAGCAATGCCTGTATAGATTCCAAGGTATCATGGCAAAGAATATCGTCGATATAGAGTAAGGCAGAAGCATATAGTTCCTCCGGTGCATATCCAGGAGTCGGTAATAGTAAGGCACCGATCGCATATACCTAAAAGGCTTAACACAATAGTTTGGTCTAAAAATCGAAAAAAGTACAAACCATGTTCATGAAAAAAAGTGGGCCTGGCTGATATTGAAGAGTCAGCACCGCGATAGGATCTTTTAACGCGTGATCCCACATCCTGAAGGTCGGTTCATGCAGGAATGGATACTGCGGGTGTATGTTCTGGAAATACCCGTTGCTGAGTCTAACGGCCACGGGGTAATCTGGGAGTTGGCATGGCCCTGGCGCTTCCAGATCGTGGTGGTTTTGATCGATAAGTTCGAAAGGTACGGCTGAAACTGGTTGGCGGAGAGCAGTGCCAATGAAGCGCGAGAAAGCAAATGTGGATGATGGGCCAAGAAAGCAGGGCTCTGATCCAGCTGCTTTCAAACTTAGAGCTCCAATGGCGCTAGATATGTGTATGTGCTTGTCGTCCTCGGTAGGAGCGCTAGGTGGGCTGCTCGGCGGGGGTGAATTATCAGCGTCCGGACGGAGCAATCCTCGTAGCCTGCTTTCTAGAAATTCAACACGTTCTTCCAATATTGTGGTATAGTTTCGTGGCTGCTGTCGCCTTGTAACGGGGTCCTCGACGAGACAAACTATATATTGCTTAACCAGGCTGTTTTCAGACCAGCCTTCCTTTCAGATACCTACCTAATCTGTTTCGCTGACAGCTGGAGCATGCTGGAATTTGACCGTCACACTGTGTCAAGAAGTTAGTTAGACTTCTACCAGCGATTAGAGATTGGACATTCTCTGAGCTTCCTCTCCTTGCAGCTCACACAAGCTACCATAGTTCTGATTCCGGTGCGCACCCGATGCGAGGCACCCCTTGCTAATCGACCTTGTAAAGGATCAGGCATCTTTGAGCTTGGGTGTAGATCGGTCCGAGATTCCAAGACTGAATGGTCTGTCAACTAATGATCTAGCGCCCCGCCTTTTATGTAGTGTGGGCGACGGTACGGAGTACGGAGGACTAGAAAGAACTTGATCGCTCGCCCCCTCATCGAACCAAGGCATCGGTTACTAGTGTGGTATAGCCCAGTAACTATATGTAGTCTGAGTCGGCAAATCAGACCTGCCCAGGTGGCTGACCCAATCCTGAATTCCAAATCAAGATTGGGTCTCGGGAAGGTTCCCGAGGTCATTTCGAAGACTCAACGATTGGCTCTCGGTGGCCTATCTGTGACCTTGAACTCTCCAGGGCTTGGAGCCTTGGAGTAGCGGCCCCTCATGAGGTCGCAAGGTCCGTCACACAGTAGTAACTAGTAGTACTAGTATATTACCAGAAATACGCTTCCATCGAGCGATGCTGAAATAATATATATCCATGGTTATCTTATCAACATTATCACACCCTAAAATATTCGTCGACCTGTTAGTACTAGTAGTAAAAATATTTAGTATGAAATATTAGACTCTAAGATAACTTAAGACGATTCTCTCAGCACTCAGCGCTGAAATATGAGGTTATGGAATATTGTATTTAGTATAGTGTCTTGGGGCGACCAGCCTGGGCCACGAATTATGTTCGATAGTTTATTTGGCGATATGGAAAACCAGAACGACACCAGACCCCAGGTGAACAGCCCCATTAAATACACTGAAAGCGGTATAATAATCTATCAGCCGAGAGCGAACGGGTGGCTCTCAGCAGGAAATACCTATGTAGCTAGTACTAACCGTCACCTACCCTCCCCGCTTACATATCCCTAGTTCCATCTCAGCTTCCTTCTCCCTCCTCAAGCTACTACTTTGGTTCGAACCGCTACTAATTCATTATATCCTATGCTACGCCTTGCGTTGATCTGTGAGTATCTGGGCATCCTGACATGAATAGTCATTTGTAACGTCGGATCGGGGCCCACGGTTTTTAATTACCATGAGTCCCGGAAGAATACGAGGAGCTAATCAGGAGTCGTGCTTCATAACCACGTATTGATGTGGGGTCGGCAACTCCCGAATATTTTGCATGTTCAAGTTCTTTAGTTAATCGGTCCATCATTGTAAAGGAGGGAGAGCTGACTAGTTCCCACCCAGCTATGACATCCGGAATAAACAAAATGGTGGCCTCTACGGCTCTGCTCGCGATGCCAGGGGAGCGGTGAAGATTGGTTACTGATACGCAAAACAAGTGCATTAAGATTGTTAGATTTGCATAGGAAACAGCACATGGGAATATCCTATAAAATAAATGTAGGCCGACTAGACCAGATCTAGAGAATTCATAATTGCATAGCATGGCACACCGCCTCCCACCAACAGAACAGGCGGACTTATTTCAAGCCCTGAAGTTTTCAAACGGACTCGATCATGAAATATTTGCGATTTCTTTTTCTGTTTTTAGGAAAGAAAATGAAATAAAGCAATGCATCACCAACCCGACCATTTAGGAAATGTAGCTTCCCAAGACAGTCTTGGCCTGGTCATCCAGACGGGAGCCTGCCATCTGCGAAACACGTCCATTGTGCTTCTTATCTGCCTCCTTCAGGTAAGTACCGACCCAAGCCTTGAGGTCCGCACCGGTCTGGGGCCAGGGGTCCTTAGGCGAGGTGCGGATCGTGTTCAGGGGAGTGAAACCAACACCGAACGACATCTGATCAATGTCTACCTCAGCGTTGACATCGTCCTTGTGAGTGACGTCGGGAGGAAGTTCGAGGAGCTTCAGCAGTGTGTTGACGGTGAAACCCCAGCCCTTCTGCGAGTATTTTGTGGCGAAGGCTTCCGAGTCGGCAACGATTTTGGTGAGGGAGAGCACAGCTGTCTTGCGGTCCAAGGGCCGGGCGAGCTTCTGAGTATCTTGAAGAATCACGTTGAGATATACGGGGGTGAAGAGGCTGGAGTGGTTTTATTAGCACTGTGGGGTTGAAAAAAAGGAGGGTGGAGAGTCAACTCACCCCGGCTGCACCTGCTCGGTGACCTGCATGATAAAGTCGGGGTTATAGCCCTTGTCATCATGGGCCGTTACGAAGTGGTAGAAACGGACGAAGCGGACGGACAGAGTCTCGGTCTTGGAGTTTTGCAGACGCTGCATGATGATCTGCATGATGGAGACGAAGTACTGTTGCAAGGCGGTTCTAATTCGGGCCATCAGTTGAAAATTCTCATGGATATGTTATGGAGCAGCGACTTACGGTGGGAAGCTTGCAACAACTGTCTCCAGAAGATCGAAGGCATAACCCTCGTTGGCCTTGGTGGAGACCAGCTTCTGGAAGATACCGAGAATGGGCTCGATCTGGTTTTGCTGGGCAATATAATCAGAGCCACGGGGGATGATGGAGGCCAGAAGGCGAACAAGCGCAGGAATGTTTCCCTTCGAGTCCCACATGACGGGCATCAGGATGGGCCCAATCAGTTCTTGGTAGTAAGAGGGGAGTGTGGCGGAGGAGTTAGCCTCTAGGAGCGCGGCGAAGAGCTGGAAGACGTAGGGCATGAACTCTGTAGAGATGGATTAGTATGGTCGCCTGAGTGTGATTTGGGAGACTTTAGCCTACCTTGCACATCACCCTGCAGAATGCCGGCGAATGGAGCATAGAAAGCCTGCTCAAGCTTAGCAGGGTCGGCGGGAGCGGCATTCCTGTCGTGTATTAGCAAGTTGGCCGTGTACGAAGCAGAGGACCTGGATTCTTACCGGATGAATGCACCCATAGCCTCAAAGAAGTAGTAGTAGAACCGCGGGTTACTGGGGTTTCCGCTGATGATCTGAGTGATGGTAATGAAGCGCTGCAGCACAACATCGGTGAAAGAAACCACGCCTTCGCGGATGACAACCAAAACACGCATCACGCATCGCATCAGGAACTCATTCTCTTGCACCTTCTCAGGAGCAGGGTCCTTCTGGATCAATGTGAAAATGTGCTCGAGGAGGTCCTTGGCCAAAGGTGTGATCTCAGTAGGAGGGATGATCGGTTGGCCTTGGCCATCGCTGAGGAAGAGAGCCCGCTCCACAGCAATGGCAGCGTAGGTGTAGACCACATAGTTGGAAGAGGCCAAGTGCTTGACAAGCACAGGAAGCACACCTTGCCATTGTTCCTTTGTGATGATGCTGCGGAAAGTGTATAGATACTTGATGGCATCAACCTTGAGAATGGGGTGAATTCCATCATCGGCAATAAGGTCTGCAGCAAGGTGTTGCTGGAAGAAATCAGTGATGCTGACGAGGCTGTTGGTTGCGGTGACACCGTGGCTGGAGGTTGCCACGCCCTTGGCTGCGATAGCAGAGAAGAGGTAGGTCGCGGTATCCTTAGCCTTCCAGTTCGACGCAGGGTCCTTGGCGTACTCGGCCAGGTAGTGCTCGGAGTACTTGAGAACGACCTTGGTCACAGACTCCTCGAACTTCTCGGCCAGACGGCGCAGGAAGTCAGTCGCAGCTCGGCGTCTAGTCTCACTATCAGATCCCTCCAAGTCCCGTCGGATGAACTCGATAGGCTCATCTTCGAAGAGCTCCTCGTCGGATTCGCGCAGGCTAACGTTGGGCAAAATAACCTTCTCGATAATCTGGCTCAGTGTCTCCTCGGCCTGGAAAGAAGCCGCATGCTCAGGCATGCTGGCAACCGAGGTCAAGAAATGCAAAGCTCTGCTAACAAGAATGTCGTACTTGGTATCTTGGCCGATAGTGGTCAAGAAGCCCCACGAGCTCTGGATGAACTGCCCAACGTGAGGGCCGAAGGCATCCAAGAATTTCTGGACATACAAGGTCAGAACCTCGAAGATACCCGCACGCACGTATTCCAACAGACCAGCCTCCGAATCGTCATCTGTGTGCAGCAGTTGGTTGTCATATGTAAGGTACTTGAGCAAAATTGTCGCGATGCCGGAAATATTGTCTTCAAACATGGGAGGAAGGTCATGGCAGGATAGATCGTAGAAGAGCTTGATCATCAAGTTGAGTTGGGTGAAGGCTTGTGTCAGGTTCTCCTTGTTGGTCTTATTCTGTTCAATGTAGTTATCAATGGACTAATGGAGAGAAGCTTAAGTTAGCACAAATACTCAATCGATGGTCGCTGTATCGGATAGAGCACTGAAAACCTACCTCGAGGAGAGAAAGGAACGGTGTGCCGAACTTCTCCAGAACATGGTTGATCTCCACATACAAGTCGTTGGACTGGAAAAGTGGGCGCCACCGCTTGAAGATGGAGTGTGCAACCTGCAGAACACCAATGTTGACAGTAGGGTCGGTGGGAGACAACTTGGAAACGAGGTCCTAGACAAAAAACAAAACAACCTCATTAGCTTAGTTCAGACCAGCGCAGCGCAGCCCATGGAACAGACGCCGCAAGCAGTAATATTCACTCACATCCACAAGGGTATCCCATCGCTCCCAGAAATCACTGTCGGCGATCACACTGACGGCCTCACCAAGCTGAGACTGGATTCCCGAAGGCACGGAAATCATCAAAGTGATCAGCTCACGCTTGATGGTCGTGACCTCAGCCTCTGGAAGCTTGTAGTTTCCATCTTCATTGATCCACTCGCGCTTGATAAAGTTCTTGAAGCAAAGGGCGCTGGCAAGACGAATATTGTAGGGATGGGAAGCGGAGGCGGTGATCTGGAGGAGTTGTAGCGAAAAGTTCGGCTTCTGTTCTTCCTGACGAAGGGCCTGCTCGGCTAGAATCGATTGAAAACAGGCAGTCGGTCAGTCACAGTTTTAGTATCTTCGTATGATTGCATCCGCTCACCTTCCTTGTTCCGTCGAGGGTCCAAGCTTGCCTCCAACAAAGCTCCAAGCGCATCCGCCATTTTCACCGAACGTGGGGTATCAACAAAAAGAAGAAAAGGGAGTAAGTAGGCAAGAGAAATGGAAGAAGGGAGATGAATTGAGGTTCAATGTGTAGAGAAGAATATGTGGAATCGGGAGAGAAGACTCTTCCAGATGAGGGGTGTGGGAGAAGGTGGGATTGCAAGACAAAAAGTGAGTCCCGGAAATACAAAGAGCTCACCACCGGGCAACCATAACAAATAGAGGGCTCCGATAATCGAGCGGACAGCCCACTTACGCTAGTCCGGATTAGGTAATATTAGTGCCTGGTTTCTAAGGTGTCAATAACTAACTAACTAGGTTAGTTAGGTCTGCGAGTGCGGTTACATTTTTTATATCTACAGAGCCAAAGTGGTATAATGTAATTGTATATTGTATGTGTTAATCAAATACATGCACATCATGCATTCAATTCCCCTGTCTAAGATATTTTTTATGGTTCGTACGCCTTGTGCCGTTCATGCCAGAAATGAGAAAAAAAAAGCAAGGTACCAAAGTGGGCAAGAAAAAGAAGAAGAAAACTGCCGTTACACCATAAAGCCATGAGCGAAAGATTAGATGACAATGTTGCCAACGCCATTGGTAAGCTTATCCGCCTCGGTGACCTGGGAAGCTTTCATGACCTCGTCGAAAACGCCCGCAGCGGTGGAAACGAAACCTAGGAAGGGCTTGCTAGGTGCCAGAACACGAGACAGGTACTCGGGGTGGAACTGAACACCAACGAACCAAGGGTGGTCCTCCAGCTCGACAATCTCCATACGCTCGCCTTGGTCGTCCTTGCCGATGAAGTGGAGACCGGCAGACTGAAGGCGGTCGATGTACTCGGGGTTAATCTCGTAGCGGTGACGGTGACGTTCATCCACTGAGGTGCGGTCAATGCCGTAGAGAGCACGGAGTTTAGACCACTCAGACTTCTCCTGGAAGATTGTGGGGCGAGAACCCAGACGCATGGTACCACCCAGGTTGACCTTGTCGATCTCAGGCATGTAAATAACGATGGGGTGGCTAGTGCCGTCATCCAACTCAATCGAGTTGGCTCCCTCAAACTGGCAGACATGACGAGCGTACTCGATGACCGCGATTTGCATGCCAAGGCAGATTCCCAGATACGGGACCTTCTTAGTACGCGCCCACTCAGCGGCGAGAATCATTCCCTCGGTACCACGAGTACCAAAGCCACCAGGAACCAGGATACCGTCGGCAGTGGTAACGTCGTGCCAAGCCTTGTGGTACTCTTGGGGGTGGGTGTCCCGGCAAGTGTGCTCCAGGTGCGAAGCATCAACCCAGATGATGTTAAGCTTTCTGCGAGCCGCCATGGATGCATGCTCTAGGGACTTGATGACGGAAAGGTAGGCATCGTGAAGACTGACATACTTGCCGACCAGGGCAATGTTGACAGTCTCGAATGTGTGCTCCTGCGCAGTAGTAAGAACCTTCCACTTCTTCCAAGTGGCCTGACCCTTAACATATAGCTCCTGTGGGATCTTGACAGTTTGCTGAAGCTTGAGAATATCGCCAAGAACGCGCAGGTAGCCCTGTTGCTCAAGGAGGAGAGGTACATGGTAAGTGGAGCTGACGTTGTGAACGCCAATGACATGCTCTGAGGATTCAACCTGACAGAACATGGCGATCTTTTCGATGGTGGCGCGATCCAGAGGCTTCTCACAACGGCAAGCAATGAGATCGGGGCTCAGACCAGCAGAGCGCGCGTCACGAATAGCCTGTTGGGTAGGCTTGGTCTTGAGCTCACTGCCAATGACAGGAACGAGACTGACGTGAATCTGGAGGAAGTTGTCCTTGCCAGCACGACGACGCAGCTGACGCAGAGCCTCAACGAAGGGAGCACTTTCAATGTCACCGAGGGTACCACCCAGCTCGATGACACAGACATCTGGCTGCTCGTTGGTGCCGTCCGCAGGAGTCCTGGCGACACGCTCAATCCAGTCCTGGATAGCATCGGTCAGGTGAGGAACAATTTGGACCGTACGGCCCAGGTAGTCTCCCCGACGCTCTTTCTCAATCACGTGCTTATAGACTTTGCCGGTGGTGATGTTGTTATCCCTTCCGAGGGTGACGCCCAGGTAACGTTCATAGTTACCCAGATCAAGATCAGCCTCTCCACCATCGTTGAGCACGAAAACCTCTCCGTGCTCGGTGGGGGCCATAGTTCCCGCATCGACATTCATGTAGGGATCGATCTTGATAGAGGTGACGCGGGCACCCATGGTCTTGAGCAGCAGACCCGTACTCGAGGCTGTGAGGTGTTAAAACAAGAGCAAATCATTTGTTTCCTGGTGGAGTAATACCGATAACGCCCTTTCCGATGCCGCTGATGACACCTATAATGAATATTTGTTAGCAATTGAACTTTGTTGAGGGGTTGACCGAAGCCTTGAAAAAAAAAAAAAAAGCAAAGCAAAAAGAAGAAAAAAAAACTTACCTCCCGAAACCAGAACGTACTTCATGGTGAAGAGATTGAAGACAAATATCAGTGAAAGAGAAAGACAAAAAAGAGTGAATCACTGAGAAATTGAGACCCCGATAGAAGAAATGTAAATGTAGGGTGCCTGTCTCAGCTACTGCCGAGGGGGAAGAAGGTCAAAAACCCGCGGCAGGCGTCGACCGCGAAACTCTTCGGCCCTGACCGCCCCCCACTTCTGAAGTTTTTCTGCCTCGACCCACATGACGCCCTCTCCAGTCACCTGACTTGGACACCTCATGTCCGCCAACGAGTTGGTCCCTGCAAGACCCCATGCTTCTTTAACGCTTCGTGTCTGTGATCCCACCACTCGTTCCGTCAGGCCATCGACCGCTCCGAATTGCTATATATTCATTCCTCGCTTCCACCCGAGCTTCGATATACCACCTTACCCCATTGTTGATCCACAGGGGTCCCCGCTTGAATATCGTTTCCTGAACCGTACTTTTGTCACAACTCGCGGGGCATCGTATCTGGCTCTGAATGTACTGTGAACTTGCATAGGAGCTGCCCTTGTGGTAATTAGCTCTGGCTAGCTTATTGTATCCAGGTAAGAAGTCTCAAGGCGATTGCGAAATGACGAGGTTCCACCCGACCTGAGCTCTCCTGATCGTTCTTTCCCCGGGCTTGGGGGTTGTATTATACCAATACCAATATCAGCACATAGACTGACTTGTCTGGGTACTACGAACAGGAAAGGAACATATATTACTTCTCTCATTACTCGAATCAGAGTCCCAAACTGCCGGCGATTAGGCGGATGTCTTCCGACGATGTTCCACCCGCACCACAACACAAACCCTCCTCCACAAGCTTCGCGGATGTTTTCAAGACACTAGGCGTTGGTCGCCCAAAATCACACTCTCCAGTATCTTTCCAGGAAAGTAGCAGTGACTCTTTGTCTCACACAACTGAAAGCCGGGGATCGCACCGCCACATTCTCGGAATCGACCAAATGCACCGCGCAAGTATCGTCTCAAGCTCTTCGGACGCCCCGAGCGGTGGCCCGGACTTTGAGGCAGCGGTGCGGAATCTGTCACAGAAACAGAGCTTGTCTCAGGCGATTGATGAAGCAGATAATGTATCGAAAAACCTTCCGTGGTTCAGTCCCGAACAGTCCATTGTTCTCTGGGAGGTAGCTGAACACCTCCTACATCATGAAGACTCCATGGATGCTCAAAGGAGCGGGGCCAAATTACTGCAGGCAATATCCGCCAGGCAGGATCTAACACCAACTGCTAGGCGAATCATTTTCGAGGCAATCTCTTGCCCAACGGAACCGGAACTGATTCCCTCACGAGTGCAGTCATTGATCTCCTTATCGGATCACGGAAGAAAGCTTGAATTTGCCAATACTCCAATCCTTCATATTGTTTCCTCATGGATCAACTCGCTCTATGGGCTTATCGCATCAGCTCGGGCGAAAGCGAAAAAGGGGAAGGGCGTCAAAATAAACGGACTCGACCACGATGAAGCCATCCTTGCAGATCTTTTTCAATTTGCAATCGACTTGATCACGTTGCAACGCAAGCCATCTACAGAAGAGGAAATTGCAGGTCTTCTTCATGAAACCATCACCATCTGCCGAAAGACAAGCATGGCTGTCGATATCAAGAATTCGCTTGCCGTATTCGATGCAGTTGTGATGAATTCGGATGTACCTGACGCCAGTTTTCTTGATCTCCTCGAAGTCCTCTGCAGCATTCACGCCTCTGTGAAGCCACTGTCTGGCCCGACTTCCCGAACAGTACGGAGTCTTGCCAAATCCCGAAGACAGACTGAGATGGTCAACATGCTGCATACCTTTTTGAAAGATTCATGCTCCGAAGAGCAAAATCGGAACTTGACTGTCCTTCGAGGCGCAATCTTGGTTTTCTGTGATCTCGTGTGTGCATTTGGCCAGGCTGGGATGCCGCAAATTCCTTTCGATCAACTGATCGACTCACTTGCAGCTATTGCCCAGAGAAACGATGGCAAAGTTGATTCGGATATTTTGGACCTGTGTTTGAACATTCTAGAAGGGTCCTATGTTCACGAGGCGTTGGAACAAGACTGGACCAACTTCATCAACCTGGTGGTCCTTTGCTCGAGAAGGGTCTTTGAAGAACACGAGGATTCACCCGTTTCCCCAGCCAGCCCACAGCCAGGTCTTGCGAAATCTGGACACGATGAATCCAAGTCGAATATCCTCGCCAACATGATCCGAATCGCATCTGCTCTAGAAGTTCTCTGGGAACAGCTCAACGGGGATCAAAAGCAACAAGCCGTTCGTTTCCTGGCCAAAGGATATCAGCACATTGAGCCTTCTCAAGCCGAGTTAATCATCAACATGATAAGAAAGGATGCCCTTTGCCATCCTTCAGATGATCCATCATGGGCCCAGCATTGCCAAGAGCTGATTGGACGTTTTATTCAGTCTCGAACCCAGCCATCCGATATTCGTATACTGGCTCTCGATACATTGAAAGAAGCCCTTGCCGATAACGAAAGGTTGCTATTCTCAGACGAGCATGGCCTCTTAGATCTTATTCTTCAAGATTTCTCTGAAGAGAAAGACCTCTTGTTTTTGGAATCCCTGGTTTCCTTCCTCACGGAACCGGCTATCCACTCCAGCAATGACGATGTCTTCAAACGTCTCGTTGATACTATTTCCGCACCACTGAAGAACGATGCCCCGAAAGATGAGCCTCGCCAGGCTACACCCATGTATCCTTCACCTCGTCGAACCTCCGCAACATCCGGAAGCGTTCTAGAGCTTACATTGGCGAATGTGTGTGCTGTTGGCCTGGTCAAAATGATGTTGCGAGCGTTGAACCTTTCTGCTACAAAGTCTGTCATTCTTTTCGAGGCTTTGTTGCAGATAGCTCAATCCTCCGACAGGCCAACAGACTCGCGACTCACAGTGCTGAAGCTGCTATTCCGCCTGCGGTGTGATTCGGCAGGGTCTGTAACTGTTGTCTCGACGTCAGAAAACGACTTCCTGATGAATGTCTTGGGTCGCAATGTCGATGTGGGTTCCAAGTCCAGCGAAAGTCCTCCCCGAGATGTTCCTCAGCATGAAAACCTCCCGCCCTCCATTGGCAAACTCCCGGGCAAAGATCTTCCTGCGCCCAGTCTATCCAAGTCCCTCCCTGGCCGTGGCTCAATCTCTGCTGCTCGAGCATCCAAGCTCACGCCTCCGGTTTGGACATACGCCCAGCCACAAGTCTTGCCAGAACAGCCTCCTGGGGAGTCGAGTCATGTTGTCTTTGCTTATGGACAAAGTGAGGCACAGAGTCCATCGAGTGACACTTTTTCCTCGACTGGCATATTGAAAGTGAACATGTGGCTTGAAATTGTGATTTCGCTTCTCCAGCGGGAGACCGATTGGGATATTTACAGCTATGTTCTCACACATCTCGGCCCTCAACTGGGAAACAAAGACTTTTTCACCAACTCCATTCCGCAAATCAAGCTCCTACGAAGCATTCTATGCGACCAAGTCAAGAATGAAACTTACCACGAGCCCCCCTGGGCTTACTGGTTTGAAGAAAAGCGACGTGGCTGCCTGTATTTTCGATGCGCTTTGCATGCTGGTCAGCTATCATGAACATTTTGCGAAAAGCGAAGAAGATGACCTTGTCCGGGCATTCATGCTGGGAATCATCGGTTCATGGGGTGCAACATCTCGTGGTTGTATCCAGGCACTTTCTTTGTGCTGTCACGAAATTCCACTCTCTGTGACTAAATCGCTTACAATCATTCTTGACAAGATGTCGAAGGTGATCACGATGTCGAATATTGCTGTCCATATCCTGGAGTTCTTGGCCCTCCTCGCACGACTTCCTGATGTGTATGTCAATTTGCGCGAAGAAGAGATCCGCACTGTCTTCGGTATCTGCATTCGATTTCTGCAGACCTCCAGGAACAAGAACTCCGTTCCAAAGCCTCGGAATCTCCCGTTGTCCGAGCCACCGTTCCACCACCGTCGCGGCTGAGTGCTGGCTCTCGTGAAATCGCTTCCGGTGCGGCCGAGGCCATGGAATCGACCTCTCAGGATGCAATGTCAAAATATGTCATGACGCTGACTTACCATGTTATGATATTTTGGTTCTTGTCTCTGAAACTGCAGGATCGGCCAAAACACGTGAACTGGATTACCAGCCGACTTATCTTCCCCGACGAGCATGGGAAGGAGGTGGTTGAAGAACAAAGCCAAGTCTTCATTGATTTGATGCAACGAGTTGCATTCTCGGATTTGGGCGAGACAATTCCATTTGAAACTTTTCCTCCCACCCCCGAAGATGGCCCGGTATCAAAGAAGTCCTGGGTCGTGGGCATGAGTATCGTTAGTGTTGAAACAGCAGGAGTGTCCGGTTTGACCCAAATCACCAAACGACAGGCATCTGGTACAACCTACTCCGTCTACCAGCAACGGACAGCACCAGTTCTTCCGCATCAAGTGCCCCCAACTCCTGATGCCCATGTCCACCCCTCCGATGCAATGCGTACAGCTGTTCTCCCTAGTCACATCATGCTCCAGATGACGACTACTGCCTTCCCAACTCCTACCGTCATGCAGCCGATTCCCGTTCCTGAAGACGATATCACCCGACGGGCCATTGGCAGTTTCGATCGCACTGACATTGTGGATGGACATCGAATCGGTGTCGTTTATCTTGACAATCACCAGACCAAAGAAGCCGAGATTCTGGCCAACTCCGGTGGCTCTGCAGATTATGAACACTTCTTGTCTGAGCTGGGAACAAAGGTCTCCCTCCGAAATCCCAAGTTCAACACCCAGGGATTGTACGCCGATACCGATGGAGAGTCAACTTACGCATGGCGTGACCGTGTGACGGAAATTGTCTATCACGTTGCGACAATGATGCCCACTGACTTCGATCACGATCCCCAGTGCATCAACAAAAAGCGCAACATTGGAAATAACTTCGTCACCATAGTATTCAACCGGTCCAATCTCCCATTCAACTTCGATACTATCCCGTCAGAGTTCAACTTCGTCAATATTGTCATCACCCCATCCAGCCACGTTGCATATGATGAGTCTGGAGCTCCCAAGGGGGAGACGGACCCGGAGAAGCAATACTACCATGTTAGGGTCATGAGTAAACCAGGCTTCCCCGAAGTCTCTCCTGCCGCCACACCGAAGATTATCTCTGGCAAGAATCTCGCATCTTTCGTTCGGATTCTCGCTCTCAATGCGTCCGTCTTCTCCCTCGTCTGGAACCATCAAGGCGGCGAGCACATGTCCTCCTGGCGCACTCGTCTCCGCGAAATCAAGAAAGTCCGCGATCGTGCACTGGCCGCACAGGCGCAGAGTGCCGAGGCCGCCGAAGGCGCATACCCCGGCCAGCGCCGCAATACCAAGGCCAACATCTTCTCTGAGGAGTTGCCAACCCGAAGTGCACCAACTAAGACAACCTCTGAGTCCGAATGGACAGCAGCTTCTGAGGCGAACGTCCTGCAAAATCTGGATTTCTCCCGCTGGAGCCGCTAGTTGTCCCCGCATGGCAATGACAACTCGTGATGAATCGATAGAAGGACGTGATGCTTTATTCCAATCATCGATCCCTCGCCCTCCCCCCCTCTACCCTCACCCTCCTTTCTCTACAAACCATCCTTCCCCATCGACTGGATGCCAAACCTCAAACACGACATTACACACGACTTTCCTTTTCAAATGAACGACCCAAAACCCCATACGATTTCATGTACATCATCTTGCTCTTTTTGTAATGCACACAGCATTTGTGAATACCCCAATCGCCCCTAAAAGTTTTGTGCTTTTCATGCCTGTTCAGCCTTGAATCCTCGGTGTGAAGGAAACCCGCAGTCTTGGATCTACTACTTTACTTTTTTCTCCAAATAACTGGCAATGACAATGTCCTGTGTACGATGAATCAATGATTCTCTCTCCTCTTCGGTGTAAGCGTACTAGTATATTTTCTACATTTATGTACACGCAAGCTATGGCAATTATGGTAATTTTCCTAGTATCATCGACGGATAGTTTTGGACTTAAATACACGATTATTAGGGCTATCTTTATTATTAATCATTCCACTGTCAATGCCGTCCATCAGTATGACGACATGATCGTGCGACGCGAACCATCCGAGCCGCGGGGCTCGCAGGAGGACCGAGTCACATCAGCTCACCCCCACCTGCGCACCCTTTTTCTCTCTCCAACAACTATTCTCACCCCCATCAACTCGTCTAGAATTACTCATTCACAGCCACCCTCTCACAATGCCTGTCGTGGAAATTAAGAGGTGAGCATTCCACCCCGGATTGGACCGAGAACCAATACATTCCTAACAACCATACTAGCAAGACCGACTTCCTCGAGAAGATCCTCAACTCCCAGGACCTCGTTGTCCTGGACTGCTGGGCCCCATGGTGTGGCCCATGCCGCGCCATATCCCCAAAGATTGATGCATTCAGCGAGGCATACACGCAGGCAAAGTTCTACAAGGTCGATGTCGACGAAGTCCCCGACGTTGCTCAGGAGCTCGGAATCCGCGCTATGCCTACCATTGTGTATTTCAACAAGGGCGAGAAGTTCACTGAGGTTGTTGGGGCTGACCCCCGTGCCATTGAGGAGGGTGTCAAGAGTCTGATTGCTTAGTTTGGCAATCAACGTGAGACATGGCCCAGAGGCAGCGGTTTATACTCTTTATAATTGATGATTATGGACAAGGAGAGCTATTGCATGATGCTTTCTCATAAGACCAGCTATGTCCTTACGGTGCTATCCACTATATAGTCTATATTTGATAGATCTACCCCGAAGGCGCGTCTGGGTCTGGATTATTCCCCCAGTTCCGTGTCGTGATACCGCGGACAGAACCTTCCTCGCCTGTAGGCTCTAAAGCGAGTACCGTTATCTTGTTTTCCTTCTCTTTTAGATAGCATCCAGGCAAGTAGAGGGTTTGCTGAGGTCCAATCGTCCAGTAACGCCCGAGGTTCACTCCGTTCACCCAGACGACCCCCTTGGTCCAACCAGGAAGTTCAAGGAATGTATCGCCAACCTTATTCACGTCAAAAGTGCCTTCAAAGAACACTGGACCTGATGCTTTTGCGATCTTAACGTTGCTGGAAGTCGAGTCTGGCGGCGATGCCAGTGGAAGAGGGTAGATCTGCCAGTTGGACAGCACACTGTCGCCCAGGGTAACGTTCCCCACGATGCCCTTGCGCTGTTCAACAATCCGCTCTCCATAGTTGACGCGGCCCATATTTTCGACTAGAAGGTCTAGTACATCGTTCTTCTTGAGACTAACCTCAAGCGTATTTGGCGTCACATATAGACTGTCGATCACACCGATTCGCCGACCGTTCACATAAATGAGAATTCGGTCTCTGGGATAGTCTCCGACGTTGATATTGCCCTTGGTGGCAGAAGTAGCCACATGTCGATAAAGGATGAACCCGACGGCCTGGCCAATGGCCTCCATATTGATGGGAGACTTCTTTGCAACGGGGTCAGGTAAAGAATCGAACAACTTGCTGCTGGGACCGAGCTTGATATCCGGAATCTCAATCAAAGGCTCCTCGTCGATGACATCGGGGATATTATGCTCGCCAACATGTGAAGCAATAGTCTGTCGAATAGCGCGATAAATGTCGTTCGTCCGACCACTCTCGTCAATTGGGGCACCATAATCGTAGCTTGTAGTGATAGGTTCCAAAGCATCTCCCCAGTCTGCTCCGTTTTGGAATCCCCAGTTTGTTCCACCGTGTACCATATAGATGCTAAAAGAGGAATTTTGCTTCAAAATCCAATCAAGATCGGACTGAACGGTTTGGATACTTTTCCTATTCCCCGCATCCGTCTGGTGGGTGTTGTTGCTTGCCCATTGATCGAGCCAAGTCACGTAGTACTCACCATCGAGCTGCGGCCCCAAGCTGCTAGGATCAGTCACATATTTATCACGAGCAGCAAATCCAGTCTTCGGATCTCCATCAGATTCCGCCAATACTCCAGAGATCTGTCCGCCCTCGATCATAGACTCTTCACCCCCATCATTCGTGTACAGATGTACATTCTTGCCAAATGCAGCCTTGAGCATATCGCGCATTGCACCAATATAAACATGATTATCTCCGTATGAACCATATTCATTCTCAACCTGAACCATCAAGATCGGCCCTCCGTTCGTTATGAGAAGGGGTTTCAAATCCTTCGCCAGATTCTGAATGTACGACTTCGTCGCGGAGAGGAAGGGCTTATTATTCGTGCGAACGACCATGCCGGGTACTTCACTCAGCCAAAATGGGAATCCACCCCATTCATGTTCGCCACAGATATACGGTCCGGGCCGAAGAACCACATTCAACCCGTGCTCCTGTGCAGTTTTGAAATATTTCGCGATGTCATTGTTGCCGCTCGTTTCCCAAGTTCCCTGGACGGGTTCGAGCTGGTCCCAATATACATAGGAGAAGATTGTGTTTAAGCCCATAGCTCGTGCTTTTGCGAGCCGATCACTCCACAATTCGTGCGGAATTCGCTGCGGATCCATCTGGCCGCCGATTATTTGGAAGGGTTTGCCATGGAGAAGGAATGTTTCGTTGGTATAGCTGAAGGGTTCGACGTTGGCAGTCCATCCCAACGAAATGAGGCTGAAGGCGAGAAATGCCTTCTTTAAAAGCATTGTGAAAGAAATGTCGGGTTTATTTTCATGATTGCTTAAGTGGCAATGGCCGTATTGTTTTATAGTCTTGATGGCGTCCTTCGCACGGGCCCTTCGCTAATGCTTAACTGTTGCGACGTACAATGCAGATCTTTGATTATATTAGATCTTTACAACGTGAATAAATATGTTCCAGGCCTTTGGTTGGTGCATCTTATTGTGCCTGAACTCCAGCGTTACCCGACGATGTCAACCCCGCACGCGGGAAACTCAATCGTTCAATGTTACAGTGACATTTCTGAATGCAAGATATTTGAGAGCAATCAAAATCATTGTGTTCGTTGTCTAATATTGTCGGCTAAGAAGAAATACTCAAGTTGGTAAGGTCGTATCGGATAATTCTTTGTGGGGAAGCCCTGTTCATAGATTTTCTTCCGATTTATTTTCCGACAGGACCCGAACACCGTTTCTAATGTCGCAAATTGTTAGGAGAAATGTAATCCATTTGAATTGAAAGTAATATTCAAGCACAAATGTTCTTACGGCTACATAAAATACAATTGGAGTTACGAATCCATTGACAGTGTGCAAGGCTTAATGACCGATGACCATGGTTTGAACCTTCTTCTCGTTCTTGTGCTCCTTTTGCCATTTCTTCGACTTCTTGACACCAAATCCAGTGCTGAAAACATCTCGAACGGCCTCCAGAGGCATACCTTTGCATTCCGGGAAGCAAAATAGGATAAAGACCCAGCCGAAGGTGCAGATCGCCATATAAAATCCGAAGGCACCGCTGGGTGTCCAAGCCTTCATCATCGAGAGGAAGGTCGAGGAAATAATAATGTTGGTACCCCAGCAAGTAACAGTGTTCTAAAAAAAAGCCGGTTAGTATATTAAGCGATGGATAAGAGGGGTTTTAGTATAACGTACCATCATGGTTCCGATAGCGCGGACCTCGAGTGGAATAAGCTCAGTACCAATCCAAGCAATGGTGGCAACACCAGATGAGTAACAAGCAACATAGAGGATAATCATGACCAGAACCAAAGTGCCAGGCCAGCCGACAGTATCGCTCTCGACTTCGAGGGTATGGAGGTTGACAGGAATATAACGGAATGCGATGACCACAATCATCATGCAGAGCGCCATTCCGGCGACGGTGAACATCAAGATAATTCTGCGACCAAACTTGTCAACAATCACCAGGTTGACAACGGAGAAGACGAAATTCGTTGCTGAGACAGTAATTCCCACGGCAGTTGCATTTTCGAAGCCAACAATACCGAAAAGTGTCGCGGCATAGTACATCAATGTGTTGAAGCCTCCCAACTGGCTGATAGCCATGATCATACAAGCAGTAAAGACAGCGCGACCGGTATCGGGGGTGGTGAAAACGCGTCTAATGCCTGTCCAGACCGTTTCCTCGGACATTGAATCCACACTCTCTTGTAGCGATAACTCAATCGAGACAATCTTGGCTTCACGTTGAAGGATAGTGGACTTGGGATAGATTCGTTTCAAGACTGCCTCGGCTTCCTCACGCTTGCCATGGGACACGAGTTGTCGAGGTGATTCAGGGCAAAGAGTAAGAAGACCAGCGAGTATGATTGCTGGAGCTGCTCCGATAGCAACAGTGGCTCGCCATCCTTCACCTTTGACCTCGGCGAAACCAGCACCGAGAGCACTTGCGAGCAGCTGGCCGAATGTAACGCTCATGTTGTTGAAAGCGACCATGCGCCCACGATACTGTGCTGGTGCAAGCTCACCAACTTCAAATACGTCAGTCAACCAGCTTCAGTGAAATGATCGAGAAACCCAGAAGGAGACTTACTGTATAGAGGTACAATCATGGCTGCACCCCCCACCCCGAGTCCCACCACGAATCTTCCTACGGCAAATTGGGCAATGGAATAGGCAGCAGTTTGTAAGACCGTTCCAATCACGAAAAATAGACATGAGCCCCAGATTGGCCAGCGACGACCAAAGCGATCAGCGGTGAGACCAGCTGTTACCGCACCCACCAGGGCACCGCCACTGGTGAGAGATGTTACCATTTCCTGCTCGCTGGATGTAAGAGCACGGCCCAGAGAAGTGCCGATGGTGACTAGAACGGAGGAAATATATCCGGTATCATATCCTACAAGTCAGACCCACGGTTAATTATCCACTACTAGTAAATTTACGGAGATGGGGGTGACATACCGAATAGCAGACCACCGATCGAAACCACGATCGAGATAAGCCATGCCGCTTTGGACGCAGCGGTGGTCTCAATCCCATTCAGTTCATCCTGATCTTTGGCGCAGGCCAGCTGCTTCATGTCTCCAACTTCCTCGACATACTCCGCAGAGGGGTCGTCTCCCCTTGAGATCATCTTTGCCGCCGGTAGAACTCATATCTGGTTCTATTCCCCGAAGGAAAATATATAAGTATCAGGGTAAAATAAGTCAAGAAGAAGCGTAGAGGCTCACTGATGGATATCCAATTTTGCGGAGAAATTGGCACCTTTTATATCAAATGATGATCCGGCAATCGACTCCATAGATGACAGGCTGCATCGCCCCCCCATGTGGAATCTGGGCAATCCCCGTGGGTAGTGCAGATCAGGACGGGGATAATTGCTGTTTTAAACAGGCTATGGAAGGCGGACTAATTCTTCGTTGCTGATTGGACTGGTGTGTCAAAGTCAAACTATCATAACATTTCGGGGGCGATTGCCTCGCGATGGATTCCCCACATTCCCCGCAGACCTTACGCCTATCACGGCGCGGTCGAAGTGATCCAGGCCTACGTTTCCCCCGAGGGCAAATCTCCCCGTCGGTCCCTGTTGCCTCCGTTGTCATCCCGCCTCTTGTCTAACTTTGTTTCAGATGGTTATCTTGACGGAATGGCGGCTATTGAATACTCTCGGCGTGGCCTCTTGGTTACTTGGCTGTTGGGCATTTATTCACGCATCGCAACGAAGGTAATATTTCCCGGTATGAGGCTGTTATATTCCGACGACTAACTGATTGTTCTGTCCATATGCCTCCACTCTCAAACCTACGGGTCTCAACGAGGTTATTCCCCACAAAGTCGATGCGGAGACGACCCGTAGTTTGACCCTATACGTCACGAACCGAGAGATTCTAGATTGGATTTAAAGCATCATGAATCCAATTGCCAGCTCTAAACAGGCCGGCAATTCTTGCATTATTTGACATGAATGCCTCATTTGAAGGTTTGGAACGCGACATTTTCCTGTCATAACACCATCCCGGTTGCATCTCGTTCTTTGCCTCCATTGTTTGAGGTAATGGCAATGAACATAATTTGCGTCTTACTTGCCCGCTTATCGTAGATTGCTCCCCGTTTATATACTCGCTTTGCTGCCGTGCTATATTATCTCGGACATACTACTAAAACTGATTATTCCTGTGAAGAGGACCAATTGAAAGCGAGAGCCGGAAAATGATTGGATTCAATGAGACTAAAGCCGTTTATTACCTTCCAGGTAGTAGAGGAGCAAGTCTTCAATGATAAACTCGATAGGTTACATAGTAAGATAATCCCAATGATCCACTTTACTCATTCTTTATCGCCGACCTCGCAGCGAAGTCGGACCGTTTAATCCTTTGTTAACACGCCTATCTTAAAGGTCGTAATCGTCTTCATCATTCGCCGGCCAAACCCTCCCTGTGAACGGATCTCGAAACAGCTTGTAGCGAAAATTGCAAGTACACATCTCCATAAGCCGAGAGAAGAATTTTCGAAACGGCCCATCAAACTCTTGAATGAGATCAGCTGCAAATTCAGGATTCTCTAGGGCTGCATCCAGTAATTTGAAGCTGCTAGCCAGCATAAAGGCTTCAACAGACGCCTTAGCCAATACCTGACGTACTGGGTGCTCTGATGGTAAAATGTAAGCTGAATCAATATGTTCGGAGCTTATGAAATCAATATTGCAGTTAGAGCCTTTGGAGCGGTTGCTCAGAATGATCTGCTTGATGTACTGGGCGACAGGAGCTTCTAGCTCGGGCACAGTCCACATATCACCAACTCTCGCCAGCTCTATTGCGTTCAAAATTCTCTCACTGCGATCCTTGGCATTGAAATTTATCTCTCTAGCATAGAGCCATTGAATGAATGACTCGAAAGTGCACACGGATAGGCCATCCCCTTCTTCCAAGGTGGCCTTTTGCCCTTTGCCTTCGCGGAAGGGACCATCGAACATGGTCGCAAAGTAAGATGACTTTGAGCAGAGGAGGTCTTTGAAGACGACATATTCGCGAAAATGAGATCCTATCTTGATCTTCACTTGGGGTCCGTAATAAAGTGACAGGGTACTAGACAGAAAACCTTGAGAAAGGAACTTTTAGGAGGAGTAGCGCACTCACTTCAAGACAAACTGATTGGAAACAGGCTCAGGTAGCTCTGCCATTATTCCTTGTTAGAGGATGGTAGAGATAGCGAAAGGAAATGAGGCAGATTTGCAGTTCGGGTACTTTGACTGTACTGGATTCTATTGAGCGTAAAGGAGAATTGGATCTTGGACTGGATGCAATAGGTTGCAGAAGGATAGAGAAATAGTTGAAAAAGTGATATTTCTTTGAGATATTGCTGCTATTTATCTCGATGGGCGGGAAAGTCCGCGCATGAAATTTCGTTTGTCATTGCGTAATAATCCACAGCCGAAAATTGTTTGTCTGTATAGGCCTTAAGGATAAGGGCTTACACCAGCTCGTCACGTGAATTCTAACAGAGTAAGGAGTTCGGTAATAGGTGGAATGTATCGAGCCTTCCTGTGGCCCATCGTCATGGAAGCCAACAAAGATTCATTTCCTCGCAGTGTCTCGAGCTCGTGGCCTATCGTCGACAACTCTCCTGATTTTAGGTTCACTCGATTTCTGGATTCACGAACAATGCGTCGGCAACCGCAGAGTCAGAACTGGTGAATGCGTTTTCAATTGCGAAGGGAGCCCGCAATCTCTGATTTGGTAGCGCTCTTGACTCCGGAGGCGAAAATTGGTTCTGTCAGTGACATTGGGTTAACTTGTTTCCAATAAGCAGAGGGCATAGCTCAAGATCTGATATACGACCATTTTTAGAATCGGCATATCCTGCAGGCTGAGCTTGGGGCTTGTCCCATCGGCGGATGGAAAGAATGGTCAAAAGTAGAAGGGAGCACAATACTGAAAGTGCAACAAGTGTCAGCATGTTCAAATCGCCGAGCTGCACTAATCGATGTCATAAGAATGGCAAGAAAACCTTGCCACTAGCAAGGAACTTCCAAGGTTGGGCGATGAATCTTCTACTTGTAGTTTGTTTACAGAAAGAAATCAATGTGCTGAGGGATATACCTCAGGCATTGTAAATCAAAATATTAGCCTCCTTCCTTTGTTCTAAATCATCACCATGCACACGTTCACAATGTTTCACCTTCTCCATTATTGTACCTATTCGACCTCTATCATCATAGAGGGCTTTATGATTCTTTTTACAGTACCCTGTGAATGGAGATTGCTATTGCTCGAAAAGTACAAGGACTATTGATTATCTGAAGTCTATGATCACAAGTCCTATAATACTATCTAATTCTCGAACACCTAGGCAGAGAAACTCCCGACATGAGATTAGAAGGGATTTAATATAACCTGATTTCTTCCCTTCGGATACCTGATAAATGAACTTTTTGCTATTTTGAAAAATTTACTCTCTGCGTTGACAAGGAATTCTTCGTAAGTCTACCCGCTCTGTGTCTCATCCATAGTCTATACAAAACCAGATTTGCTTATTGACCGAGTGGTACCTACCCGGGTGTTCTTTATTATAATGGCGAGCCTTCTGAAACTGCTATCTTCCCGAGACTTTGGTCAAGGCTTTGTTGCCTAGAACTTCACATGAAAGGCCAGTAAATAAGACTTGTTAAAGGCCGCTGTCTGATGATAAGCGCGAACGTAAATGCTTTTTCGGATCCTGACTGTCCTTCTCGACATATTTGACACAATCCGAACTACCAGCCGTGAGAGTAAAAACCATAGTCGTTGAGAGGAGTTTGATGCAAGCATTTTTTGGCCTTTGATACCTCGCTACCTAGATTGTAGAGAAACAATATCCGGGTGCAAACAATTAGACATATTTCTATTATGATGATAGAGGCTAATGAAATTGAGATACAGAAGCGCCCGACATCGATTTCCATGCCGAGAACATAGAGATGCTCTTTCAAACCCTACTCACATGATATGGGTAAATAAAACAATTCTGTACATACACGTCATAATACCATTTCCTTTTTATAGATTGTAACACAGATACAATGCCTAAAATTGGAAACTTAGATATCCAAGGCTAGAACTTCTAGCCTAGAAGGTTCTAAACAAACGTAAGAAAAATCGCAAACAGAGCAACATCTGAGCTGGCAAAGTGTCAAACTCTGCCTTCTGCATCTTGCAGTTGCTCTATTGCGGCAAGTGTCGCTTCTTGGGGGTCCATCAGGGGTCAAGGTCATAAGCAAGTCTTCACAGTAGTCAAGATTTGGTTCCAGAATTCCTACTATTACATAAATCGTGCTGCAGTTTCGGGCCCTATTCAACTCAACTTCCAGCAATTTCCTGAAGAGAAGGTGGCAAAGATTATGGGCCACCTTCGAGATATGTCTGCTACACAATCGCACGGAAGCTTATACCCAACCGTAAAACGGTCGGCAACGTGACCGATGAAGATTTGGTTGTAGCTTCTAGTAATTACTGCAGAAGGATTTTGCAAACAAACGTTGAAAACATGTTACATGTGAAAAGAAAACCCTCAGCGAGTAGTGTCACATAGTCTGTTCTAAGATAAGGGAGCTTGCATAGTGAAAATCCCGATATTATCTGCGCATTTCGTCTTGTTTCACTGAGAGATACTGGAATCCACATAATCTACATTGAAAAAACTTAGATTTGCCCCTGGCTAGCTTCAAGATCCGTTATTTGGACGTCTTCTCCTCGTTGGTCAAAAGGAAGCTTCATAACTACGCTATTTCATGTGGCAGCCTTAACTACCTCCTCGGTTATCGGGACGTCTGCTCCCCTTTGGTCAAAAAGAAGCTTCATCACTGCGCTATTTTTTGCAGCAGCCTTAACTACCTCTTTGGTGATTGGGACGTCCGCTCCTCGTTGATCAAACAGAAGCTTCATCACAGCACCTCCACTGAATGGATTCATTATGGCAGCCTTAACTACCTCCTCGGTGATTGGGACATCTGCTCCTCGTTGGTCAAGCAGAACCTTCATCACAGCATCGCCACTCAATGGATTCGATACGGCAGCCTTAACTGCCTCCTCGGTAATCGGGATGTCTGCTCCTCGTTGGTTGAACAGAAGCTTCATCATGGCACCTCCACTTAATGGATTTGATATGGCAGCCTTAACTACCTCCTTGGTTATCAGGACGTCCACTCCTCGGTCAAGTAGAAGCTTCATCACTGCAACATTTCCAGCAGCTGCAGCAGCCTTAACGACCTCCTTGGTCATTGGGATATGTGCTCCTTGTTGGTCAAATAGAAGCTTCATCACAGCACCTCCACTGAATGGATTTGATATAGCAACCTTAACTACCGCCTCAGTGATCGGGACATCCACTCCTTGTTGGTCGAGCAGAACCTTCATCACAGCATCTCCACTAAATGGATTCAATATGGCTGCCTTAACTATCCCCTCAGTAATTTGAAGGTCTGCTCTTTGTTGGTCAAGTAGAAGCTTCATCACTACACTATTTCCTGCAGCAGCAGTAGCCTTAATTATTTCCTTGGTGATTGGGACATCTGTTCCTCGTTGGTCGAGCAGAAGCTTCATCACAGCATCTCCACTTGCTAGATTCGATACAGCAGCCTTAACTACCTCCACAGTGATTGGGATATCTGCTCCTCGTTGGTTAAGCAGAAGCTTCATCATAGCACCCCCACTTGATATATTCGATGTGGCTGCAATAATTACCTTCTCGCTTATTTGGACGTTTGCTCCCCGTTGATCGAAAAGAAGCTTCATCACAGCAATTCCACTTGATAGATTCGATACGGCTGCGATGACTACCTCCTCAGTGATTGGGACGCCTGTTCCTCGTTGGTCGAGCAGAAGCTTCATCACAGCCCCTCCACTGAATTGATTCGATGCAGCCACCTTAACCATCTCATCGGTGATTTCAACATCGACCCCTCCTTGGTCGAGTAAGAGAGGTATAACTTGTAGCAGGCTCCACTTAATAGCCCAATACAAGGTTCTTGGTTTTTCCCTCACTTCGTGCCTCAAATGAGTTGCAGAATTATGGTAATCGATCCAAAATGGGAATCGCCCATCTCCCACTTCGCAAAGTTTAGCTGCCTTAGTAGCCCACTCCTCGTGCATTAGATTGACCCTTTGTGTATGATATATCCAATGGTTTGCGGCATAATTTGTGAAACTCTCGCCTGGCTTGGAGTTTAGGCGACGCTGGAAATATCCATTCTGAAAATCATCGAAATTTAGATAGGTAATGCATATCTTTGTGAGGGCTAGATGCGCGTCTTGTAGACATATCGAATGTTTCCATGTTCCAAGTGCCGCATGTTCACCTACCCGTCGGAGTAAAAACTCTCTCGCTGTCTGGTGGATAAGGTGGGCACGTGAATCGATTACGCTGACAAACAATCCGCACGCGTCGCGTATCCACTCTTTTCTCTTGACAGTGCCTTCGAGGTCTAAATCACCATATGACCTAGAACTTGGTTGTATCTCTAGTGCAATGTCGATTTCGGACAACGTCAAAGGCCGTGGTGCTGCAACGATAATTTCCAACAACCTCCTTCCATCTCCCTCATTCTCATTATCAGATCTCCGTAAGATCTCTTCATATGCCTGTTCGACGCTTTTAGGCATTTCATCGATCCGTCGCAGCAACTTTCTTTTCGTTAGGCCAAGAGAGTTTCTTAACACATCTAGTGTAAGATACAGCCAAAGATAGGTTCTGTTTGGAATTTCAAAGAATCTTTGTTTCAATGCTGTCCGAATCTCTTCACCGAGACGTCGCCTATCCACGATTTCATCCACCTTAGCCTCCATGGCAATGTTTATCTCATCGCTGATTCTCTTCCATTCATCGTCTGCAGCCAGTCGAATTGTTGGATAGCGATTTGTTAACTCGCCGAAACCCCACTCGATATCCCTGTACGGTCGGCTTGTGACGAGGAATTTTAGTTTGGAACACTTTTGTCCGACCTGCCTTCGTTCTTGAGAAGTCGTGTAGAATCGCTCCAGCTCTTGCATAAGTCGATTGCGGTCTGATTGCTGGCATTCGTCCAGAGCGTCAAGGATACAAATCACGTCATTAGTGGAATCGAACGCCACAGCTATCCACAGCTGCCATAGGGCATTGGAATCTGCCTTTAATTTTGTTCCATGCTGATGTACTTGACGCTCCGCATGCTTTTGGAACAGGCTTTGCTGAGCGAGAAGCAGCTGATGTAGAAGTGCACAGATTGCCGTTGCCATGTTGTTCTGCTCTTCGTTGTCTTTGAAAAAGAAATAGCAGACTGTGGCGTACCCATCATCAACCAGTTTATCATCAACCAATGCCTTCGAGAGAACAGACTTGCCGCATCCAGGATCTGCCGATAGCCATAAGAGATCATCATGGCTGCTACTCTTCCATTTTTGGAAGGCTGGGTGATCTAGAAACCATCTACATGTGTCCTTGACTCTTGAAGGGTTGATCTCCTTGTGCTTCTGATAGGTTGAAGTATGAAAAAAGTCAGGACTTATATCTATTACCATTGTCAGCCTTCAGCTGTGTAACAAATTCATGCTGCTGAGGCAGTTGAATTACAGAAGTGACTAACCCGGAGGCGAGTAGATTGTTCCATGATTTATTCCCACCTGAAGCCCCGAGTTCGTACCACTGAGTGATGCTGATTCCATGCCAAAGTGATAGACGATATAATGACTTCTCGATGATGGAAGCCATTGTACATGTCGCGAAATGAGGGGTAGACCGTGCCTTGTCAGGTGACTTTCCAACCTGCATGATCACAATATCTAATATCAGATTCTGGGATGCCATAGTTGTAGTGACGTGTGTATATATATACATAAATACATTTATTTGAGTTGAGGTCTTTCATGGACTAAGTAGTTCATTATTTTCGAATTTACCTTCATTATACAGTAATAGAACGATCGCTGGACTTTGCTAGTTCGGCCACTTGGCATGTAGTCAAACTTTTATTGCTGCTTGTCATGTGTATAACCATTTTACGCTGCCAGGGGTCCAGGGTTTCGCTTCGATTTGCAACTGTTTATGAGTTGATTCTTGCCTGGGTTGAGACGTTTTTATTGGGACGATGGCAGAGCCATGGCTATTTTTGGACGAGTACGGAGTATTGATATATTATATTACAGCGCTCGTTTGCTTGAAATTTACCGTTCCAAACTGAAACATGACCAAAAGTACGAGAGTAACCATATTTGGAAATTGAATATCATGTGATTAGGGTTTTCAAGAGCATCTCCATGTTCACGGCGTGGAAGCCGATGTCGGGCGCTTCTGTAGTTGAAATCGAGGGCTTTTAGACCATCGACTGCGGCTGCTCCACTGAATTGTGGGTCATATGTGAGACCGTAAGGTCGCCATTGTCGCTCTTTAGAGCATTGCAGAAGGGCGACCGCGCGCGCATAGTTTCACCTTTCCATATCAAGACAAACGGAACAATAGACATTAATGCACTGAGCCCCCCCCTAGCAAACTGCAAGCTCCAGCAATCCCAAGGTGTGAGAGCATAGGGTAACTGGCAAGGGGTAGGAACGTTGCAAAGAATGAACGACTGCAACTTGAAGCAGCATTGGCAGATGCGGCATAAAGTCGATAAGCGTCGGTTATATAGTTCCTGGTTGATTAATTGATTAGTATATACCTAACAGACTGATCGAAATTGGGAGAGAATACAGAATTGCAATGAAGACACACATGAAGCCTATCCCAAAGGGAATGCCAGCCATCATTGGTACAGCGAAGGAAACATCGTCACGAGAAGACCACCCCAGCCAAAAAAGGGATATCACGAATAAAGGACCACCCAGACACGCAAGTGGCAAGCGATAAAGCTCCTGTTTGTTGCGTGCAGAAGAAATGTCAACAACTCCGAGAAAAGCCGTCTCGTATGCCCAATAGATTGGTAGACTCAGGGCACAACCGGCACCGATTGTCAGTTGAACCAATCCACACTGACCTGGCGATAAAGAGTAGACTTCCTGAAAAATGTAGGGGAAGACCGCGAATGACATATAAAATATAGAGTAGCAAAGTGCCAGGTACATAGAGCAGGCAGCAAGCACGGGTTCTGTGAAAAGAAGATGAAGCGGCCGTAGTAGAACTCCGCGGAGAATTGATCTCCACTCCCGATTCCGGTGCTTGAAGGACTGAGGATCTTCCATTGGTGATTCGGGCAAATGATTGGGGGCATAAGTTCTCACAAGGACAGGCTGATAAGTCTCCGGAAACCACAAGACAAAGATAAGTGTCACTCCGGCAAATATCAGAGCGATCCAGAAGGACCAGCGCCAGCCTAGGGCTGGTGAGATAAATCCCGAAACGATGGGTCCCAGCATAGGTCCAAATCCAGTGACCTGTCTCTTGTTAACATTGATACCTCAAAGAGCAATGTTGCTATTTTCTTTGAGACGCACGCCCATAAATACTGCTATGCTCCAACCCCTGGTTGTAGGATCTCAATATATGTCCGATATGATACCCGGACCCAGTGCCACGATTGAGCTTCCCAGCATCCCTGCCAAGAGTCTGAATGCCAGAAATGCCGGCCAACTAGGAGCTAAGGCGCAGGCCATGGTGAAGACCGCAAAGAGAGGAAATGTCACAATGACAATGAGTCGGCGGCCATACTCTTCACTGAGGGGCGCCCATACAATCGGGCCTTTTGAAAATAAGAAGCTGGTCAATTGTGGAGTATTCGTAATTATTGAAGCTTACCACAAACATATCCTATTATAATTTAGCATTTCGTTCTTTCCGAGCTGGAAGTTTCATACGTACCGACTAGAAACATGGATATTGGCAAAGCCTTTTGAACTTGTGAATTCACCGCAAATTCCTTCGAGATGTATTGAATGGCGTTACCTGTCAATGAACTCCCCATGCTGCTGTTGAGTACAACCAACATTGTAGTACATAGGACCGAAACTTTTCTTAGCTAGATTCTGTTAAGATTTCCTGCCTCGTCAATTGTCGCAAAGGGGAGGGGGGGCTTACTGCTGACCAATTGTGAGGATTTCGGCTGTCCGAATCCCATTGAGAAGAGGAGACTGACGCTCCCACATGCTTTTGACAGGCTTTAACTTCACGCATTTCTCTTGTATTTCAGAATTCTCCGCTCATTCAAAGGAACGCCTAACCCTTCGGTACGCGAGATTCCAGCGGCGATATTTTAAGACAATATCTCGCCCTATAAGAAGCGAATGTTTAGTTTTGATCACGCTCTTCTAGACAATGGAAAGAATAATACTATAAAAAAGATTGAAAAAAAAAGATTATCGGAGCCATTCGTTTCTTCAGAGCGAATGAGTACTAGTAGTTTGAATGTTTTGGAATTTTATGATCGGTCGGGCCACCCGGCCCGACCGAGGGATTACTAGTAGTTACGACTCATGAGATGGCAACTAGCTTGCTAAGGCCCCGGTGTACTTCAGTTCATACTCGAATTAATTCTCTAGTATGTAAAATAGTACAGTCTCCCTCTACGGGGTCAGGGCTTGCTATGATGAACATCTGATTCTATACCCAGCCTGCGAATGGCGTAGTTGTTGATAATGCACATACGTGTGGAGTGTTCTAGGAAGATCAAGATCTCCAAGCGCAAGGAAATTCTAGTATGACAGTGTGACTGTGCTCAGCTCACAAGACTCTAATCGAATCTACGACGGTCATTCTTCAGCCTCCTGTTCAGTCGGAAATCTTGCACTCGGGTTGACAATATACTGTTTGATTGAGAGAAAATACAAAGAAAAAAGTCCAAATTATGAATAAAGGAATCGAAAGTATTCGGATATACAGTATCATATCAATTGAAAGACTAAACCCGCCATTGCCATCAATTTCAGCTTGCACCCTTAGGTCCAGGTTATACCCGTTAAGACTACAAGACATATCGGAAGTGTAGATTTTGAACCTGAGGAAGTAATCAGTATTTAAGTAATTGTTCTTTCCGGCATGGGATTGATTAGCGACACTTACGTCAGTCATATCCGATAGACCGACAGACACAACTGCTGCTTGATCATTTTCGGAAACGTTTGCATTCAGACGATCGCGCTACAATTCTTCAGCGGTGCTCAATTCAAGAGTTTTTTGAGGTTTGACTTACTCTTCTATTCTCTCGGGCATTAACCACGTACATCACGCCGACTATGACAATCTGTGCCGCAAAGCAGGCAATCATAGACGCAAATCCGGATTGATAGCGAGGCGCCTCTCGCTCGAAGAACAGTTGAGGCCCAATCAGGTTACCAACACAGTAACTACTCAGACATAGTTTAGTAAATACCAATAGCTCACAAAAAAGCTAACACTCACCTAACAAAGAAAGCAGAGGTAAAAATCGTCTTCTTGGTCCGACCAGCCACATTAGATTGCAGCAAGGTCAAGGAAATGACGAAAGTAGCACTGAAACCGACAAGAAGATAATAGCCACTTGAAACTATCAGCAAGTCTGATATATTCTCTCATTGGTAAATAATACTCACATTAATCGGCCAACGCGATTGGAGTCCGGTAGACAAAGATCAGGACTGCTCCGAGGAGAGCAACCAGTAACCCACCAATCATTAGAAAGTGGCGTATACCGTTGAACCGAGAGGCCAGGTACCTGCAGAAATTGACGTTAAAAATTTGAGAAGCGTCACGGTAAACTCATAACATACCCTGATATCCATAACGCCAGAACCTGTGAGGCACCTGATGGCATGCCGAGAAGAGTTGAGTTGAATTTCGAGAAACCGAAACCATTTACAATAAGCGGGGCGAATGCAGATACAGCACCCTGAGAGTCGTTAGTTTGGTCGACTTAGTAACGAAAGGGAAGGGAATCAGACGTTAGGAATAGTGTTGGCCAGACAGAGAAGGTTGATCAACCAGAATCGAATGTCAAGCAATGACTCCTTGACTTGATCCATCTTGAAAGATTTGTTATCGATACCTGTTTCGTTTTGAAGAACACGCAATGTTGCAACCTCCTTCTCTCTCGTTGAGAGCCACTTAGCCTTGGTCGGATTAGATGGGGTTACCACTACAAAGACAATGCCCCAAAGAATCGTCACAGAGCCAAAGATTACGAATGGGTATTTCCATGCCGGAAGAGCCGAATTTATATGGCCGATTCCATAGGCAATTAGCCCACCGATGATGTTCGCAACTCCATTCATAGAAAACCATATGGATGTTCGCAGAGGCTGTTCCGATCTGTGATCTTTGTGAGCCGGAGAGGACTATTGGAAGATGGTTGATAGATTCGAGAACTGACCTTCGGTAGAACATTGCGGTTAGAAGGACAAAGCATGGACTCACTCCAGCTTCCAGTATACCAAGAAAGACTCGTGTCGTAGCCAGGCCGGCGAAGTCATGACCCGCAGTCATACAAAGAAGAACCGTGCCCCAGAGGATGATGAAAATGCCACACGTGCGCGCAATGTCAAATTTCTGGAAGAGAAAATTGATAGGGAACTCCCCCGCCATGTATCCCAGATAGAAGATAGTTGTGAGCCAGGAATATTGGTCGTTGACAAGGTGAGCATCCTCTTTCATGCCCCAAAGTGCAGCGTAGGAGATGCAAGACTTGTCGAGGAACTGCAGAACATAACATTAGAGATTGAACTTGCGTGGCAAGGTTGGCTAGCTTACCTGGATCATATAAGTGAAGGCGAGGATGGGAAGTAAATATCTGTCAATCTTCCAAAGAACGCTTCGGTCTTCGCCATCCTGGAATTGCAGTTGTTCAACCGTTCCATTAAGAATCACCGCTCCGACATCATCTCCCTGAATATGCTTCATATCACTCTTCTCCAAGTCAGAGGGACTGGAACCATGCTGATTGTCATGGGAACTTGGTTCAGTCATAATGATTCGCACAAGCGTAGGTTACTTCAATCGCAGAAAGAACAGAGCAGTTGCGATAGCATAGGGTGCTTGCCACCAGCCGGCAGCACGGCACTATTAGTACATTCATGAATCTTGAGAGAGTGGTTATCGGCTGAACTTTTTCGGCTGTTGAGTGCCAAGCCTGGAGGCGGATGAAGTCTATTCGTATTTCTCCGCATCGGTCGGCCCGGCCGACCATTTAGATAGCACCCACCAGTGCATTAGCCGAATGATAAAGAATTCACGGAAACCTCAATCATGGCTTGCTAACTTGAGACGAAAAGGATAAAAAATAAATCGCGGTTTACCAGACTCGATTCCCTACTTCGACAAAATTTTCCTGTGCGACGAGTGACCAATATGGCAAAGCATGTAACTCTCCAGTCAGCCGACACCATCAAGGAGATAGTGAGCGCCGTAAGCAGTGCTAGTGATGAGCTGTCGCGCTTAAGTCTTGAAGTAAGTCAAAATTCTCATATTGATTACGAAAAAAGAAATCCAAACTTACCTACATCTCCTTTTCAGATTTTCAATAACCCAGAAACAAGATTTGAGGAGTTCAAAGCTTGTGCGCTGTTGTCAAACTGGCTCGAGAGCCGTGGGTGGAAAGTTCGCCGAGGCGTATATGGCCTCAAGACTGCATTTGAGGCAAAATTCTCTGTCCTTGATGGAGGAAGGACAGTCTGTTTCAATGCAGAGTATGGTGAGTGCCCACATACCTCCATCTATGTAGCACATCTCTAAGCAACATAGATGCCCTCCCTGGTCTGGGACATGCCTGTGGTCATAACTTGATTGCGATCTCTTCCTTAGCATCCGCAATTTCTCTCGAGCATGTCCTCCGAGAACATCATTTGCCGGGTACAATTGTCGTCATGGGAACACCGGGCGAAGAATCTGGTGGCGGGAAATGGATCATGGCGAAAAATGGTGCTTGGAAGGAGTTTGATGCTTGCGTGATGACACATGGGATGCGAGACTTCAGCACTCCGCTCTGCTTAACGAAGGCCTCTTGGAAGGTAACGGCGAGATTCAAAGGCCTAGCAGCGCATGCTGCCACCGCTCCATGGAAAGGATTAAATGCCTGTGACGCTATAGTTCATGCGTATGCTGCAATCTCGATGCTACGCCAACATCTCGAGAAAGGCTCCAGTATTCAAGGATGCATTCTTGAGGCGGGAAAGGCATCGAATATAATACCAGATTACGCGGAGGGTCTATTCAGCATAAGAGCTCCCACAATGCAGAAGCTGGAAGAGCTCAAGTCCAGATTTGAGCCCATATTCGGCGCTGCGGGCGCTGCAACAGGATGTAGTGTTGAGCTTGACTGGTATGTCTCGGTTCCTGAGAAAACACATGAAATTGAGTATCGCAGACAATTATTGATCTCCACTGCAGGACAGCTCTATACGAAGACGTTGTCTCAAATGACACCCTCGCTGAGCAATATCGCAATTACATGATACAACATTTGGGTATGGAGCCCGAACAACTGCCCACATTGGAAGAGTCCCGGGTGCTTTATGATCAGCCGGGATGCTCGTAAGTGTTAACAATTTGTTTCATGTGTGTTTCAAAGTCTAAATGATTATGTACAGGGACTTCGGTAGCTGCACCTACATTTGCCCTGGAATTCAGGCCATGTTTTCGATTGAAGCAACCGATTTTCCTCATTCAATCGGGTTCCGTGAAGCATCCTGTGGGAAGTTTGCTCACAAAGAGGCACTGAGAGCTGGCCAGGCAAACGCTCTTATTTCCCTCGACATTCTTACCAACGATGAATTCGCAGAGGGAGTGAAAGAGGAGTTCATTGAGGCCATGAAGAACGCCGGTCGCTGGAAAGAATGACAAAATCGATTATGTATAGACACGCAGCTCAGCAGGCTATCCCATTGGGTTCGTGCCTCATATCGGATATTGGTTATATGTCTTGAAGATTTTATTGTGCTCACTCTTTGGCATAGTTAGCCTATTCGGGCCTATTCCAAAGCTAAGCATGTTCGTCGTGCTCTGACCTTTGATAAAGTCTCATCACATTATCAAATAATAGATTATTTTGTTGCTCGATCTTCTTAAATCCCTTACTCCGAAGGAAATATGCCCAATGCTGGGAAGTTTTCGTCCCACGTCTGCTAAAATTGTCAGAAGTCTTGACAGAAAGCCAATTAATAGTTCAGGATCTAACGTACCATATCTTCGATGAAACTAGGAATATCAAAGAGCTCACCGAGTGGTATGTCCCCACTAGGATTTTGGATAGTCCGAGGAGTCAGGACTGTTTGGGTCAACGCTGCTATTCTATCTCTATCTCGTCGAAGCTCATTGGCGGTATCTTGAGCTCCTCCTTCATCAAACATCTCAGCTGCTTGCTCAACCCTAGTGAGAAGACGCCGAGGATCGACGAAACTGTAAGCGAGGGGGAGAGCTTTCAAAATGAAAGAGATTGCGTAGTATAATGGCACCCCGGCATAGTCCTATTAGACCAAGATCCGATTGGAGATTAGCCAAAATTCGGGATTTCTTAAACAACACCTTGTCTATCTCCGCACTTACTATGCTGTACTTGAATGCTCGTCGGAAAGATGTGGAATCATGCTGTGTTTCGACAATCAAGCTTGCACTATCCAAAGCCCGCCGAATGAATTCGATTCGAACCGGATCCGAGGTCAAGTCATCTGGCGACCCCATACCCTGTAACACGAGACCGTTGATGTAGCTGTTTCGGATAGCAAGAGTCAATTCAAAATTCTAGATAAGTGAAGACGTATAACGGGGTAGCTTACAGCTTCATGAAGCCAAATGGTACCAGTAGTCGATTCCTATCTTGCTTCTCTGAGAAAGTTTGGTAGAGAGGATGGACTTTATTCGTCACCTCATGCAGCCATTTGTCGACAGCTTCATCCGAGGAATTAAGAAGATCAATAACCGCTTGTGGCAATGGCTTGCACCTCATCTGAGAGTTCTGTAGCTTTCCTTTCAGATCCCCTACCACATTCAAGTTATTAATCCAATTAGGCACAGATAGGCGAAGATAATAAATATAATATGCGTACCTGCTATTGTGAATCCCTGAATACAATCACAGATGCGATTATCGACGGGATGGCGATAGGGAGACATGACGAGATACTTCGCATAACCCAGATATTGTCTCATGTTGTTTATGACAAAGGGCCTACTGAGGTTCGTTCTACAAATCTTCAGTTAATAGTCAAGCACAGACAGTAAAACAATACATACTGTAAGTCCAAACAGCATAAGGTAAACCAGGCTCTTGCCTTTGCAATCAATTCTGGGGTATGCTCCGTATCCTGATCTCCGATTAGAATCGCGGCTTCATGTAACTTCAATTCGGTGGCCACAGAGGCAACGTAGCCCATTAAGCGTGTTCGTCCGGTCCATATTACAAATACAATCATCGCATAAACGCCGAGCAAGTCAGTCATTGGCCCTTGAAAGGTTTGCATGATAAGATTGTCAACCGCTGCGACATGTGATTGATATGTTTCGGGTCGAACGGCCCTGGAAGCAATTGCGCGTATGACAGCCGACATCAGTCGGTGATTGTTTATTGCTTCATTGGCCGAGAAAATCTGGTCATCTATTACTGCAATTGTTGAGCTGCAATTGGTGCAAAAAAAATCCGTATAGCTCATTCCATTCACTTTCATCGGTAACCGGAGGGGAGGCAGTATTGAAAGATATGTTCCGCGTCACTGCTGGGAGGGCCGCCGGATTAGGTGGTGAAAAAGAGCCCTTATGCGGGACTAAACTGCTATCGTGGGATATTTTTGCAACCTGTGCTCGCAATGTATCAATTTCTAGCCGGAGCTGTTGCTCTATCAACTCAATTCGCCACTCAAGATTGGCTGTTTTGGCACTGAGTCAATTCCAACCACCATTAGAACCTAGAAACCGATAAAATGTCCACAGAAACAGATCAATGAAATTCAAGACTTACTCCGAGTCCGAAATATTAGTCCCCGTCTGTACTGCCCGTGGAGGAACGAAGACACATTCCGAATTACTCACTCGGCATCGCTGGCACGGTATCCTTCCAGGCCCGCCACATTTGAGTTTCTGTTTCCTGCAGCGCAGACAGGCCGATAGAGATCTGCAAGCAAGAGCTTCATTAATCGGATTATGCTCAAGTTTATTTTATGCGAAAGGCGTACCTATGTGCTTCACTCATGGTTGTTGGTCGGTGTAGGCACTTTCATGGGTCAAAATGAGGGGAAGAATGGGGGATCCATGATGCCAAGAGCCGCACGATCGATAAGCTCGCATTTACCAGTTGGCGCCCCCACAAGAATATAGTTTCTGCCTTGTTGCCTTAAGTGTCATGTATGATCTGATCAAATCTCCATCTTACCCACATGCTAGCCAACTTCACGAATAGTTGATTTCTCATACAATCTCTCCAGTGACGATTTGACTCGGTATCAGTCTAACAGAACCATGCAAATATCCAACAAGCCCCCGCTCAACCCCGCTCTATGAACGGTCTATCTCAGGCCGCAGTCATGTTCGGCTTCGGCCCGACCGAGCCGAGTCAGGACATCTTGATACATAGTGAAGTCAAACAACGCCGAGATCGGCTTGCAGCGACAAGGATACTTTAAAGGCTGTGCTATCCAATTATCTCCCATCTTTAGAACCTCCTCTCAATTGTCGCCCTTGACAGCAAAGTTAAAGAATGTTGACCAAACTCCCCGAGACATCTGACAAAGGAGAAAGCCACGGTTTTGAAAATGCCGAGGAGATCTCGCGCGTGATTGATTCATATTCCTCGCAATTATGGGACATCAACCAGAAGGTGAGAGCTCCGAGACAAAATTCGGAGTGTTTTTTGGCCAAATACCTCTATCAGAACCCTCTAACACGCTCCTAAACAGATTCATCAGAATCCAGAACTCGGGTATCAGGAGAGGTTGGCTCACGACAACATCACGTCGATGCTCGAAGATTTGGGCTTCAAAGTAACCAGGCACGCTCACGGCCTTGATACATCATTCGTTGCAGAGGCCGGTGAGGGCGGCCGGGTGGTAGCTTTCAACGCGGAGTATGGTAAGTAATCCCACCATCTTTTGGCGAGCAGGAATCTAACAATATAGATGCTCTTCCGGGAATCGGCCATGCCTGTGGGCACAACTTAATTGCCATGATGTCTATCGGAGCCTTCCTTGGAGTTGCCAAATCACTTGACCAGCGAAGGGTTCCAGGGCGCGTCCGCCTGATTGGAACACCTGCCGAGGAGGGCCTTGGAGGCAAAATTCCAATTATCGAAGCTGGGGCTTATAAGGATGTTGACGCTTGTATGATGGTACATCCCGGTCCTTTCACTGAATGTCCAGGTTTCACAGGAGATGCGTACATGCCTACCCTTGCAAGTCTGAAGATCACCGTGCGGTTCACTGGAAAGACCGCACATGCCGCCATGGCGCCTTGGGAGGGAGTAAATGCCCTTGATGCCGCTGTCCTATCCTACAACAGCATAGGGGTTTTGCGCCAGCAAATCCATCCCTGCAATCGCGTGCACTGTATCATTTCCGACGGTGGACTGCGGCCGAATATTATTCCCGGCTCTTCCGCATTAGACTGCTATATCCGGTCCCCTACACTAGCAATGGCGGAGGAGCTTTTTAGGAGAGTGAAGAATTGCTTTGAGGGGGCAGCTTTACAAGCTGGTTGCACCTTGGAGATTCAGATGTTTGTGTCTTGATCTAGCTGTCTACCTGGAAACCTTATAGCTGACAAGTCTTTCAGGCACAATGCCTACGCTGATCTGCGACCCAACAAGCCCCTGGCAACAGCGTATGCGCAAGCAATGTCCGAAATGGGAATCGAGGTCCGGTGTGATCTCAGCTCATCTGGAGTTCCTGGATCAACGGACCAAGGTTAGTCAGGAAATCTTGCCGTAGGATGCTATTCCTAGCTAATTCATTATCTTCCCAGGAAATGTAACCTACGAGTGCCCGGGAATTCAAGCATATGTTGGCGTTCATGCCGCGCCCGGGGCGAATAATCACACTGCTGGGTTTACTGCAGTGGCAGGGACCAAGGAGTCTCATGATCTCTGCCTTCATGCGGCAAAGGGAATGGCCATCGCGGGTTTAAGTGTCCTGAGAAGTGATGACCTTGCTAAAAAGGTGAAATTAGACTTCGAGGACGACAAGAAGCGACGTTCTCTGCCCTCAACAGCCAGGATGTTTGATTCGAATGCGGGATTCTGCTAGCTAGACACTGGATGACTCCCAATCGTCCTATGGTAATCCTTTTTCTACTGGATACGGAGGGGCTGGATGCAATGAGATGTTATGGATGTATGCTCTGGGAATAGCCACCCTCAGGCTCTATTTAACTACCTGCTACAAGCATGGTGTGCAGGGTGATAATGCAGTGAGCCTGAACCCTTGGGTCTATGATCACAAGCCCTGTACTACCTTCTCAATAGCCCAAACACTCAGATAGAGTAGCTTCTGACGTAAGATTGGAATAAATATAATAGCACTCGATTTTCTCCCTTCAGATTCCCCATTCATTTTTTACTTACTACTCTGAGGAGTTTACTCTCCGATCCGAAGGCTTTTTAAGGAATCTTTCACATCTCCATCCACTCTGTTTCAGCCATGGTATATACAGAACCAGCTTTGCTCATTGGCCGAAAGGCACCTATCCAGGCATTATTTATCATGATGGCGACTCTTCCAACAATTGCTGTCATCCTGAGACTTCGGTCAAGGGCTTTGTGGCCGGGGACTTCACATGAAATGCCAATAAGAAGATACTGGTGGGATGACTGAACTGTTATCATGGCTGCAGTTGGGTCTATCTAATCCAACCTTTCTTAAAGCAGCTAATTGAGACATATTTGATCAACATCGCCATATGTGGCCTGGGCCTCGGAATTGCGCATCATGGCCTTGGCACGCATACGGAATCAATCTCAGACAAAAGCCGAGCCTCCTTCACTATACGCGCGATTATTCTATATATGCTATTTGATACGGGGACGTTTATAGCGAGGCTTTTAGTCACGCTATTCTTTGCGAGAATTTTCAACACCGTCTCGTCTCGGTTCAAATCCGCGTTGTGGGTCGTCCAAGGGCTGAATGTGGCATGTTATCTTAGCAACATACTCATTATTTCCTTTGGCTGTTCTCCAATCAAGAAGTACTGGACACCAGATACTCCGGGGGTCTGTCTGGATTTAGAGCCGATGTTTTTGGCGGAGATATCCCAATCCTTGTTTTAGATTTACTTATTCTACTTCTTCCATTGCCCATGCTATGGAAACTACAAATGACATTTAACCGCAAGCTGCTAGTTGTTGGAGTCTTTATCTTCGGCTACCTGTGAATCTCATCGCAGGTTGAAAATCATTGATTTTATAGCTTACACACATTCTAGTGCTCCTATTGTATCAACCGGCCGTCTGATAACAACAATGAAGTTGGCCAAGATATTGGCGGAAGAACCAGGACGTAAATGTACCCACTCGGTATCAAATTATGTTATGGCTGAACCTTGTCTAGACGAAGCTACGAACGCCTTCTTCTGGGCTGGCCTAGAGACTCCTATATGCATAATCAGCACATGTCTTCCTAGTATATTCTCATTTGCTCGTTATTGGTATCAGAAAAACTTCAAACAGATTGGAGATGAATTTCGTGAATAGAATATTCTAAGATAGTAGTTTGTTGTCAGAGAGTATGAATGAAATATATGCAAATGAATGTCATTCCCAAAAGAGATTTCTTGGAAGTGGCTCTCTCCATCAAAGCTGAACAGCGGCAGGAGTTTGAACATCACGTTCTGTGTTGCCTTTGTTAGCCTGCTTGAAATCCACCCCATACCGTTTCCACGCAGACTCAATTTCAAGATCAAGCTTCCCATTGCGATCGGGAATCATGATGTCCGATCCATCGTTATCCATCGTGTAGGTAACCTCGTGATTCTTGCCCAGGGTCAATTTTATGGCGCCCTCGACAAACCAATTGGGTGTATATGTGTGGCTGGGTGCTTGGCCGTTTATCTTGGCTAGAATGTTATCCAGAACCACCCCCGATTGCATTAACCCAGCGCGGGCCATGCGAGGACCGGGGTGATCTGCGACATCTCCGAAGGCGAAAATGGGAAGATCCTTTTGAGGGTTGGTCGAGTCGAAGACCTGAAGTGTGGATCGAACAAGAATGCGGGAATTATTGGAGAGGGTGTTGGGATATTTTCCCGCAAGGACGGAAGAATTCGGCCGCTGGCCAGTACAACCAATCTAATTAAGAATATTAGCAGGTTAGGATGAAGATGGGTGAAGAGGCAATATTTGTAGGGTAAACGAGAAAAATTCGGGGAGCTTTTCATCCGTCCGACTCTTTGCAACTTACAACCAAGTCAAATTCTTCTTCACGCCCGTCTGAAAACATCAGCGAAGCTGCTCGCGCAAAGTTTCCTGGTATAGCAGGGCGCTCATTTAACAACACTCTGATTTTGAGCTCATCCTGTAGAGCATTTAATGTGTAGTCACCGAATCTTTTGCCAAAATTGTTTAGTAGCTGGTCTCGAGAATGAACCAAGGTGACCTCCTTGTCTGGATAGAAATCCTTAATATCGCTCGCGATTTCGACACCGACAGCCCCACCGCCAATAATGGCAATTTTTTGACTCGCTTTGATGGTCTTCTGCACACCTTGGAGCTCTTTACAACCATCATTCCGCTCAGTGGAGGTCACCTGGACGGGCAATGGCTGAGATGAGCCTGTCGCGATAGCAAGATATTCGAAATCGATATTATCTCCGGAGGCGAGTTGTATTTGATTGTTTTCTGTGATACCGACTGCCTTGTCCTGTATGCGAGTGACAATTCCAGGTGGCGCGTTCTTTGCAATTCCGTCGTATGGAATGAAAGCTGCACGCTCATGTCCTTCCAAAACGGAGTACCTGGGGAAATTGAACGAAAAGTTGAGGTGGGAGTTCTTTTCTATCCACACAGCTTTATATCCAGTTGGTAACGTCTCGGATAGTCGCTTCACGAGCTCAATTCCCGCGAATGAGCCACCCAGGACAACGACGTTCTTTGCATCGGGAGTGTTTTGGTAGGACCACCTGTGGCCATATGCAGCGACACGTTGGATAGCTGTGCGACCGAGATAGGGAATAAAGAAGCCAAATGCTTTGGTGAAGACTTTAACTTTATCGGATGCCATTGCTATGACGGGTGGAGGGAGAGGAGAAGGAGGACGAGAGTTGGGAAAATTGAGAGTAAGCAGACAAGAAAGAAATGAAAATGTACGCGACAGGGCAGATTCGGGTAGCTAGCTGGTGCCTGGCCAGATCTAACCAGATGAAGTAGGCGGAAATCAGCCATTGGAGCCCGATAAGGAAGATAACAGAATACAGAAGAAAGGAATAAAATCAAACTGCAAAACAGTGGGAGTATTGCTGATTGACTCGGGCATTAAACAGATGTTAAGTCCATGGAGTCCGCGGAGATCCTAAAGTAGACTAGCGTGAGACCCGCCCACGGATCAGCCCGCGGGAGTTCCGAACTAGCCAATCATAGTTAATCCGCGGCCCCACCCGATATGCCTAATTTCGCCCTGTGTTGTTCATATCAGCTGTTCTTCAAGTTATGTACACTGGTGATACTTCTTTTAATTAATCATCTGCTCGTTTTTCAATCTTTCAATTTTGTTTTCTTTGGTATCTGAGCTCCCAACTTGTGCAATTTTGAAACGAAAAATGGCCGATCCAAACCATGAACCTCGGACTCGGGCCCAGTGAGTTCGCTCGACGCTGATGTTGAGCACGATTCAGCTGGCGAGTTGAAAGAACAAAAACAGAAGGATCCAAATATAATCAGTTTTGAAGGTCCGGAAGATCCTGCAAACCCACTCAATTGGTCGTCAAGGAAGAAATTTTTGAACATCTCCATCATTTCTTTAATGACCCTACTTTCGTATGAAGAACTCCTCCCATCCCTAATCAATATTCACAATATGGCAGCTCATTGGGAATTTTATTTTAGACCGACAACCTCAACCGTTAGCTCTCCAGTGACTGCCGATATCATGGAACATTTCGATTCAACGAATGAGATCCTCGGAGCCTTTGTCACCACGGTCTTCTTAATCGGCTACACCTTCGGACCATCCGTCATTGCACCTCTCTCGGAAATTTACGGCAGAGCCATTCTTTACAAGATTTGCATTGTCTTCTTCATTGTCTTTAATGTGGCCTGCGCCGTGGCAAATAGCATGGGGTCACTGACTGTCTTTCGACTCCTCGCTGGTATAATGGGGTCATGCCCTGTCACTCTCGGCCCGGGCTCCGTAGCCGACATGATATCGGCTAAGGGCAGAGCCAAAGCAATGTCCGCCTACGTTATTGGAATTATCCTGGGACCTTCCATTGGACCCATCTGCGCTGGGTACATCGCCCCTGCTAAAGGATGGCGTTGGGCATTTTGGCTGATGGCGATTATCATCGGCGCGATCGCAATTCCGGTTATGTTTCTTCAAGAGTCGTATCCCTACGTGATCCTGAAGCAGAAAACAGAGAAACTGCGCAAGGAAACCGGTAACCAGGATCTCCGGTCGGCATTGGACACTGGAAAGTCACCAGGTCAGCTTTTCGTGTTTTCTATTTGGCGCCCTATTAAAATGCTCATCTCGCCGATCATCTTCTTGCTTTCGCTCTACTGCGCGCTAGTCTACGCCTATCTTTATCTATGCTTCACCACATTCCCGGAGCTCTTGTCCAAGAAGTATGGCTTTGTAACCGGTCCCTCAGGCCTAGCGACTTTAGGATTAGGGGTTGGTTCCATCATTGGATTGTTCATCTCGGGTGGTACCTCAGATAAAATCTCCAAGTACCTTACTGAAAAACATGGTGGGCCAGCCAAGCCTGAGTATCGACTCCCCGTTCTCGTCGTTGGTGCCATCATCACTCCTATCGGGCTGTTCCTATACGGCTGGACTGCACACTTCGGTGCTCACTGGATTGTCCCGATCATCGGTACGGCATTTATTGCCGCAGGAATGGTCATTGCTTTCGTGAGTGGAAATTCTCACTATTCTTCTTCGGTATTTTTCTGTGCTAAGATTATTCAAGATGGCAACTACCATGTATTTAGTTGATGCCTATACGGTATATTCAGCATCAGCAACGGCCGCAAATACCATGGTACGCTGTCTGATCGGCGCTTTGATACCACTCGCTGGTCCGGCCATGTTTTCAAAGCTTGGCTACGGCTGGGGAAATTCACTCCTAGGATTCATCGCCGTTGCGTTTATACCTGTGCCTTTCGTATTCTACCGATACGGTGAACGCATTCGCGAGTCTAAGGTCTTCAAGATTGAGTTCTGATGGGGTGAAGCCTGTTTTACTTCAAAGTTTGGTGTGCTAATTTCCCTTTTGAGACAACACTTGTCTCTCTCCCCGTCTTTTGGTGCTATTAAACCTTCGACTTCTCCTTCTTCTTTCCCATGTCATTAAGCTAGCCATTTCTCCACTTTTATTTCGTTGGGTATCTTAGACTTGAATGCACTGGTACAATTTTTCTGGTTGTAAATAATTTTATATTCTAACTATTTCAATTTCTTGTCTGTATAGCTGCAAGCCAACAAATGCTACTAACTGTACTAACCCTGCATATTCGACGTTGCTGATTGGTTGATGTGGCGGGGATGACTGCCGCGGAATACCCGCGGAGACATTATCTCCATGGAGGAAAGAACAAAGAAACAACAACGGTCCCCAGTCTATTATATCAACGGAATACCCACGGAATACCCTCTTGCATTATGCAACTTCAACACCATGCCATCAGCACGGCCCGAAGCCCCTCGTTCGCATCGCAAGGGTCAATACTCGTGCGAGTTCTGCAGGGCACGGAAGCTTCGGTGTGACCGACCTTTACCATGTACAAACTGTGTATCGCGTGGGAAAACATGCCATTTTGGCCCCTCAGCTGGTAAGAGAGCAACAACATTGGCTGATCATCAGATTCCTGGACAGCCGCAGCAGCAGCAACAGAAAAGATTGCCCGTTATGGCCTCCTTCGTATCTCCGGTTATTGCTAGGACGAATACCGGCGCACCAACTAGCAGCTCTGATCAGCCACCTTCACTATCGGCTACTACAACCACCCCTTTCATATCTCTGGCCAACGCTGGCCAAGCACAACTACTTCAAGAGGTGCATTCACTCCGAAGGCTTGCTGCGGATTTGGAGAGACGTGTGGCATTGAGCACGAGCACGAGCACAGCGACCCACCAGTATGAACATCATTCACCATCGCCCCGTACCCATATCGCGGTGGGCCAGTCGGGATCGCCATCATCGTCCGAGTCGCCCCGTCTGGACCAAGTCAAGGACGTGGTGGCTCACTTGGAGCATGTCTCCACTGTCCAAAGCTCTCGGGTAAGCAACACGCGGCCTTGGTCCGGTTGTCTATTACAAGGCCAAACATTGCTTATCATGGCTGGTATAGGAACCAATCCACGGTGATGACCTCGTGTTCAAATTGGAACGCATTCGGAATATCCCAAGTGCTCCAAGCTTCACCGTGCACACCGGTAAACCGGCGTGTTGTGTATTGCTGCCATTTCACAACGAAACTAGATTCATTCTAGACAAATTCATCACCAACGTTAGCTACATACACCATGTAGTCCACCATTCCTCGCTCCCCGCTACAATCGATGACATCTACCGGAAAATTGAGAATCAGGAACCAATTGAACCTGGCCACCTCGTCCTACTTCTTGGCATTATCGCGAATACCGTTGAAGTTTGGTCATGGCACGATGAAATCGAAGGATACGACTCGATTTTTCCGTCTGCCGTCGAAATAAATTCTCAAACGCCCTTTTGGATTAAATCCGCGATGAATGTGATCAAGAATGGCGAAAATGGACCACCTCTAGCCTTAGAAACGATCCAAGGAATCATCATCCTGGCCTTTGCTGTAAGCAATACGGAAGGAGTTTCTCTTCGGTATCGATCATTGATATCAACCGGTCTATTATTGAGCCGCGAGCTTGGACTACATCGAATCGATCATGAATCGAATGCGGCCACTGCAAATACAATTCGAGCCGAGATGGGTCGGCGTGTATGGTGGTATCTTGTCGCTACCGACTGGTCAGTACCGACCTTTCAAAGGAAACAGCTTCTACTAAAGTTGTATGAGTTGGAAATTTATTAACATCATGGGCTTAGGTTATTAGCTGTGCTTTACGATGGTCCAAACGAGGGCGTATACCAAACCCACCCAAAACACATGGCAGTCAAGAAACCTCGCAACATAAACGATGCCGATCTTGTCGATAATGGCTATCGGACGGAATTTCCACTCTCACAGTCAACCGAGATGTCATATTTTCTTCAACGCATCCGCATGGCAGAAATCGCACGGCGCACCGTCGACGAAAGCCAAACAGCCGTAGACTCCAGCGGACCAGAAGATTCCACACATCTCATGAAACTAGACTTCCAACTCGACCAATTCATCCATGATATTCCCTTCTTTTTCAATCTCGATAACTACGAAGACAATCCAGAATCAACATCCGCTGGAATCTTCGTTCACGCCTACCTACTCAACCTGGTCATCCACACTCAGCGTTGCAAGCTTCATCTCCGGTATCTCACATCCGGGCCTAATAAAAGTCCAATGTACGCTACGTCCCGGGAAATATGTCTCAAATCCGCACGCCAGCTTATCAGAGCTGAGTCCCAACTTGAACGCGCGCAGCATCCAATCGTACTAATCCGGCTACGATTATCGGCGATTCGATACGGGGTGTTCCTAGCTTGTATTGCATTGTTGATGGATGCATATATCAATGGCTCGGGCTCACTTCAGGATGAAATAAATCATGGCGATGTCGCCGAGGCCCTCCGAATTCTCGAGGGTGCAAGATCTCACTCCTGGGCTGCGCAGAACCTTTCCGATTCTCTGAATCAGGTACTTGCCAAATACCGCGCCCAGAACCCAGAATTTGAAAATCAATCTGTTCAGGATATCTCTACCCCTTTCACGCCATCTGGTGCGCCTTATGTCAGTTCTGCAACGGCCATGGAATCTATGACCACCCAATTGGCTCCGAGGTCTAGTCAGCCCCCTGTTGTGTCAACGGCAATGGGGGGTGGGGGTATGATGCCCCCCATTTCTAGTGGACAATTACCGGGATCTGTCGAACAGTCGCAGTTCGATAGTCAGATGGCTCAGAACCTCGAGGAGTTGATCTTTTCGGATGTGCTTCAGTGGGATTATTCGTTTCCGAGTGTTCAGTCGGCGTCTTTCTTTTGATTATGAACCCTCTAGTCTTAATCCCATGGCTATTGTGGCTCTTCTTAAATGTTTTGTGTTGGAATGGAGCAATGAGCTTGACTCTATCTTATACCATGATTTGCCTCTGAAAATATACCTGACCTAGTGAGACATTTTCACAAACTAACAGTCCTCTGATTGAAAGGGGATTTCCATGATGAAAATTTACGCTGTGTAGTATCAAATCATCACTTCTCTTGTCCGTACAAGTAGATTTGATGGAATTCTATCGAGGATGATCTGATGGCTTTTAATTATTTTTTACTTAATCTATGCATAGCGCCCTGATGGTCGGCGTGGCCCAAAATACCCGTCGCTTAAATCAACACACGGACCTTGGGTATTTCGATGGCGCGATGAGAGCAGTATTTGATTCCTTTTCTAATCGAGACAACTTTCCATGTCTTCAAAGCACGATAGATGAGCTACTGTATGTAGGAGGAGCGGTGGGGCTCATGCAGGTCGGAATCTTCTAACCTGAAGCTTGTGTAACCTGATCTTCAGATCTTTCACCGCCATTAACACGCCCTTTTTCTTGACTTCTTTATTCATGTAGGTACTTTCATTCAAGACCGCCGTCAACAGCACCCATACAAGGCTGACCGTTTATCCGACCATATACCCGCCGTTAATATCGATTCACTGCGTATATACTCAACCCACCACAACGATGCTCAATCCCACAACCGAACATGAACATACCGATAGTATCCAGACGATAGTCGAACGAGCCCAGCGATCCATGGTCTATAATCTAACCGAAACTGCTAGACGCCTTCACCCAACCGGCCAAGTCACGACATTATTCTTGCAATGCGGCGGGGCGGGCATATTTGTGCCCGACAGTTCCGACTTCCGACTAAACTTCGCATTTTCGACCTGCAGTGGGCTGTTTGAACACGACATTCGGGTCCTTGAAAATACCTATGTTTTCTGTGATCGCCCCGTAATCATCTTCATCCCAATATCGGCTCCGGAGGCAACTTTTGACAGGCTGAAAGCCCGGGGTTTTTCGGCCCGAGGAGGCTCGAATAACGTGCTTTTCCGTTCATTGGATGATATAGAGACGACTCAACCTGTCCAGTTCAAGACTTCTACCGTTGTTGATGATATGATAATTGCACCTGCCACATCGGATGAATTTGACGCTTTTGTTGAGTACCACAGCCGTGGAAGCAACGGGGTTCCCTCGGAAAGTCTTAAACTTACTGCGGAGATTACGACCCAGATCCCGCATACAACTATATTCTTGGCAAGACTGGATGGGCGTATCATTGCAGCTACTTCGGTGACGGCTTTGGAAGTCGAGTCCGGTGAGGTGGCTGCGTATACGGGGCTCACGAGTACGCTGGCGGAATGTCGTGGGAGAGGAGTGTCGAGCGCACTTAAGAGGCGTGTACATACCTGGGCAAAGGAACGTGGACATCGGTGGGTCTTTGCCCATGTCGAGTCGGATAATTCGAATATGAGGGTTTTGGAGAAGTTGGGGTATAGATCGTTGTTTCCTCATGCGGTTTATGCTAAGGCTTCCGGATCTGGGTCATGTTCGCGTACTTGAACCTCACCCGCTGAGCGAATAATCATCCTCATAATCACGATGATGGAAATTAATCTTTGCTGGGGGTCTTCTAGCAAATAACCTGTATATGAACTTTAAGACAAGTTTCAGCCTGGGATCGGGTTGGCTATGACTAGAATCTTTTCCTCTCTGAGAGAATTTTCTTTTTGGTATTGGTAAAGAGTACCGACTTTGAATTCAATTCAAGGTCTCAAGTATATAAGTTTAGACCAATGCATTCTAATACAACGAGCAAATGGAAAACCCTGCCTACTCCTCAGTCAAGCTCAAATTAGATAGTCTTTTGCGATCGATTCTCTTAGTAGTTTGAGAAAGCTTCGGGGATAAATCAGGTTATTTCTCTTTCCAAAAGGAGTTACCACATACTGTATGTAAAATTTTCTCTCTTTCTCCAAAGCTGTGATAGAATCTTCATTAATTCCATACAACGATCGATAGAGATTTACACACGTATGCAATAATAGAAAGCCCAATCAAAGGTTTCTCGCGTCTGCCTTCTGTATTCCTTCTCCGACCATTGTCTGCTTCATCTTTCTAGACTATATCGTTTATATTAAGCTTTCAAATAGGGAATGACTAAAATCCTGGGTGTTTGAACTCCCAGGTCAGTACTATAGCCGTCTAGGGGTTGACTCGGACAAGTTTTCATCTCGTGCCCGGAGCAGATCACGGACATCTTCCGATAACAGTTCTTCTTCTCTCCTAAAGCCCCTGTCATAAGTGGATCAGTCGTCATAATGGAGTCCATTGGCGCATGCTACGGTAGGTCAACTTTCTTCCCGGTTATATACCTTAGAAAAGCTGTGATCGACACGAAAAGCCTGTGCGCAAAACGTTCCACCGTCATTTTGCCTATTTGGATTAAACTTCTATCGTTCATTCTGTAAAGCTTTTGACTTTTCAGTGGCTTAGATCTTAGATTCTTCCTGTTTCAGAGGGATATAAATTATGGGGCCCTCAGGACTAACCCACCCCCTTTTTGCATCGAGACATGAAACACTCCCTTTCTCCACCCCAATATACTATGCCGATCAGTAGCATGTTCCGGTAGTTAACTAAGTTTTGACAACAGGCCGTTGTCTCAGTCCAATATTTTAAGGTTCTGAAGGAAGCCATCATTTCTTGCTCGATCCTACTAAAAGATGCCTCCAATCTAGATTTAAGACCACCCTGTCCAAGCACACTTCGAACGCCCATCACTCTTCTTAGGCCATTACCCACAATGCTACCAATTACTTCGGTTCTCGCCTTATCAACAGCCGTGACCGCTTTCGTTCATCCTGGGGCACTTCATACCGCCCAAGACTTTGAACGCATCAACACCCATGTGGCCAACGCCGACGAGCCATGGAACACGACCTGGACATTATTGACAGCAAGCTCATACGCACAGGCGTCGTACCAGCCCACACCGCAGGAGATTGTCTATCGCGGTGCTAATGGCGTGGATTCCGAAAATTACCAATATCTCTACCGTGATGCTGCAGCCGCCTATCAGCTCGCGCTCCGCTGGAAAATCTCGAATGACACAACCTTTGCGGACGCAGCCGTCAACATCCTCAGCTCTTGGGCAGCGACATTGACATCTATTGGCGGAACCAGCGACAAGTTTCTTGCTTCCGGCCTATATGGGTACGAGATGGCCAATGCCGCCGAACTGATGTCGGATTACTCTGGTTGGAATAGTGATAACAAAACCGCGACGGGAACCATGCTGGCCAATGTGTTCGCGCCCATGAACAATCTCTTCCTAGAGGACCATAATGGCCAGGATTACTACCATTACTGGGCCAATTGGGATCTGTGCAATCTTGCCTCCTTGATCGCAATTGGGATTTTCACCGATAATGAAACCATGTATAAGAATGCTGTGAACTATGTTCGGACGGGCCCTTCAAATGGCGCCTTGCCTGTATTCGCGATCGCCAACTATACTGAGTCGGGATCCAGCAAGATTTTGACACAGGGCCAGGAAGCAGGCCGGGATCAGGGTCACTCTACGCTGGATGCCGTGCTTCTTGGGGTTGTTGCACAACAAGCATACAACCAAGGTGATGATCTGTTTGCGGAGTACAGCAATGAAATCCTCAATGCGTGAGTTTAGTCCCATTTATCCCCGAGGCCCTCCATGTCTGCTTATACTAATATATCGAGACAGTGCCGAGTATATCGGGAAGTATAACGTCGGTCAAGATGTTCCATACACTGCGTACAACAGTTACCAGGGCAATCAGACTGTTATTTCGAACAACTCACGTGGAACTGTTCGTCCCGGATTTGAGCTGTTGTCGGCGCATTATGGACAGTTGAAGGGATTGGATTCGTCGTGGACTAACGCCTATCGAGACTGGGTGAATGTTAACTCTACAAGTGGCGTGGAAGGTGGAGGCGGAAACTATGGAACAACATCCGGTGGATTCGATGGACTTGGTTTTGGCACTTTGTTGTATCGTATTTCCTAGATCATGATAAATCTCATCTGCTGGGCAGATGATTTTGTTTGTATTGATCAACATCAATGGCGGGAATAAATAGCTTGAAGCCACTCCAGTTGATACCAAATCCAGCGGTCTCGAAGAAGCTTGACAATTCGTGAATCATAATTTTCATTGAGGGCAAAATGGTATCCTAAATGCATTGCAGAACAAGATCGATGATGGAAAAGAACGCATCTCGGTCCGTGCCTGAGTTGGGGCCAAGACCAAGGCCGACAACCAGAAGTCGCTTTTCGGCGGGAGATTTTGTGGCAATTGCAGTGGCAATTTGACGAGCAACCAGCTGGCCGATTGTATCCTGGCCAGGCGCATGACCACCCAGAAGAGACGTTGCTGTCAACCCGCTGAGGGGCAATAGGCTGTCATCCGTGCCCTCGGAGATAGTGTGCATGCCATCGGTACCCGGATTTGAGTTTCCAAGAGGCACATGTAACTTTTCTCAGGTCAGCAGGATTCTTAAGCGAAGATTTCATCAAGACATACCCAATGTGCGAGTCGGCCTTGTTGCGAGATGGTGACCATGATTTTATCGCTAAAGCTCATAACCATGACATCTGTCTTGACGCCATCCACCAGGCCCGCTGCTTGCTTTGTAGCTGCTGGGAATGGCAGATTCAAGTTCAGCGATTGCTGCAATACATCGTCCAAAGTCGCCATGATTGATGTTGGTACAGCCGAGTGTTTGCATTGCGGCAGCCGCATGTTGATGTTGAAGGGCGGTCAGCAGATCCCCACAATAGATTGCGGGCAGAATACACACCGCCCCCGAAATGTCCGACATTTTTTTTCTCCCGCGTTCAACTCGGCGACTGAACAATTCAAGCTTCTTGGTTTTTCTGCATCTGTTGAGAGGCAGGATCTTTCAAGATGCCCAAATTCGTCCCCCGTCAGCGAAAGCAAAAGCACCGGCGCCAGGAGCCCACTGATTCGGTCGACACCAACGCTGCGGAGCTAGCGCCCGTCTCAAAAGATGAAAAAGAGGCTCGGAGACAGAAGCTGCGTGACGAGCTTCGAGATCAGCATACCAATGTCTCGTCAAAGAAGCAGAAGCGCTTAGATAAGTATATTGTGCGTGCAGCAGCCAAGGGATTTATAGGCGAGGTGCTAACATCACACTCAGGATAACAAACTCAAGAAAGAAGAGAACATCGAACTCCTCAAGAAACTCGCCCAGTCGAAATCCGATAACAGCGGTCTGCAAAGCTTCAGAGATCTGGGTGGTAAGCGGAAGCGTCAAGAGCACGAGGGCGTCACCGAACCTGTTGTTGCAGTGCAACCACGGAAAAACACCGCCGCTCAAGATCAATCGGGATACGAGACAGACGATTCTGATCGCGACCTGAAAGCATCCGACCCTGCTACGGATCCCGAGCAGGCCCCCAAAACCCCAGGCACCTGTTGGAAGCGGACTGAAACGTCCTCTCGAACTCGGACCTGACGGCTTCCCAATCCTCAAAAAGCGGAAGCGCGCTTCTAAGCCCGCCCCGAAGCTGGCCAGTGTGCAGGAACCTTCTTGGGAGGGATTCGGGTCAGGCGAGGAGGATTCGGCTGAGGAAGATGAAGATGCGGAGGATTCCGATGACTCGGGAAGCGACATTGAGGACGACTCGGAGGGTGAGGATGAGGATGAGGATGAGGATGACTCTTCTGAAGGCTCCTCCGAGGGAACTTCGGACGAGGACGAGGACGAGGACGAAGAAGACTCGGAGGATGAGAGTGAGGATGTTCCCCGCAAAATTAAACCAAGACAGTCCGCCTTCAAATCTTGGGCTACGCAACAAATCAACGAAGCCATAGGCTTCAAACCAGAGGAACCTACGATCAACGATTATGCACAGCAGCAGGCATTTGCTCCTACCAGTAAGGAAGCAAAGAACACTGTCTATGAGGAAGAGCCCCTTCCAGAGGAACTCAAAGTCACCAAGGGTGACCCCTATCGCAAGGCTTTCAGCGTCCCCGTTGATCGCTCTGAAGAGATTCAAAATGCGCGTATGGGTCTTCCAGTTGTTGGCGAAGAACAGAAAATCATGGAGGCAATCCACAACAACTCAACCATCGTTATCTGGGGTGCTACTGGTAGCGGAAAAACGACTCAACTGCCTCAATTCCTATTTGAATCCGGATACGGCAATCCGAATAGTCCCAATCCCGGCTTAATCGGCATCACTCAACCTCGCCGAGTCGCCGCCGTGAGTATGGCGAACCGTGTGGCCCAGGAACTTGGCCAGTATTCCGATCAAGTTTCCTATCAAATTCGATTCGAATCCACGACTTCCAAGAAGACCGCCATCAAGTTCATGACTGATGGTATTCTTCTTCGCGAGATTGCAGATGATTTTTCACTCCGCAAGTATTCCGTCATCATCATCGATGAGGCGCACGAGCGGAGTGTCAATACCGACATTCTCATCGGAATGGTCAGTCGTATCGTGGACTTGCGCAAGTCGCTGATGGCAGAAGATCCGACAGTCACTCCGCTGAAGATCGTCATCATGTCTGCTACTCTGCGTATTTCTGATTTCACACAAAATGCAGCCCTTTTCCGACAAGGACCACCTCCATTGGTTCAGGCAGAGGGCCGCCAGTACCCAGTTACTACCCACTTTTCCCGTCGCACGCACCGTGATTACGTCGAAGAAGCATTCCGCAAGGTCTCGCGAGGTCACCGCAAGCTGCCACCCGGTGGAATGCTTGTGTTTTTGACTGGACAAAACGAGATCCGGCAGCTCTCCAAGCAGCTGAAACAGGCATTCAGGCCTACACAGCGAGCGGACACGACCCAGGCACGGGTGCAGATTACAGCGAACGATGCACCTCTAGAAGCAGAGGATCTAGAACTGGGTGGCACAGAGATGGATAATGCCGGCGATGACGATGAAAGTGATGTGGAAATTACCGGCTTGGACGAGCCAGAAGATGAAGATGAAGGCTTCGACTTGGGCGAGGATGCCATGGATTCATCCACACGCGTCCATGTTCTGCCCCTATATTCGCAGCTTCCCACAAAGGAGCAAATGAAGGTCTTCGAAGCACCACCAGAGGACTCTCGACTCATCATTTTGGCTACCAATGTTGCCGAAACTTCTCTGACTATCCCTGGAATCAAGTACGTCTTCGACTGCGGTCGTTCAAAGGAGAAACAGTACGATCTCTTTACCGGTGTTCAGAGCTTCCAGATCGGATGGATCAGTAAGGCCAGTGCGAATCAAAGAGCCGGTCGAGCCGGTCGTACTGGACCGGGCCATTGCTACCGGATGTACTCGTCGGCTGTCTTCGAAAACGATTTCGATGAGTACACCGACCCAGAGATCCTTCGCACTCCCATCGAAGGCGTCGTTCTTCAAATGAAGAGCATGGGCCTACACAACGTCATCAACTTCCCCTTCCCCACCCCTCCAAGTCGCCAGGGTCTCGCCAAGGCAGAGAAGCTACTGAAGCACCTCGGTGCCCTCTCTGCCGAAGGCCAGGTCACGCAAATTGGTCGCCGTCTATCTACCTACCCCCTCTCCCCTCGATTCGGCAAGATGCTCTACATCGGACACCAGCATGGCTGCATGCCCTACGTTATTGCACTAGTCGCTGCGCTGGCCGTTGGCGATCTCTTCATTACAGAAAACCAAGTGAACCCGATCGACACCCAGCCGCAGAAAAAGAAGAATGATGACAGCGATAGTGACAGCGACGAGGATGACAGAAAGGTATACACCAACGCAGACCGACTCGAAGACACAGAGCGCGAGCAAAAAGCAAAAGACTACGCCCGCGTACACCGTCTCCTAAGCAAACACGACGAAACCTCCGACGCACTCAAATCCCTCTCAGCAATCTGCGCCTACGCCTACGCCTCAGACGGCGAAGCCTTCAGCGAACAGATGTTCCTCCGCGCCAAGGCCTTCAAGGAAGCAACTCAGCTCCGCCGCCAATTAACCGACATCGTACGATCCAATAACCCAGGTCTAATCGGCGCCTACGAAGCACGACTCCCCGAACCATCTACCAAGCAAATCAAGGCTCTGAAACAAATCGTCACAGCAGGATTCATCGATAACGTCGCTATCCGCGCTGACATGGCTCCCGTTCCACCGGAGAATCCACGCGCTCCCCGCCGCGCCATTGACGTCCCTTACCTGACCCTCTTCCGCTCGCGCGATGGTCATGCAGATGATATCTCCGAGCGAGCCGTCTACATCCATCCCACCTCGATGTTAGCGAAACTCACACCCAAAGAAATGCCGCAGTATATCATATTCTCGCATTTGCAGCAATCTTCTGCATCGCTGGTCTCGGATCAAGTTCCTAAGATTAGAATGTTTCCCCTAGTCGTCCCGAGTGGGCCGCAACTTGCTGCTATTGCGCATGATACGCCGCTTCTGCGGTATGGAAAGCCTGTTGGTAAGACGCAGGTTTTGGATGGTATTCCTGTGCGTCGCTCTGCTTGGGTTGTGCCTTCGCTGGTTGGTGATGCGGGTGGTACGGGTTGGCCTTTGCCTGCTAAGAAGGTTGTTCAGATGAAGGATCCTCGGGAGGGGTGGGTGATTGAAAAGTTTGTTGCTTGAGAATCATTCTTTTGTGGTTCTTGTTTCTTTGTATAGATGATGTTGTTTATGATATCCAATTGAGTATATTTGCATGTGTGCAATATCTATCTATCTTGCAGAGTATTAAAGATTCGTTACCAGTATTATTCAGTAGGCAGTAAGGCTTGATTTGGAAGAGCAAATTTGGCCTAGCAGAAGAGCTTCTCGGGCGGATATTTTAAGGCACTGATCCTTAGAGGTGAACCTTAGGATAGACGGGATTTCTAGGAGAATTTATATCAAGATCATTAAATAGGAAGTTATTTGAACATGTGATTACATTTATTTATTTTCTCTGAAAAGACACGCAAGAAATACAGGGTAGTAGTAGTGGTAGTAGTAAAACAAGGGAGATGAAAACAAAAAGCCTCCCAACTCCACCCCATTAGCCTGGGGTGGAGGATCATCCCATCCCAACCACGGAAAGAGACATCCCACAGGACTCTCTCCATCAAGGGATGATATGATATGATATGTGATGATATAACATGATACACAGGATAAATACCCACTTCATCTCCAACCTCTCACCAACCAAAGATCTCACCAACACTCAGCGTACTCCATCGCACACCCCCAACAGCAAAGACCATAAGGACTACATCCACAATAGCCAACACACCAGCACCCATCATGAACCGCGGGCTAAAGATACGATACAGCATAAGGTGGCGACGTAAATGGCCAGCCCACATAGTCGTAGCGAGATTAATAGTCGCCAGATAGAGGGTATGGGTAGCGACAGCCTGAGTAACATCAGAAAGAAGTCTCGTGGCCGGGTTTGCAGATTTAGCGCCCTTCGAAGAAGCAGAAGAAGCAGAAGCGTCGGCCGCAACACGGTCAGATGTTTGCAAAGGTCGTTTCCAGAGAACTGTTAACGGGACGGCAAGGGCGGCGAGAATTTGCGCGCCGAAAGTATTCAGCACGACGAAGATTGGTGTCCAAGGGTATTTGATTGTTGATAGGGGGATAAATGCAGTTTCCCACTGGATAGAGCTCGGTGTAGCCTGGTGACCTGTTTTGAAGAAGTAGAATGAACCCAGGAGGCCTAGGACGATTGGACCGATGGGCGAGTTGGAGAGGGTTAGGGCGTTTGTATCGAGGATTTCGAGGAGGGAGAGGATTTGCCAGACCAGCAGGGCGATTGCGCCTTGGCCCATTGGTTTCTGCATGAGAATGATGGCTAGAGCGAAGTTGATGACTAGGAAGAAGAATCTCGTGCCGTACATATTTCCGAAGCCGAGGATTGTCACTGTCGTACGGGGCTTCTGCTCCTGGCCTGCGATTATGGGGGCTGGTGGGGCGTTGGGGTCTTCGGGGGGTTTGTTCACGCTGATGCTGATGCAGGGCTTTGAGTAGATGTATGCTCCTGTGCCGGCGGCGAAAGCGATGGCGAGGACGAGCTGGGCTAGGAAGACGCGGACGGTTTTGAGAGTTTCTTTGCTTACTGGGAGCCATTCGCCGTCGTCGGCACCTTCTAGCATCCAGAAGATTGATGTGATTAGGAGACCGAAGCGGAATGCGTAACTAATCCATAGAGTGGCGGCTCCTTCGTATGACTTGGAGCCGCTGTAGAACGAACGAATGACAGCGGGTAGGAAGAAGGCGACCGCAAAGGGGATTCCGAGCTGCCAAGGGGCGGAAATGGAGGATGTTGAGGAGGCGTAGTAGGTCGAGCGACAGAATGGCATTTGTTCTTCACGGCAGAGACGGGAGAAGGAGGCCAGGCGGCCGAGAATCACAAACAGAACCGAGTGGTACACGCCCAGGACGCGGTCGGTGGTTGTCTTCTGGCGCATCGATGAAATGCCAGCACAGACGCCGAACGTGGTGAGGAAGAATAGAAGAATTTCATCTTCCCAGATGGTATAGGAGTTTGAGGCGAATCCGACGGACTGAGAAACAGTGAAGAATACTGCGAGCCACCCCCACATACCATTCGGCAGGGGGATGGTCAAGTTCGCGGGCTTCTTGACCATTACAACCGCAGAACCTGCCATGCTTCCCACCGCAGCAAGGAAAACAGACAGATCGATTGTCGACATCTCGGTAAATCCGAAAAGTGACAAGACACTGCCAACAGCAGCACCCGCTCCGGATCCAACGCCAACAAACGACAGCAGCTGAGAAGAAAGCTCAGTCCGGTCGTTTCTCATTCCGCGAGCGTACAAAACCAAAAGAGCAATGCCTCCAAAGAGAAGCGCAACACCTTGAATCATACTCGGAACATCGAAGGTCGTCCAAAGCCCACGGCAAACATCCAAGGTATGGCGCTGGTATTTGCGATATAGCTCGTAACTAGAACGAACAGCAGCAGACTTAGACGTAAAGCTCTTCGAGCTAGACTTCCACTCGGCCTCAGCCGCAGACCAAAGCGAGAACGACTCCTCGTCATCAGCACCGCCACGGGAAATTTCGTACGCAGCTTGATACCTCTTGATCTGCGCCGCGGTAAGGCGACTCACAGTAGCCAGGTTGGCCCAGTCATTTCCCTTCGGGCCAGCGAAGGCCTCTTCAATGGGGGAGCCGAGGTTATTGAACGGAATGGGAATTCCAAGCATCAGAGACAGCGTGGGGACAAGATCAATCTGCGGAATTGGACGTTCCTTCGCATTCTTAGGTGGCAGCAGGCTTTCACTGCTTGTGCGACCAAAAGTGCCACGCTTGGAGTACATCCACAAAGCGGCCTCGACCTCATCATCTGATTCGCCGCCGTGGTCGCCCTTGATATCCATTCCATGATCACCCATCACAACGAGAAGAGTATCGTCGTCGAGGGCGGCAATGATGTCACGAATGACACGGTCCATCTCTTGCAACTTGCTCGCCATGGCGGCATGGTTCGGTCCGTATCTGTGGCCAGCGTGATCAACACCAAGATAATGACCGAAGATCACATCCCACTTGGACTTGTTCTCCGGGCGAAGGAGCGGGAACAGATGCTCGTTAACGCCATTATCAACAGTGTGCAGGTCCCAGACGTTGAATGAATCAAACGGGCGAGTCAGATTTGCGTCAAAATATCCCGGATACAGAGCCTGCCAGGTATCGTCTCCGAGCTGGACTAGAGTCTTTCCAGCAGTGTGCAACTGAGCAACCAGGTTGTCTTCGTCGATGGCGGTGCCAGCGAAGTTAGAGCCAGCATCAACGAATGTGGGCAGAGTTCCGGTCGTCAGGCCCTTCAATCGTTGCAGAGTTGCGGTGGGTGCATCGGCGATGAATGGAAGCAGGAATGCGTTCGCGGGGCTGTTGATGGAGGTTTCGTAGAGCACGGGGATATTGTCGTGGAAAAGGTGAGCCGTTTCACTCTCCTCCTTGGGCACAAATGGTACAGTGAAGTCGTATCGAAGAGCATCGATGATAATGACAACGGCTTTATCAAAAGACTTCTGGTGCCAACATCCGTTCGCTTGCTGGTTTGATGGTGCTGGTGCGTGTTGGGAGCCCGAGGTGATATCGAATGGAAGCTCCTGGCACGAGGATTTATTGTCGAGAACCATGCGCGTGAGGAGGAAGCCCTTTGTGAAGAAGTAAATTCCGGCAATGTGAAGTAATCTGCAAGAGCCACCACAGTCAGTCTTGAGTGTCTCTCTTTGGACGTCACTTATGCGGCGAGCAGACATCCGAATTCCGGGGTCTCTTAGACTCACAATATCCAGGTAAGCACTCCCATCACGCCAAAGTGCTTAGTCTTGAACTCATTCTCTAATTCGCGTGCTTTTTGTTCCTGAATGGCCGATTGTTTAGACTGTTCTGCGGCACGGACGTTGATCTGGTCGCTGTTGGGAGCTGAGCTGCCCAGGGGACCTTTTTGAGATTTCGATGCCATTTTTAGAACCACCGTATGTGAATTTTGTATTCGCGGGAGCTGTCGTGTCGAAATTCCGAATGCCGACGGCGCGGTGCCAGGTGGTAGGAGGGCGCAATCCGAGTCGTCGGGGGAGGGGTACTTGAATGCGAAAGTTGCGCGAGGATAGGGAAGCCGAATTCAAGCACGAATCGAGGCAATTGACTCGCTTCCAGCAGAGCTCGAGGGGAGAGAGTCGAGCCGAGCGGGAAACTGATCTGAGTGAGGCGGGTGGTGAAAAGGTGGCCCCCTGTCTGTGCTCTTCAGGGTGAGCGGCTTCCCTTGAGGAGATCAAAAGCTGCACATCGCCTCTGCGAATGGAGACAAAGAAAGAAGAGATCCAAAGGAGTGTGGTGTAGTAAAGTAGTTCGGAAATGGAAATTTGGACTTGACGTTGCGGAAAGCGGCGGGTTGGAGAGAGCTTTGGCTTTGGGTGGTGGTCAGCATTCCTGATTGGCTGCAGGGCGGGTCGCACACAAGATTTGTTTAGATGCACACTACGTCTCGGATTGATACATTGGCAAAGTAGATAGTGGAGAATATAAAGTACAGAGTAAAATAAAATAAGAACATATTTGCATGTCAAGTGCAATAAATTGCAGATTTGCCTAGGAAGATAGGAGGACTAAGTACATACATTATCCAGCTGCCGGGGAAAAGCGCCTAGAGACGCAGAAGAAAGTAAGGAGGTAGAAGACAAGCCCAAAAAAGAAAACAAAATAAAGGCTGCCTAAAAAAGGGAGTGAAGAAGAGAAATAGAATATGGAACAGAAAGAGAAACACGTTTGTCAAACATCTTTCAGACCCTAGGAACGTGGCAGGGTAGAAATGAACATGGAAGACCACGAGGGAAAAAATGATAAAGAAACGCCAGAGATAAAGTTCAGAAAATCGGCAGTCCCTCGCTATACACAATCCAGATTTGGCAGATCTCCAGAGAAGAGGGTACTAAGCCCTTGGAAGGGGCCAGAGGTGGTCCCCGGACTCAAAGGGCGAGTGGCTCGTCTGGAGAAAAGCCAAGCAAAATAAGAGCGGTTCGACGGTATGTGCATGCCACGGGTGTGACAGGATGGGTGGGAAACAGAGAAATAGGTATATGTGAAGGCAAGAAGAGAGAGAAAGTCGCCAAGGT